GATGATATGATTTATAATTTGGATAATAAAATACAAAGAATTGAAAATGATTTAATAAGGATTCAAGAAAAAAGCTCAGAAGTAGAGTTTAAAAAAATAAAGGAAGCTGATTATAAGACTTACAATGTAGATAATATAAAACAAAGGATTGAAAATGAAGCCACAATAATGCAATTCAGACTCATGGAATTTGCGGTTAGAATTAGGGGAATACAGGAAGATAAAAGACAAGATTTGAGAAAGATGTCTGCTGAAGTTCTGGTTGGGATTTTAAAGGTTAGCCCTGAAGATGTATCCTGCAAGATTGATAAGGCCTACAGAGTTAATTCTTGGGTGGCAAAGCAAAGGCAGCTGCCTAGAGATGTGGTGATTTACTTTACTGATAAAGAAATAAGAAATGATATTGTACAAAAGTCTTTCAACTCCACTCTTGAAAAGTATGGAAGGAAGATCTGGATATTTAAAGAATTACCGCCCAAGTTGTTAAAAGATAGAAAGGATTTTGGATTTTTGGTGACTGAACTAAAGAAACAAAACATCCCATTCAGGTGGGATGTCCCAGTTGGTATAATATTGAGATATCAAGGAGAACGATATCAACTAAATACTGTTGAAAAAGCGGAAGAATTTTACTATAAGGTTTTTAAAATGGGTTTAACATCTCCACGTATAATACACGAGGGGAATAAAGAAAAGCAAAATCAACAAGAGATTGAAATTCAGGCTAAGCAGATGAAGGTGGAGGTAACCGAAAAACAACAAGTTACAGAGGCTTTTGTGGATGAGCCGCTTCTGGATTCTCCTTCAGAGGCTACAGTTGGATTACCTATAAATACAAGAGAGGCGGCTTTGGATTCTAATGTGATGACTTATCAAGCTACAGACCAGCATGGAAACCAAACAGTTGATATACAACTCATAGAAAGGAAACCAGGATGGAGATTTAAGGCACAAAAAGTTAAGAAAAGAAGAAGCAGGTCCTACAAAAATAAAAATTTTTAGACCAAACAACAGTGTAATGCCAGTTACTTAAGAGCTGATTGAATATTTAGAAATTTAGTTGAGGCAAAGTATTGATGTATATTATCTTGAGGAGAGTGACAGATCTCTGCAGTTCTGTACTCTTGGGATGTGAAGATGGCCATAAATTGAGTGAATTGGAATTTTCTATTTTGGATTCTTTGACAAATGGATTACGTTTATGCTGAGCTATAAGGCAAGAGAACTATGGGATTGGGGCATGCAGAAGATCTGGCTGTTACCCCAACACAGTGGTTGGAATTAATAATCTAGTTGGAAGACATTATAGACAACACTATATGGAATATAAATATAAAGTCACTCGGGTGGTTTTTTATATATGAAAACATTTACTATTGATGGGGTCAGATGGTAATTGAAGATACCGAACATACTGTTGGAATTAGGATGTGATGTTACTCTAACATGGGTAATGGAATTAACAATCCAGTTGAGAGACATCACAAAAGATATATGGATTACAAATTTAAAGTTAATTGAGGATTTTATATATATATGTAAATAAATTCTTTTTTAGTGGAATGGGCAGAAGAATAAAGATATTGAAAATATTATGTATGTAGACCTGTAGGAAAGTGGGTGGAGATAGGTTAGTTTACTGATTGTTCAGTTTAGGAGAAGGGATGTTATGTTATATCAATATACGTAAAAGATTCGAATTAAGAGATATATGTATGGGGGAGGAGGAAATGGATAGATTATGAGTTGAAATTGCTAAATTAGGATTTATTATATAGTTTTACAGCTGAAAGTTGCTTTGAATGTTGTTTTGAAATGTATAGTATAAGGGGGATATAATGATATTGTTAGAAGGATAGATTATGAGTTGAATAGATGAAATTGCTAAATTAGAATTTATTATATAATCTTACAGTTGAATGTTGTTTTTGAAATGTATAGTATAAGGGGGATATAATAATATTGTTAGAAAGAAAGGGTTAGTATATGGGGGGTGGAACAAAAGGATGGTAAAGTATTATATAATCTGTTACTAACTTGGGTTTTATTTTGGAGAAGCCACAGGGGGAAGGGAGGGGGAGGGGGGTTAGGGAGGGGGGGAAGAGGGGAAAATTTGTATTTGAAAAACTTTTTCAATAAAAAAAAATAATCAACAATCAGCAGTTATTAATAATTAATAATTCTACTCAGGTTAATCAATTATATATATATTTCGTTATTCTTCTTCCATACAATCCTCTTTCACTCTTGCATCATTTTCTGCTCAGTCATCTGTACAGTTCTTTTTTCCAACTCTCCTGAAGTATAGTTTTTAATGCCACTCTCCAGGTATGTCCAAATATCCAAATGTCCAGATTCAGCACTTTTAAATAACAGGTTTAAAATTCGTTATTTTCAAAATCTATTCTGTCTATAGTTCCATTAAAGTCACCACTTCTCCAATCACCACTCCGGTTCCACCGCTCGCTCTCTCCCTCCGATCTTTAATGGCTTCCGTCGATCTCACAGTCCTAGTCCAAAGCACCGTCTTCCAACAAATCTATTTATTTTGTAATCCACACCTCTTTCATGTCAAAATCCAAATATATCCGTTAAAGTTTTCTTCCTTGTCTCCGCCATGCTCTTGCCTTTCGCGCAGTCACTACCTGTCAAAGTTCCTTCTTTCTTCCGCTGTTCGTTATCTCTTTCCAATCTTTAAGGGTTTCAGTCAGTCTCACAGTCCTAGTCCAAATCACCATCTTCCAGTCAGTCTATTTGTTTTGTAATCCACACCTCTTTCAAATCAAAATCAAATTATATCCATTGGAGTCTTCTTCCTCGTCTCCACCACTCTTTCTCCTTTCGCGCAGTCACTACCTGTCAAAGTTCCTCCTTCCGCTCTCTCTTTTCATCACCACTTTTATCTGGCTACTGTTTTGCTGCTTGTTTTGGAGACTCGATCTCTCTGTTCTCTTCTTCCACTATATAGCTGTTCCTTGCTTGTTTTTTTTTTCCTGGCTTCTCATACCGTCGCGATCTTTTGGTTCACTTTTTGCTTCCTACTCCTCAGCTGTCAGCGCTTCGGGCCAGCCAAAATGGCTGGTTTTTCCTTTACCGGAATTAAGAGGTTTCTCCTGAACCTTCGGGTTGTTTGTTTTTCCCCCGAGGTCCTTGAAGAATGCTCTTTTTTCTATTGATCTCTCTGGGATCAATAGTGCCTAATTCGGCTTCCTGGTTGGGAATATTGGAACTACAAGAATGGAGCCCCGTTCTCTCGCTCCAGACATGCTGACGTCACCACCGGAAGTCCAGTAATCTGTCCATGTTTTAAGACTCTATTGCAGGAACCTGTATTTTGATGATTTATGTCTATTTTTGTTTTATTTTGAAATTGAAGGCGCTCTTGAAATATTCAAATTTTAGTTATTTAGTTTAGTTATTCTACGAAGTCCAGCATGGCACACATAATTTTCCATAAGCACAGCCACAAATCCAGACGAGCACTAGAGCTGTCATATAGAGATCATTTGGATTTTTGAAATTTAGAAATGACATGCTAATATGTATGGAGATGCTGAGGGCTAAATTGCTCATAATGTTGAATACTGATTTGTATTCCTTTCCCTTTCTCTTTGCTACTATTTGCAGTGAAGTTACGCAACAGAATAATACACATGTACCCACACTCACAGATATGCCAGATCCTCATAAGCTATTATAGGAGGAAAGATAAAGAAAATTCTTTCATCCCACTCAGGTCTTATGTAGCAAGTTGCAACCTCTCAGCTGCAAGTTGGAAAAATCAGAGGATTTTTTTTTTAAAAAAAATAAAATGTCTGGGGAAAACAACATCTACCTAAACATTACATGGCTTGTAACTCATAATATAGTTGCTTCATAGTAAATCTATGTTTCTGAAGGTTTTTTATTGTAATTAAACTCTTTGGGCTGCAGTGCTTCTTTCTATCCAGCCTCAGACTTCACTATCCATATCATGAGCAGAAAAACATTCCCATTAGAAGCCCAGTGGAAGGTGATTTTGAGACCTCTCCACTGATGGCATATAGCCTAAAAAAGAGATTCCACCTGGGAATATTCCTGTAATGCTAACAGAACATCTAACAATTTACTATATGCAGTTTGGAAGTATGTGTTTTTCCTTTCATTTATACCGGTACTGAATAGAGGGATAATCTGAGAACAGAAAAAAAATTGTGCAACCAACATAATAGTAATAATTTCAAAGGCAGCGTTGTTTAGAACAGCTTATATCCATATAAATATATGTTATTTCTAATGTTATTAAACAGCAACATCTGCCTATCCCAGGTTCTTGGTAAAGACTTGATAAGTAAACAAAAATACCAAATCCAGTATAAACATCTGGATGACTGGGCCCCTAAGTATAATGCTGTTAATTAGGTAATGAAATCATGAATCATTTTAATTTATTTTGTTTTTTCCACATTTTTCTAGGAAGACTTTTATTTTTATCTTTTTTTTGATAAATATGACCAGATACAGGTGATATCTTAATCCATGTTTTGCGACTTAGCTTCGTTTATAAATATCCAGTTTGAAAATATATTATTTTATGTCCATGTGAAATTGTAGATAGTTTTGTTTTCTTCTTTCCTAGTGTACCCAAAGTATAATCACATGAATATGAATGAAGAAAAAAATCAGTTGTATCAACAGTAAAGAATTTTCTGTCCTTGAATCTGTGGTAGTTGATGATGAGTAGGTGTGACTTCTTGACAGGCCCAAATTAGCACTATAGTTAGTTTCCAGGGAACAGCTTTTGATTTCGGATAGCTAATCCCACAAATAACATAATGTAAATTTCTTTAAAGCAAAACTGTGGATCTTCCAGAATTTGTTATCTAGCAATCATGTTCACAGTTAAAGCAAGGAAACTGAACTGCATTTTGAGGTTCTGCTTTCCTGCTAATTCTTAATTATAAGAAGTCTTCAAATTCTTAGTTTTTCCATTGCTATCCCCAAATGTCTTTTTTATTCAGATGTCGATCCTATGAAGATTGTTGTGGTTCAAGATGCTGCGTGAGAAGTCTGTCGATCCAGAGACTATGGTATTTTTGGTAAGTTGGAAAACAACTACTAAGGTTAATGTGATATCCATGAAGCCTTCCTTTGTGGTTAGAATAGAATAACAGAGTTGGAAGGGACCTTGGAGGTCTTCTAGTCCAACCCCTTGCCCAGGCAGGAAACCTTACACCACTTCAGACAAATGGTTATCCAACATCTTCTTAAAAATTTCCAGTGTTGGAACATTCACAACTTCTGCAGGTAAATTGTGAATAATTAATAATTGTTATTAATAACAATTAATAAGTTGTTCCACTTATTAATTGTTCTAACTGTCAGGAAATTTCTCCTTAGTTCTAAGTTGTTTCTCTCCTTGATTAGTTTCCACCCATTGCTTCTTGTTCTACCCTCAGGTGCTTTGGAGAATAGTTTGACTCCCGCTTCTTTGTGCCAACCCCTGAGATACTGGAACACTGCTATCATGTCTCCCCTAGTCCTTCTTTTCATTAAACTAGACATACCCAGTTCCTGCAACCGTTCTTCATATGCTTTAGCCTCCAGTCCCCTAATCATCTTTTTAAGGTTAATTTACTTTGAAAATGAATTTAAGTGCCTAAGGCAACACTCCCCCATCTGATGCTTTCTAAATCAGTCAGACAAGAATTCCTGTATTACTATGACAGATGGGTTTAAGTAATTAATACAACCTGATACCTGCCTTCATATAAGTAAGCTTCATTCAGTTTAATGGGCCATAATATCCAATAAAGTATATGGGTATAACAAGGATAAAAGATTAAATCTGAAACAAGAGTCAGAGTTTTCTTTTGGGCACATACAAGCTTAGAATGAGTGAATAGCATCAAGGCAAGCATCTCTTCCACACCATGAAGCCTCCCTCTGGTCATCCCTTCTTCCTTTTAGATGCAGTCTCTAACTACCGCCCCCTCAAACAAACCTGGAATTGAGCAGGCCTCAAAGTTTAGACTAGCTGGCTGTTATGTGAACATGAAACAATTATTAATTTCATTGTCCCAGATGGTCTTTGAGATATGGAAAGTTTGTGGAAAAAAATCTCTTAATGTATTTTCACCTCCAAAATGTTCAGATATTTGGCAAACTGTGGGAAGCTTTAGACACCAAAAAACCAATGCTAAGCAAGATGAAATTTATATACCTTGCCTAAACAGTACTTGAAGCATAGTCCAAAAAAAAAAAAAAAAAAAAAAAAAAAATCAATTTTTTCTAAGCCATTTAGATTTATGGACCATTGATTAATTACTTTTACTGGGATCAATAATTAATTATACAGTAAATTTTATAAATAACTAACCTGTTTTTCTGCTCAGGTTTCTTCTGATGATGGGAGTTCTATTTTGCTGTGGGGCTGGTTTCTTTATCCGAAGACGGATGTATCCTCCACCACTGGTTGATGAAACAACTTATAATGTGTCATTCACTCGACCACCTAACTCCAGTACACCAGGTTAGAGATTACAATTGCCCTATCAGGTTTACACCTATTGTTCAATAATATAGTAATTATTTATTTCAATAATTACTGCCAGGTTCTCACTGATTAGATTGTAAAGTAATCCAATGCTTTACCTTATGAAATTTGCCAGACATCTTAAAAGACTTAAAAGGCAGATTGAAGAAGTATAACTTCAAAGCAAAATTTGTGCCATGAATAAAAGGTGTGACTACAAAGGATCATACAAAAAGTTAAAAAAAAAAAAAAACAGGTTGAAGACCATTTAGGCTATCTTAATGCAAGTTAAAGCCATAGTTGTTCAACTTATATATCTCCAATAAAGAGAGTCCATCCAAATCAGACAGATTTGCTATTTGAAATTGGCTATTAACAAATTTTTTCTAATATATCACCAGAATGTAATAAAAGTGAAGAAACAGTAGATCACCTAATAAGCTATTGCAAAATCACAAAAACTGCCTGTAAACAACAGCATAATAAAGTACTATATTTTTCGGAGTATAAGATGCACCTTTTTCCCCACTAAAAGGGGGTGAAAATTTGGGTGCGTCTTATACATCGAATGTAGCCCCACCCACCCATTGGCCCCCATCCTTTGGCCTCTGCCTCCCAGCAATTTACCTCCTTGCAGCAAGCAGCAAGAAGAAACAGCTCGTTTCAGCTTCAGCAGAGCCTAATTAGCACAAGTTGATTGGATCAGCCTCCCAACTCTCAGCTGTTTTGCGCAGGCCTTTGCTACTTGCTGCAAGGAAGTAAATTGCTGGAGCAGATTTTTTTTTTCTTGTGCTAATCAACTTATGCTGAAAACAAAAATGAAAGTAAAGCAGGCTGTTTGCTGCGAGGCAGAGGCAGATTTCCTTTTTTTGTTTTCCTCACCAAAAAAGGTAGGTGCATCTTATAGTCCAGTGCATTTTATACTCTGAAAAATACAGTAGCTATAATACTGCATTGGAATATCTGCAAAAAATACCATTTGCCTGCAAGCAAGAACTGCTGGGACCACAAATAGGCAAAATAATAGAAAAGAAAGAAGCTAAATAGTTCTGGTATTTTCAAATTGAAATTAAAATTTCAAACAGAACATCCCAGACATAGTGTGCCAGATTGGGGTGGCTGTTTAATGAAAAAGAAGATAAAAGCACATTGTTTTAAATTATTTTTTCCATGGAATAAAATTATTATTATTTTTTGTAATCAAAGAAACAACACTAATATGTCTAAGAAACCCAAATACATCAAATGGTTTCCTTCAGTTATCAAGCCAGTCCACTCAAAATGTAAATACACTCTCACACATAGGATTCCAATGACACAGGGAATTAAACATATTTATCTATTTTTCTCCTTGCAGTTATTCACATATTAAAGTGTTTCATTGTATGTTGTTGAATATATACCATGTTTCCCCGAAAATAAGACCCTGTTTTATATTTTTCTGAACCCTGAAATAAGCGCTTGGCCTTATTGTCATGCGCTCAAAAGCCCGATTGGGCTTATTATCAGGGGATGTCTTATTTTGGGGGAAACAGATAGATTTTCTTTTAATCTTTGAACAGAAGAAAAGGGAAAATAAATTTAAATAGAGTTTAATAGTAAACATGTACTAAACAAAAATATAATTGAAAGGGCCATACCTTGAACAAGAAGTGATCTTTAAGCATATACTGTATGTACTATTTGCTTCAAATTCAAACATAAATTTTCATTTTGTCCATGCGTTACTGTGATAGAAGATATATCTTTCTACTGTTGAAGAATAAGCCACCAGAAATACCAGTCCCAGTTATATTATCTACTGACAGATTTCAAATCTGTGGATTGTAATTCAGAATTACCTGAGGATCTGTAAATGATGAGGGGAAAGGGCTGAATTGATACCATCAATGATTTGAAGGGAGTCATCATATCACATCATATAGGATGGTGAATACTTTCATAGAGGAGGCTCTGAGTGCTACTAGTCAAAAGGCATGGCAGATCTATCTTTTGTAGCATTACTTCATTTTTTGGAAGAGCTTAAAATATATAGGACAAAGAGTATGAAATTATTAAAGAATTATATTGTCCCAATAAAATCTGAGACCATAGCAAATAAAAACTTACAGTGAAACTGTATAATAAAAACTTTATCTGAAAACACTTGCTTTTTCTGTGGGATGTCAACTGGCAAAGCATTCCTGACCTGCTCTCGAATTGCAATAGGCAGGGGGATGGGGAATCAAGCCTCGCAGCTGCATCGAGGAATTTGCATTTCAGTCAAAACAAAGCACATTCCAGCCGGCAATGTCAAGGTCATCTACACGGAGACCCACAGTGGCCAGAAGGAGTGACTTCTACAACCTACCAAATTGCTTCATTGGGGAATGTGACTGATGACAGACCTTGGGGGGAGGGGGAAACAGGGTCAGAGCCAAGAGAATTAAGTGAGGTCAGAGTTGGCTTCACTTGGTCCATGCCAACATGAAGCTCCTAAACTGGATTTCTTTTGAAGTTTGGCTTGAGGCTCATGATTTAATTAGAGCATCGGTCAGAACCCTGACAAGGGGTATCATGGCAGCAACATTTTTTTGGATAGAGCCATATTACCATATAAGTGCCAGATAATTGTCTAATGATTTCTGAAGAGTTTTTGAGAAATCCATTTTAATTTCAAAACGAACACTGCCTTTTCTTTATAATATTCTAGTTTCTGTTTTATCCAGACATTCTATGAACTGAACTTACTTCTCTCTCACATTGTCACAGCATATGTATGATAATTCATTAAATACTAAGTTGGATGACTGACTCAAAAAATGGTGAAAGAGGAATGAATAGAAACAAGGCTTGTAGATACAATTTGGCAAATGCAACAATTATGAATATGAAATTAGTAGCTCAAAAAGAAGGTAAATATTGTCTCATTTCTAAGCTACTAAGAAAAAAGATCCACTTATTTCAGATTGCAGAAATCTGATCTTCTTGATGGGATTTTTTTATATTTAATGTTTTCTAAACTATACAATATAAAAAGCCTTGTGAATATAGCTTGAAGATCATCCAGAATTACTTGTTCAGACATGGTCACATTAATCAGTTTCTGATATTTATCATTATGTCTCTTTTTCAGGAGTCCAGCAGCCAGGAATGGCCTATTATGCAGATCCAGAAGGAATGACGATGAATCCTATGGCGATGAGTTATCATGTCCAACCTAAATCTCCACAAATGAACCAAGTTTATCCCCCTCCACCTTCTTACTGCAATACCCCACCCCCATCATATGAGCAGGCTGTGAAATCTTTCACATAATCTCTTTATTGAAACCAGCAGGACCTTAGTCAGAAGGAAGATAAATTGTGAGCTGAGCTGAAGACTTCTCAGAGCTCTACCATCCTTTGCTGTTGCTCTAACTACAATACTTTGGACAATAGTGATGGATTTACAGCACAGGACAAATTAAGTTTTGACATATTCAAAATGAGAAAAGTTTTGTGTGTGCTTCTCTTCTGAAACCTATATTTAAATTCCCTTTGCTGACCTTTTAAATTTATTTTCTTTGTGATTTTGATGCATATAGTAACACATGTTTGAGGGAAAGAATGGTAGTAAGCACAAAACAATTTAAAACTCTAGGAAGATATTGTATCATTTTACAGATGAAAAGAGGAAAAAAGATGATGGACTGAAGACAGTTGAATTACTTGAAGCAAATGAACTTGTTAATAAAGCTTAGACAAATAAAGAGTTGATAAAGGAAACTTGGAGGAACTGTAGTACAATATGTGGAAAACCTTTCATGTAAGAATAAAATCCCTTTGATTCACTAGCACCAACATTGGAGGGAAGAATATTACAAAATTTCCTATGCTACCAGTTTGTTGAAGATGGGCTGCCAAAAATAAGAAAATGCATTATCCTTTTGGGAGTGCAGATGTCATAGCAAATTGCTGATTTGGGATGGAATGGAAAATGCTTCTGAGGGTCAACAGTAATTTGCCAAGATAGAATAATACAAAAATTAATAGAAAATACTGGTTATGTAAAGAAAAAGTTTGGAGTTTTTATATTGATTCAGGGGACCTTTTTACAACTGTATTTTGGCATACACTGTTTTTATAGGTATTCCTAATTGGATGTGAGAGGTGCATCTGAAACAGGAGAACTCAGTAAGGAATCCTGGTTGGTCTGATTACAAACATGGGCTTGCTTTTATATTTGAGAATAGACTACTAGTACTTCCATTTTGTTTTCAGTTGTTTTCCTTTTTTGACATTGGAGACTTATTTCCACATGACTTTTTCCTGGAGAGTGGTGGGTGGGCTGGTTACATAGTTATTTATTCAGAGTGAAAATCTTACTGAAATTGAGATTTGCCAGGTACTGAGACGTGATTGCAGATTTTCCAGGATGTGATAAAAGCATCATGTAGAAATCCACAGGTATAAATCTCATCCATCAAAAGTATGAGTCTCAGTTTCCATAGATTTTTCTCATTAGAAATGTCCTGCATTTGGCTGCTGACAGCCCAGGTTCAAGACCTGAACGCTGCGGGACAGGGTGAGCTTCTGTTACTTGTTCCAGCTTCTGCCCACTTAGCAGTTCGAAAATTTCCAAATTCAAGTAAATAAATAGATAACATGGTGGGAATGTAACAGTGTTCCAGGTGCTTCGGCATATAGTCGTGTTGGCCACATGATCACAGAAAATGTTTTCGGAAAATGCTGGTCTCCTTGGCTAAGAAATGAAATTGAGCACTGTCCCCTAAAGTCAGACTTGCCTGGACAGGGGAAACCTTTACCTTTACTGGCATTAGAAATATTTAGGAACTCAGCTCCTAGATCTTGTTTCCACTAAAGAATAAATGAAACTTAAGGTTACTAGGATGTATCTGGACAGTTTTTCTTTTAGCTAGGCTTCTGCAGGTAAACTGAGAAAGCTGGGCAATTGTGAATTCTTCCCTTTAATCTATAAGTGATGTATAGCAGAATGACATTCAAATGAAGGGAGAAGAAAACCAGATAATGCTATGAAAGTTTACATGAATGGATAATGTACCACCAATTCATCTATCCATAATATTGGACTTCAGTCTTTAAAAAAATGGGAAATTTCTAGATAATCTGTAAGATCTGAAGGAGTATCTGAGAGGCACCTCCATTTCAGTGCATGGACATCTTTGGAGGCAGTATTCAAATGAGACTTTGATTTTAATTAATTCAGTACCTTGACTGAATATATGTTATTTTCGTTGTGTATTGGTCAAATGAATATATTTTGAAAAAAAGCGAAACTCTGGCATTTACATTTTAGACATATATCTAAACTATTTTAAATGTTTGTTTACAATATGCAAAAGATTTGCATCACAGCTATAATGAGCAATTTTTTTCAAGAAGCGAGATTGCTGGATCATTTTTTTCTACCTAGCCTTCTGTAATACATGAAACTTCCTTGATAATTCTTAAAAATAGTAAGAAAGAAGCTATTGCTATTCAATTTTAGTGTCTTGCTTCTGAGCCAAGTGTAAATGATTAAATTCTAGAAATTTTTAAGTTTATTAGCATTTCATGAATATTTAAACTGGGCTGCAATTTAAACTGGGCTGCAATTACATCTTCAGTTTCAGATGTAATCAAACTTTTGAACATTTTTTGAACTATACATCTCAACTTCAGCCTTTAATCTGAAATAACTGTTTTTTTTTTTAATTTTTTTTTTAAATTTGATTTATATGCCGCCCTTCTCCGAAGACTCAGGGCGGCTTACAATGTGCTCAGCAATATGTTTTATGTACTGTTCCCTGAATATTACTTTTAATTTTAATTACAAGGGGCAATTGCTGTGCTAAGTTAGAAACTTTGACAGGATCAAAGATAATATAATACCATAATGTATATAATGTAATATTATCTGAAAACATAGAAGATTGCAATGTTCAGCCTGCAGAACCTTCATTCATGATTTGTCAGTTATAGTGAAAATACATATTGAATGTAGGAAAGTAACAACTACTGAACACTAAGGAAGTTATGAAGTCTAAAAAAAAAATCAATTGATGCCCCAGTTCTTGAAAAAATACTTTTATTATATATAGATCTTCAGTATTTGAGAAAGGAACTATTATTGTTGCAGTAGCTTTTCTGCAGAATAAAATTTCAGTTAAATTCTTTCTGAAATTCAGAAAGTTTAAAAACACTAAGTAGCAAACAATAAACTGAAAAGCCATTAGTACAAATTGAATTAATGGGAACTTTATCTATTATCTTGCAAAATTAAGTCCTAAAGATATCAAGGAGAAATGATCACATATTGACCCTTTTCCCTTTACCAGATCGTGATCTATTGATAGGCTCCAGATTTTTCTCAATGTAAAACAAGATTTTTCTATTGAGAAAACAACAATTAAATTGAAGGTACAAAATGTGGTTGTAAAATTCAGACTCTGCAATCATACAATTTTCAATTATATGCATCATTCATTCTAGTTTTGCTCTCAAAGCCTATAAAAAGTAGCATAGTTATAATTACATACCTGATTCAAAAGAATTAACTTACAAAGTATAGCTGCAAGACTTACTTTGAGAATTCAAGGTTAGGAAAAAGGACTAGAGACCTTACAATATATACAATACAATACAATAATGTATGCAGTGGTGGGATTCAGCCGGTTCTGTCCAGATCGTGCAAACCAGTAGCAGCGACTGTGGAAGGCTCCCCCCCCACCCAGCCAGACATAATGTGTGACTACTGCACATGCACAGAAGGCTGTGCACATGTGCAGAGGTGGCGCACTTGAGTGAAGCTAATGCGCGAGTGCGTACGCTCACATTTGCAAACCGGTAGGGAAGGTAAGTGAATCCCACCTCTGACTGTATGTATGTTAAATCTTTTTCTATTCTATTTGAATGATTGTTATTTTTAAAATCATACTTATCAAGAAGTTTCCTAGATACAAATATACCATAAAAACTATTTATAGTTTTCTAAAAACATGTAGAAAGTAATAAAACGTAGGCCATCCTTTTATATTCTATTATATATGTTGAGGTGAGTTCCTTGTTATATATCCCGAGAGATACTCTAGCTATATAAAAGTTCCAGTACATAAATCTTAATCATTTTTTTAAAAGTTGTGGGTCATTATTATGTAATTTAAGAGAACAGTTTGGTTCTCAAGTTATTACAGAGGAAGTTTACAAACATTTTGCAAATGCTACATAGCATCTATTACTTTGATTAATCACACAAACTATAATATGAAGAAAATGTTGGGCTGTGTTTATTCTAAGTGCAGATAGGGATGGGATCACATGGAAAAAAATATTAAAAATGAACACATCAAGAAAAAGGTTAATCTCTTTTTGTCATAGTTCATTTTTATGTATTTAAGACTTTATGCATTTAAGAGTTTATGCACTTAGCACTCTGAAAAATCTTACAATGCCAGAATAGTTGAGACTGGTTCCAAAGCTAAACATATAGATAAGATTCAATCTGAGATAATTCAGTTGTTATAAAGAGCACTTTCCCTGTTGCTCCCCAGAAGCCAGTAAAATATGTGTAAAGACTTGCAGAATTTTACTATTATTATTAACCTGAACAAAAAAATTAAAAAGGACATTTCATAAAATGTAATAGACATAAGAATTATGCCTCTTTTTGGAGTGTTAAAGCAGCAGCCTCTTCTGGAACTATGAATGTGGTATCTTTAAAGGGTTTTTTTCTGGCTGTTAATACGGGTTCATAATATACTTCACTGTATATGGGAAAAGTTGTGCAATGATTGTGTCAATCTCTCCGAAGGAAACATCTGCTCTAATGCTTTGAGGACTACTTGGCTCATGCCAATACATCTTGTGTAGTTCCTTTTTGAATGTTTTGTATAGCTAAAATAATTATGTTTTGTAGTAGCCAGAAATATAATAGTTATGTGTCTATTTCACCTATAGTCCACATTTACCATGATAACAATCCTTAGACATGTGTGGGGTTGAATTGAGAAGCGCAAATCAAATCTATCTTGGCTTTCTACATACTATGTAAGCAATTTCTGTTCCATCAATACAATAATAAGATAGGATCAGTTCACCTGCATTTTCATAATTGGTTGGCTGCTACATTATTAGGTTGCAAATATGTGTGAATCATGTCTGATAGAACCACCATATCATTAAAATAATTAAGCACAATATTTATTGTTAATTGGCAGCAAAAAGAGATATCAAAGGCTGAATTAATTTTGGTATGAGAGAACCTGATTTATTATTGAGCTGTCAGGCTTGAATTATAGCCTCTCCTTTTCTCATTCTACTATTTAGCTTTTGTGAGTTTCTTTTAGCAGAACTTTTAGAAAACTAGAAAGGTGCATACTTAAAATTTGGGAGGAATCTAGGAGTTGGGTTTATAAGAGTTCATTAAGTGCTGCCCATCTTTGTTTCATAATTCAAGAGCTGATTGTAGTAAAAGTTAGTCTTTGTTTTAAAATGAATTGCTTTCAGTTTTGTTTATAATATGGTCTGAGTTGCCTCACTGCACTTAATGATTGTATATATTTTCAGAAATAGCACAACTTTAAAGCCGCATAGGTTAACTGATAAATCAGGAGTACCTCTCTTAATGTGCTGAATTCTATAGCTGGTAGGCATTCTTCAAAGCTTTAAGCTAGTCAGTATGTGCTGAAAGCTGTTAATTTTTAAACTGTTTTTGTTGTAATTTTTAAATTGTTAATTTCCTTGTTAACATTGTCTGGAATTTATTTTTATAGTCAAATCTTATTCAATACATTGAAATTGAATGTCAAATATTTTTCATTGAAGTTTTTTCTTATGTTTTTATTATTAGATTATATCACATGTGGAGATCTCGGTGCTCTCTGAGATTTGTTGATTGATTGCAAAAGTTTAATTATTTGACTAGGTTACATAATCAGTGCATGTATAGTTTGTTTCCTATTTAAATACAGTAGCTTCCCTTGCCAGTTTTTGTGTATATAATTGTACAGTCCTTACACTGTGTATTATGGATGACTCCTGTTTTTCTTTTTCTTGGCTACTGGGTCATTTAGTTTACTTAAGATATTTTGGAGGGCTTTAGTTAATTTGTGTGCTATGGTGATGCCATTTGATTGTAATGATCTGTTTGATGGTTTCTGAGATGCTGGCTTTTGTTGATTTGTGTGCTACACTGATGCTATGTGGTTGTAATAGTCTCTTGGTTGTTTTTTATATTTTTTAAATATATGACAGTGTTATTTTTTTCATAGCTTGTATTGGTTGTCCTGAAATAGGTTGAGTGGTCAGGCACCTTTTGATAAAGTTGTGTGGTATCTATTTTGTTGGAAGATGTTGTATAGGGAGTCTATTTCCTTTTTCTGGTGTTCTTAGTTGCTGCAATGTGTATGTACTCATATGAATAATGTCCTTACACTGTTCCCCTTGTGAGAAACTGGCTTGTTATTTAGTTAATGCAAAGATTGCATAGATTTGCACTTCTAATTTGCTATCAGTTCTTCTTCTGCTGAGGATATTCAGGAAGAGTAATATGTTGCTTTCTTTTTCTCTTATTAATATTATTAATATAATATTATTGAGGATGACATTGATTGTTTCACATCTCTTCTCTCCTTGTACCTTTTTCATTATGGCAAAGGTGTCATCTGCATACCAGGTCCATAATTTTGGCTGTATGTGTGGGAGGGCTGTATTTTCTAGATACTGCATTAGCCTCTGCTATTGAGATTGCTATGAGTTATGAGAGTAGTGATTCCATGAGTGTTCTGATTTGTTGCTCTATTTGTCTGTTAAATTAGCAATGAAGCAGAGGTTGATGAATTTCAGCATCTATTTTTAGGTCTTTGATTTTGTGGCAGCACCATAGTGTTGAGTTGATAGAATATTCAGTCCATTCTGTGAGATGTCCAAGCTTTTTTGTACATTCTTTGGCTGTATTGTGTTGGGTCTCTGGCAATAATACAATTGGATGAGGAGGTATGTTGGGCTTGTGTCGTTTGGAAGCATGGGAGGATGCATCCAGAAAGATTAATGCAATTTTTTGTCACTGTTTGTCACTATGTAAATATTCAATTATATTCAAAATTACTCTTACGTTATCTTTTAGTTGTCTTTTAGGTAAGAAACGACATTGGTCTTCATGTATATAATCCTGTAAAAAATGTTTAAGTATTTCAGCTAAAATAGATGTAAAGAGTTTGTAATCATTACTAAGGAGGGAAATTGGCCTGTAATTCTTCACAGAAGTTAAATCCAATCCATCTTTGGGTATTAAAGAAATGTAGGCATCTTCTAAGAATCTGGCATAGAATTCACTTCTAGAATAGAATTCATCAAGTTCTTCATCGAAAGAAGTAGTGGATCTTCAAAACTTTCATAAAATCCACTTGGTAGGCTATCTAGAGTTTTGTGTGTTTTACCTCTTTTAATTGCTTCTATTATTTCAAAAGTTGTTATTGGACTGTTCAAAATTTGCTTGTAGTTTTCTGATGGTTTAGGAAGATTTTTAGTTGATATATTAATTCTCCATACTGTCCAAAGAGATTTCTTGTGCTTTATATAAATTGGTATAATATTTCCAAAAAAATATTTGAATGTTTTTATTATCCATGTAAATCTTATTCCCATCTTTAATCTTATCTTTTCTGTCTATTTTCTTAGTTTGTATGCGAACCATATCTCTGGTTTATTTTTATGTTCAAAAAAGTGTTGTTTTGTATATTTAAGTTTCTTTTCAATAGCTGAAACAATCAACAAGTTTGTTATTCAATAATTTTAGCTGATTAAGTGTGTTAGAATTTTCTGGTAAATTCTGGAGTTCTCTCTCCTTCAATTAAAGCTTGAAAGAAATTTTTTATAAAGCGATGTATCATTGGTATTTGACCCAGACAGACTAGTGAAAAAATATAAAGGGATTTCTAATAAGTGCTGGAAATGTAGTCAAAATCCAGGTTCATTTTATCATTTGTGGTGGTCTTGCAAATATGTGAAAACATACTAGATAGACAACAATGACAATGGAGAAAATATTTAAGATACACATCTTCATGAAACCTGAAGCTTTTCTTTTAAATAAGATGGACAAGCCAATTGAAAAAACAATTTGGGTGTGATTCCTTCACATGGCGACAGCTGCGAGGATTGTACTTGCAACACTGGAAAGAAAAAGGGATGCCGATTATTGAAGAATGGATTTTGAAATTGACTAAATTAGCAGAGATGGCAAAATTAACTGCTTTGATTAGAGATAATGGACTAGACAACAACTTTGTAAGAGACTGGAAACTGTTTGTGGATTTTCTATATGTTAAAATACAACAACAGATGGTTAACAGGGATTTGAAGATCAGTATGTTTAGCTTAATTTATTATTTCTCTTTCTTCTTTTATATATATGTAATTTATTCTTTTTTATTTATGTAATTTATATATATGAGAATTTACTGCTATCTCTTTCTTTTTCAGACCCATCTGGGCTGGATTTTATATGTTAAATTTATTTGGATCATCTTTTTCTCTTTTTGTACACCATTATTTTTTTTATTGTTGTTAGTGCTGAACCTATGCTTTTGTTTTTTGCATTTTAGCCTTTATGATAATATATTTTTTATTTATTTTATTTTATTTTATATCAAATTTATATACCGCCCTTCTCCCGGAGGACTCAGGGTGGTGTACAGCCAAATAAAAACATAGACTACAAACATTAAAATACTATTAAAAAGATATATATAAATTTGGCCCCGTAATTAAAAGATAATGAGAACAACCAACCAATGGAACAGCTTGCCTTCGGAAGTTGTGGGAGCTTCATCACTGGTGTAGGGTCTCCTGCTTGAGCAGGATGGGTGGGTGTTGGACTAGATGTCCTATAAGGTCCCTTCCAATTCTGTTAATCTGTCTGTCTAATAAGCAGCAGCAACAGTAACAGCAGCAGCAGCAGCAATCCACTTCTTTTCATCTGCACTGTTCTTTTGTGCTTTTATATTTCTTGGTTAGGTTGTTGAGAGATTGCTTGATCAATTGTCTAATTTTGGTATTGAGTTGGGGGTTTATTGAGAAATAGGCTTCTTTTTGCTCCAATTCTTTGGCTACATTTTATATTACATCTTATAATAAAGCTACTGTTCTAGTGAGTTCTGAACACAGTTGGAAAAGAAGTAAATCTTAATTAAATATATTGGATATTTTGATTCTTGCTTTGCATAGAATCTATTTTGCTCTGTTCTTTTCATAGCATTATTAGATCTTTGGAGGTTGTTTCCTCTGTAAATAAGTAAAATTGAACCGAGGGACACAGAGTACTGATTGCTCGTCTATTGTCAAGCTTACTAATGTGAACAGCCTTACACAAATTATAGTTTCGTAAGGTTTTCATGCGTATCTTCACAATAACACACCTATGAAGGTTAAAACACAGTTTTAAACCTTTTAATAATTCTGAATCCTGAGAAAGTCACAAATAGGTGGACCCACAGAACTCATCCTAAGTAACTCTTAAGGAGGTTAATTTCATGGAAGAATAATCCACCTAAATAGAAATGATATGCTAGAGTTGTATTTAAGAGTACAACCAGAAATTTTCCCATGGAAGAGAATATCAATTGTGTTTACACTCCCTCCCTCCCTCTCTCTCTCACACACACACAAAAGCACACACACACACAGAATCTTAGAACTGGATTCAAGTGCATTTATACTTGATTAAGCTGAAAGAGAGCACATAAGATAAATCCAATGCATAGGGGAATTTTAAAGGATTATAGAAATATAGAGTATTGCTAGATGAGATTCCAATGACAGTGCTTTGTTCCAGTGAACATACATGGCTTACTTTCAGCCTCAAATAATATTCTTCCTAGAATAATCATTCCTTATCATTCAAGACCTAATTAGCCAGATTTTAATCATGTCTGGAATCACAGCTAGACAGAGTAGTGAAGCTTTGTTCCAAATGGGGCCTTCATTAATATTTTGCCCCAATCTCTACTTTGTAGACATCAATAAGCCTCTTTGTACTAGCTGTCAGATCCCACCTAAGTAATGCAAGGGAGAGTGTTCCTTTGGAGCAGGCATGCGAAGAAGTCCTGCAAGCTGGCTCCCAAAGCAAGAGGTTATGCTTGCTAATGAGACTTTTCTATAGCACAGCTCTTTGGGTTTCTGTCACATCTAATAACTGCATTCGTTCTTGGAGAGATTGGGTGCAGGAGTATGGCCACACATCTTTTTCACAGATTAGACAATGGCAACAATCCTGCTCACAAACACCAACTCATGTATTCCATAATTCAACCATGTGCAGGAATGAATTTTTTTTTAACAACATACAAGCAACAGGGCCAGCTAGTAAGATTTCAATACAAATTAGTAGCAATGGTAATATAAATAATAGCTAGAGTTCTGCCTGATTAGCTACTTGTGCAAACCTGTAGTTTACAAGCTATTTCATTCAAAATAAAGTTAATTTTGGATGAAATTTGGAGTTTGGTATTTCTACTTTCTCTCATAGTTCTTACAATTGGATATTAAATTAACCAATACTCATTCTTTGAAGACAAAGACGACAACAATGCATTTCCATCTATTTAATAGCCCAAATAGAATCTGACCTGAAAAGCCGCCTTTGAATAATGAATACATAAGTAGTGTACCAACTTAGGGCAGATATAAATCAACCCATTTCTGTCCTCCTAGCCAATGTCAGTTTATCCTTTTGGTTTTCTGTAATTTCCCTAACGTATATATCCTGGAAATGGACTGTCTACCTCTCAGCCACCTACTACTCATAGTATCATGAACGTCCACTTACTCAACTCACATTTGTCTTTTCACTTATAGACAGTTGACAGGCAGAACTTCACTTTTTTGACTTGGACTTGTCTGTTCAAGTCCTCATATAAAAGGAAGGATTGATTTAAACTAAAAGTCTGCAAAAGACCATGGTGAGTTCTATACTTTGCCTGCAAGGAAATTCAGGGCTAATTCTCATGAGCAGAATTCAGTTGACAAATAATTTACAACATACTTTCAAATCAGATGTAAAGCAAATCATCTTAGAAGCTTCCATAAAACTATGTTTAAAATCAATAGTCTGACTAGTTCTGAGATTAATAACTGACTTAAGTTTAGTAGTCAGAAGCTAGTCCAGTAAATTTAAATGGGGGAATCCCATTTCTCGGCAAACTCATTTAGAAGCAAACTACGAACATTTTAAAACAAGGTAATATTCAGACATGGTAGCTCAAAAAATTGCAGCGTTTTCAAAGACAACTCAGTTTTCCTTATTTAAAAAATTCTCAATAATATATTTCTGTCAGATAATTGCTCTTCCAAGCAGGTCTAAAAATTCTAAGCACTTAGAAATAGATCTCTGTTGTAACAGTAAGTATATAAAAGATTCAATTGTAGGATTTGAGCTGCCAGTTACGATGGAAATTACTTAGTAAATCTTCTCCAGCCTAGTTCATTGTAGATGTGTTAGAACTAAACTCTCAGAAAACACAGCTGGCATGAGAAACGTGAAGTGTCTCAGGCTGGAGAAGTACAGTTTAGCATTTCTGATATTAAGGTGTTGTGTTGCAAATTTCCTTAAGGTAAATACACCTGTGGAATAAGCACAGTAATGTATCTATAATGCAATGCAATCAAGAAACAGTGAAAAGTAATTTTCCACGTCAGACTTTTGGGGAAATTTTGGAATCTGTCATTTTACAAGTTTTTACAAGTTTTTACAAATGGGCAGGTCAAACATAATTGTTCAATTGTTCTGTATCTTGCTGTCTTTTTTTTTTTTTTTTGAAAAATCTGAACTGCAAAATATTTGGCAAGCAGTTTTTTCTTCCCAGGCCCATCATCTCTCCTTCAAAAAATGTTACTGTGAAATTACCCCTTCATGTTACACTAGAAACAATACAATGGCCATCACAAAAATCAGAAAAGTTTGATACATCTTTTAAATATCCATTCAAAGAGTGGAGTTTATCTTTCAGTGACTGGAAAGTTTTGGATTAATTTTAACAGTAGTCTTCTCCCTCCAAGTGGTATACAAATCTTGTTTATTTAGATTTTTAAAGAAGTTTTGAAATAATAAAGATGAAAAGTAACCATTTATTTATTGAGAAAGTTCAATTTAAGTGATCTACTCAATTATGTAGCTCTTGAATGGAAGGATGCAAAAAAAATGAAGTTTCAAAAAAATGAAATGACAAAAATGACATTTATATGGTGGTGGGGTTTTTTTGACAATGCATATATTTTTATATTTATATCATTGCCTTCTTAATCAGAATGTATTAGTTAGGTTCCATTGAGAAACCAAATGAGAATATTTTTTTTCTTTGGTTTGTTTGATTGTCTGCCAAACACAATAATCAAATACAGATATGCAATACTATGAAAGGGGTAGGTCCCTCTCCCCCCTCCATAAACTAAGATTTATAATCTAGATCCAACAGCAAAGAAGTAACCCAGCATATGTTATCCCTTGGCAATAAGTCTGTTCCAAATAGAAAAGTGTGAACTGAACAAATTTCAAAGAAACATTTCCACACAGCCAAGAATTGCTGGGTGTAGGACAAGTATAATAAAGAAAAAAAGAGGGAAATTATGTTATCCTATTTAATTGCGGTGCACTTAAACTGCCCCCATAATCTGGATCCACAGATTCCAGTCATTTCAGAGAAATGAATATAGTGTTGACGAAATAAATCATAAAAATATTCCCTATGGAAGGAAACAATGACTGTAAAAATGTTGGGCATAATACATCTAGAAACTGAGTATTTCTAAATTCTGTCAAATGAGATCAGGGCAATTTAAGCACATGGGACTTTAAAACTGCTGTACTGTGATGGGAGCAAACAAAATGCTCTAGAACTCTGAATTTATTTCCTGGCGAAAGGATTCTGTGACTTGAGTATCTGGCCTTTCCTGCTTCTCTCATTTATTGTGTCCAACAGACTGGTCCTATTGTCATCATGTACTTGTCAGCTGCAGAAAGAACTGTGTTGTTAGTACAGTCATGCATAGAAAAAACAACAGGACTAGATATTACAGAATGCTTTTCAGCTTTGCAACAAACAAGGAGGAAAATCACAGAGAACACCAAGAACATGCAAACACTTGAAAGACCTGAAGAGACAACTGAAAGCCAAACAAGAAACATCCCAACAAACTGAAATTTGCTCTTTGTCACTGTTAAAGATATCTCTTATAAGGAAACATCAAGGTATGGAATTCTCTCATTCATGCGCGAATGATAAACGCAGTCCATTGAAGGGCAGCAAGAAAATTTTCTTGCATCTTGCTGTTTAGACTCCAACATTGATCCAATATACTTTAGGCACTCGGCAGTCATGTTGCCTCTGGTACCACCTTCAGCTCCCATTTAGCTGTTGCACTCCTCTTTGTTTTCTTTCGTTTGGGGACTAAGTTCAAATGCTGGGAAGCGAGACTTTTCTGGAACCAAGATGTCAGAAAGGAAGTGGATAGCTCCTGCCATACCTGAAAAAGTAAGTTCAAAAGAAATGTGGCATCTTCATTCATAACTTTAACCAGGGGCATGGTGGCAGATATTTTGGGGAGAAACTGGACAAGTTTTAAGTCAATCCTTTCTCATGAAGATGTACAGATGTTAAGCAAGCCTACCTAAGACTAACAATTTTAATACAGAGGTCACAACTTGGAGGAAGAGTTAAAGACCACAAGGGTCATCAAATCCCCTCCTGGAAACATAATACCTACCAGTATCTTACTTTTTTATCGCTTAAAAAAAAAAGAAATTACAGTGCTGAAATCTGGTGGTATGTTCTTGGAAGAGTCTGAGTATTAAAAAAAAAAATCAACTCATAACTTGCCCATTGCAATATTATGCTGATTGAGAATTACATGGGAATCCCTGCAAGAGCTCTTCCTGGAATAAGTTAATTATTTAATAAGTAAGTACATAAGTAAGTAAGTAAGTAAGTAAATGCTCTAGAGGAAGAGGATTTTCTGAACCCTTTTCTGTCACGATTTAGGCCCAGGAATGGGAGTAGCACTGTTGTTCTGGTGTATGATGTATGCCAAGATCTGGATGGAGGGAAAGTGCTCCAGGGTCGCCCTAGTCCTCTGAACAGAATTCAGTATCATTTACAATAGTATCCTTCTGGATATCTATTGAGAGATAAATCCTTTCTATAATGGATTTATATTATTCTGAGTGGTAGATAGGGCAGATTGGCCCAATGGATATTCCCTTGTATAATGGCCAGGGTTTGGTCATTTTCATCTTTTTTTTAAACACCTACACTCAATCACAAAGAAAGTCTGTCTGTGGGAGAAGCCATCATCAACTGATGATATGCAGTTATATATTTTCAGCTTGAGTCAAGTCAGAGATGCTGTTGAGAGCTTGGCAAAGTTTGGAGATTGCTAGATTAGGAAAGGAACAAAATAGCTTGAACTCAAGGAGAATGATTTATTAGAAAGGCTTTCTATCAGATCTGGTTTTAATTTAATTTAATTTAAATTTAATGGGATGGCACTCTCTCTGAAAGAGCAAGTCTGCAAGCTGAGAATTTGCTTCAGATGGGCAAATAGAGGCCATAGCCATAAGGGCTTTGAAGCAGGAGGCTCTGATGTCAGTAATTTATTCTCTTATCATCACACAACTAGACCAGTGCAAGGTAGCTATACATTGAGCTGCCTTGGAAGAGCTCTTAGAAAATGTGGTTGATGCAAAATGCAGCAGCATGCTTGTTGACTGGTAGGGGAAAGGCACCTCAGTCCTATGGATCTTGGATTGGCTATATTTCATCCTGGGGATGTGTTTTCTATGGAAAAAATATAAGCTTCAGGATAGTCTGCAGTCTAAAAGAAAATGTGACAGCATAGATTTATCTGCTATTAGGGGCAACACCAGCATAAATTACCTTAGGAGAAAGTACCACTGAGCTCCATTGGACTTATTTCTGAGAAGGCAGAGATTTATGTTTGTGAATTTTAATTTACTTCTAAATAAATCTGGAAAATAAGCCTTTGAAAATAATTTACTTACTTAGACTTACTTAGGCCTTGTTAATTTCAATGTTGCTGTGTGATGGAAAAGGGAATATAGTTGTACACTATCATCCACCTCAATGATTTTCTACTCATCTGGATCTATGAAGTTGGAATTTTTTTCTCTAAATCCAAATACCTTTTTCAATCTGTTGCCTTCCAGAAATTTTGGATTAAATCTTGGCAAATTTCCAGCCAACATGCCATGGAAATACTTGGGAATTCTAGAAGTTACACACCAAACCCATCTGGAATGCAAGTCTTTGTTTAACATTCTGATATCCCATATCTATATTTCATATGCATTTTGTAATATAAAACCAATGCTTTAAGGCTGTTATTCAGAGCTTGACAGATACAAGTATTTTGGTTGCAGCCCACTCAGTTTATCAGAAATTTACATATATCCAAACCTAGCTTTATAGTCCTATGATGCAAATTTATGATTATTAAATACAGAATTCAAAAAACAAGCTCTTACCTTCAAACAATGAGTAGGGTCGATCAGGAATACGGCATCCATGTGCACCATAGTCTAGACACCATTCAGCAAACTGAGAAAATGACAAATAAGAGAATTAGTAAGTTTCTTGCTAAATAATATACCTAAATAAATATGTAGCTCTGCACTTATTACAGACTATATAGTGATGTTAATCTCTATTAGTATTAACTCTAAAGAGAAAATGATCAGCAGTTTATATAATGAGCTCTGGTGAGCAACAAATGACCCAGAGGTCATTAATTCAGAAATTCAACTACTGCACTGTCAGAAAATAGGGGCCACCCCTAGGCTGGACCATTATTTAGTTAAATTCAAATTTATATTAAGAATAAATTATATTATCAACAACATTATCATGCACACTCTTGCTCCTTAATTCCAACATACCTCCACTAAAATGACTGAAGATAAAAACCTAATACAGTTATCCTCATTGAAACTTTTTTTTAATTGGGAAGAAAATCAGCTGTTCTCCATAGCCTCTATTACCAAATGCTAACTAGATTCTGTGGCAGACTTTTGCATTTAAACAAACAAACCCAACCAAATTAGCAGCATCTTTTAAATTTGCAAATATGAATTCCTGTGCTTACCTCGCCAATCACCTTCAGGAGACAGGCAACTGAGGTGGAAAATAGAGATTGAATACTTGGCTGGGGGGAGGGGTGGAAATGGGGAAAACTGGGCGCAGTTGAGTTGAGAAATGAAATGGAACCCTTTGGAAGGGAACATGGCTGGCTGGTAGCAGCCTACATTGCACCTCTGAATACATATTTTTCTGTTGGTTTCTGCAATAATAATACAGATTCTGGGCATACTTCTGCTTTCCTTACTATCCCTTTAGGTGGCAATAATTTAGCAGAAGGCCATCAAATTAATTCTTCATTTAATACAACTAGAAGACTTAAAAGAAAATTGTGATTACTGTGTTCTATGTAATCTTGATTTATGAAGCCCTTCTGTTAGAAAACCAAGTGGTACTTTTATGCAGTAATCTTTTTTCTGAATATGGGAATATAGGAGTTCTGGTTTGATTTGACTAAAAAACCAGAAATTTGTCAGGGACACATCAATAAGAAGAACAGGGGTTTAGTGTTTTTCTAAACAAAGAGGAAAAAAATACCTTGCAAGCTCGGTAAAGATACTTTTTATCTTGAGTAAGATGATAGAGGGACAGGAAAGAGTAGCCATTTCCAGCAGTCCCATGACAGATTCCATATCCTTTCCTCAACAATCCCCTTTGCCAAATGACATCACTACATTCCATAGCATCCTTCAAATATTTATCTTCCTTGAAAACCTGTGGATATAAAGAAGCATAAAATCAGATGCCATTCTTTGCCAAACCTCAGCACAAGGTTTTGTAATTACAGGTAGTCCTCTACTTACAACTGCAATTAAGCCTGCAATTATGGTCATTAGCCATGAAGATTTTTAAATGAGTTACCACATGATTATACCTGATTTTGTAATTGTCATTAAGTGAACATCATGGTTGTTAAGCAAACTCATTGTTCTCTATGGGGCATTTTTTTTGCTAAAAGCTGGCAGTAAACATTGCTTTCTGGCAAAAAACATCATTAATTGTGGTTATGTGACCACAGGATGCTGCAAACTGAGATAAATGTGAGGCACTGCTGAATGCCTAAAATGTCATGTAAGTACAGGGAGGGAGGTGGTCACTGGAATGTTATTCTGGGTTGTAAGCAACTTTGGGGGGGGGTGTCTGTCATAGCTTGGAATGTTTACCAGTCGTACATAAAGCAAGGACTACCTGTGCAAAGAAATCTCTGGAGACTATTTGCATTCTCTTTGTGGAGGGATGAAACATGCTTTGCCATGAAACTGGGCAAGGGGATATTTTTTTTTTATGTAGGAAAGAGTATTCTTTGCGGAAAAGAATATCTACATTTAGAGATTATACATCCTTGCAGAATTGCTCATCCACATCAACTGTCATCCAGGTGTTTCATACTGCTTGCAAAAGCCCTATTCAGTACCATTACTCTCACAGCTACCTGAGCACGTGAAGGTACTGAGGCTGACAAAAAACCAACTTCTTTGATGAGGCGAATTTTCAGCTAAAGACTTCAAAGTTCTAATGTAATTTATCTGTTGTCTTCTGTCTCACCCCATTGTCTAAATCCAAACTGAAAGCTTCTCAAAACAAGATATAGCTTCAATTTATAACATTCAATATAGATTTTGTATGTTTCAGGCTACAGAACTAATAAAAGAAACAGCCAGAATGCAGCTTTGGGTAAAACTTCATTTAAAACAGTTTGTCTCAACTATGGGGAAGCAAGCATTGTAACTTAACTCAATTTTAAGGTTAATCTGAAGAAGAAACAGAAGAATAAAAACTACATTACATTTTATAAAGCAACACTGCAAAGTGTTGGAAGAATGGAGAGTATGTGCTATATAGGTTAATATTAAAAGTTTGAAAAATTACTTTTCATTTCAAATCATGTATTTTTTTACTATCAAACAAGGTCAAACAAGGACGCACCTCATAAGCTTGCATGAGCATATGGATGACTCCAGGTGCCCCATGACACCAATGCACCAGCCTGTCAGTTTCATTGCTTAAGGATGAGGGATAATTCCCAGATCGGAATTTTTTATGCCGCACATAGTCAATGCTTGGTTTCAAAAGTTCCATCAATGTCTCCCGTTCAACATTAGCTGCTGGCTGCAAAAGTAAATAAGATTTGTTTTTTCACCTGGTAAATAATACATTGTCATAAAAATGAAGTGTTTTGATCACATATTTTGATGAACCTCATATCCATGCTGAAGATCTGGAAAATAAATGCCCTAACTTATCTTTGTTTAATTACAGTTAAAATAAAATCTAAATTGCACTTTGCTCACTTTGCATTGCTTTGTGCATTACAAAAAATATTGTTAAAGAATAATATGATTCACTTGGCTTTCTGTGAAAAGTAGAATAATAACTTGTTAAGATATACCAAGAGGGATGTTAGCTTTCCCACATATTTGCTGCTTCCATATTTTGCAATAGTAAAATACTTGAACACAAATGGTTTGGCTTGCACATTAAACTAGGATTGCAAAGCTACTATGCAGAAATTCCTCATGCAGCAATATATATTTGCTGTGAAATAGCTCTATAAATCTTTGAAATCCGGATTCAAGGGTCACAATACATAGTCAAGATGTGCATGAACATTCACATCTCTTATGGGACTTGAAGAATAAATGAGCAGCTTCTTCATTTAATCATTAAATGGACAAAACAAAGAATATGATATCATTCTGAAGCTCAAACCCAGGCTCTTGATTTGTGGTACACAAACAAAACAGGGTTGCAAGTCAGTAATAATGAAGGCTATAGCAATTCAATTACTTACCTTTGATTCAATTGGAAGCAACAAATCAGGATCCTTGGTTTGTATCTCATATATGCTACTACTTATAGGACCAAGTCATCTCTTCCTCCTCTTTCTATAATATCCTAAGCTTTTAAATTTCATAATGTGGATTATCCTGCACAGATGTACATTTGGGGTCCGACCACAATGTGTTCATCCTTTGTTTCCAACCCACTGTCTGGAGCCAATGTGGATACCTTTTCCCTTTTCTAACAGCCCAGCTTATATCAATAACTGGCCAATGGCAGAATGCAAAAGCAGCAGCTCAAGAACAACTTTGCTCTGGGCAGGCAATTGATGGCAAATATTTTATTTCAGTCAGGGCTTCCCTTTGTATTGCTTTAGATCCACTTTAAACTCTTGCCCTCAACAAGAAATAGACTAATAGAAACAGCAAAAGTGTCTTGAGTGCAGGATCAGAGTACTGGAGAGGGAGTGTTCATTCTAGAACTTAGACACAAGCTCCAGGGCCAAGCCTGAGCTGTCCTCCAAAACTAACTAATCATCTTGCTCACTATTTATAATGGTTCTGAACAGGGATAAATGGCTTTTTCCACAATGCTGAGAAACTGCCAGTCACTAATAGAATAGCTTCCCTTCCCAAACAATAATTCCCCAGTAAAAGCTCTGTGCTCTCCCAGTAGGGCAATATTTCAAAGTGGAATTAGAGAATTCCTTTTAGCATAGTCTGAAAAGTAGACAGCTGAAGACAAAAAGTGACCTTTAGAGAATTAGATGACCAAAAAACAAATACATGGAACAGTTGGAACATCATGAAATTGTTGGTGCTGAGGTTGATTTGCTTGAGATCTTTCATTCAACTGGGAAGCATCATTGGTGCTAGTGAGTATGGCATTTACTCCCTCAGTACCTTATCCTGCCAGTGTTGGCAATTCTATGATAGAGTATTGTTTTCTGCTTGATTGTTGGTCTGGTGTTACTCTCCAATTATTTGGTGTAGATTGCTGCAAAGGATATGTTTTTTTTTTCTGTTTTCTTCATAGAATAGAATAGAATAGAATAGAATAGAATAGAATAGAATAGAATAGAATAGAATAGAATAGAACAGAACTGAACAGAATTTTTTATTGGCCAAGTGTGATTGGACACATAAGGAATTTGGTGCATATGCTCTCAGTGTACATAAAAGATACGTTCATCAAGAATCATAAGGTACAACACTTAATGATAATCATAGGGTACAAATAAGCAATCAGGAAACAATATCAATATAAATTGTAAGGATACAAGCAACAAAATTTCAGTCATACAGTCATAAGTGGAATGAGATGGATGGTGGGAACGATGAGAAAATTAATAGTAGATCAGACTTAGTAAATAGTTTGACAGTGTTGAGGGAATTATTGGTTTAGCAGAGTGATGCCATTCAGGAAAAAATTGTTCTTGTGTCTAATTGTTCTGGTGTGCAGTGCTCTATAGCGTCATTTTGAGAGTAGGAGTTGAAAGAGTTTATTTCCAGGAGTAAGGGGTCTGTAAATATTTTCACAGCCCTCTTTTTGACTCGTGCAGTAAACAGGTCCCCAATGGAAGGCAGGTTGGTAGCAATTGTTTTTTCTGCAGTTCTAATTATCCTCTGAAGTCTGTGTCTGTCTTGTTGGGTTGCAGAGCCAAACCAGACAGTTATAGAGGTGCAGATGACAGACTCAATAATTCCTCTGTAGAATTAGGGTTAGCATGTTATTGGCTCTTTTGAATGATGTGTAAATGTAGTTTATCTCTACATTCATTGATAGTTGATTTGTCTAATTGCCATGCTTCAGTAATTCTCTACTATTCTTGAATTTAACTTGGTTTTTGATACTCAGTGACCCAGCTGAAGTTGTGATTGAGTCTGTCTATGTTTTGTGAGATTAAGGACTTTTCATTGTCTTCTAACTGCTACTTGGATGTGCGCTGCTAGTCTTCTGCTTGGGTGCCATACATAGTGCTTGTTACAGTCCTTATTCCATTATTTTATAGATGATTTTGTTTTTTTCTTTTCTTCGACTGCTAGGACTTTTGGTTTACTTAAGATGGCCTGAAGGGTTCTCTAATTTTGGATGGTCTGGACGGTTCCCCAATTTTGGATTAACACCATACAAAAAAAATCATACAGAAAAACAATATGCTAATCAAGGAACAACCAAGAAGAAAAGCACTGATGATGTTACCTAGTTGAGTAATGAAATATCTGAACTGCGAGCAAACAACCATGCTCAATGAACATCAAGCGCTCAACTGTTCAATTCTGACCTACAGGTATTCTCTTCTATTGGAAGATGGAACATCACCTGCATAAGCATGTAGTAAATCCCAGCCACACCATGGGCTGCCCCCACATACTGTTTCCGGTGCCACTGGTACAGCAATGGGCAACGCTCAGTCTTTCGTTCTTCTCTGGAAAAGTTTTTCCCCGATTCAATGATGGATTCCACAACCTTATGCAGACAGAGGAGGAAAAAGAACAATCTAGAAGTACATTGTTCTTTTATTTCAATTATTATTTTCCCTAAGCAATGCAAACATATTCCTGCAGTGCTTGTCTTTTCTAAGAAGCTCTTTGGATACAAAGGAATCAAGTCTACTCTCAGAGAGCACTTGACATTTCCTAAGGTATCATGTCATTGTTTCTATATAATGCAATATTTTATCAGCCACAAAATTACTTTTATTACCTAGCTACAGGGGATACTAAAATATCTAAGTTTGTTGGAATGATGATACATTACCTATTCAGACAGCACTCTTGTTATCACTAATTTCCTTCATTTCTGGACTATTTCAGAACCCCTGAAAATTTTATCTTGTTATTACTAGTTTCTGTAATTTTTCAAGAAGGCTAGATGCTGGAAAATAAGACTTATTCATCTTTGGTTAAGACCCCTCCTCCTAGTAAAACAGTAATACATGGGACCTTTTGATTTATATTCTATAATTTTCTGAAAACTAAGCATTCTCTTTTCCTGCTCTTGAAAGCTGATATCAAGTTAAATTATTGCTTTAACTTCATCATTACTTAATAGGGAGTATTTCCAGGTTTCAAAAGGCAATGTGGATGTTTCCATGAGCCACATTATGTTCTTTGATACACATTATGCCCTTTGATACTGTACACCCCCAAAATACACTGCAACAAAAAACCAAACACCCATTGTACCAAAGAAGAAGAATGGCAGAAAGAGGGTAAAGTGGGTTATACGGTAGTGGCCAAAATTGTGGAAACCTTTTGGGGAAAGTGTATTTTTGAGGTTTGATGGCTAATAACACCACTTTTTTTTTGGAGTAGTACCATAAAATTATGTATCAATGGAAAGATAATGTAATCAAGAATGTAATGAGAGAGAAAAGTGACTTTTTACGAGGAATTCTAGATTTTAGGCCAAATTCCTGCAGTCTGTACCGAACAGTCATTGCACTCAACTTCACATTGCATTGCACCATTTCATCTTGTATACACCCAGATCAGGGACGAAATGCTCCTGGTTCGGACCGGATCGGCCGATCTGGTAGCGATGGCGGCGGGTGGTTCAGAGAACCGGTAGCAAAAATCCCTGGCCCACCCAATCGGCCAGTTTGCCTGCTTGCCGCTTCTTTTAAAAAATGCTTCCTTTAAAAAAGGCTTTTAAAAGATAAAATTTTAAAAACATTTTTTAACAACCTAAAATGCTTTTAAAAAGCTAAAAAGGCCCTGATGATCCCAGCTGAGCTGCCTGATCATTAGAGCCTTTTTTTTTTACTTTTAAAAGCATTTTTTACAATCTATTCAGCTGAATAGGTTGTAAAAAATGCTTTAAAAGTAAAAAAAATCATGTGCCACAGCTGATCACACGCCCGCATGCTATTTTACTTACCTCATGCCTCCGCGCGCGCACACCTCACATTTGATACATGGTGCTCACTTGTACATGCGTGCTAGTTCAGATTTTCACCACTGACCCAGATGATTTTCTTTTGTCACATAGACACAATCTCTTAATTCTTCTATCATCACTTGCTGTTGTTCACCTTCTCCTGCCTTTACTAGTGTGGTTTTGTAGCGACTGAGTCTCCTTATACCTCTTCAAAAACTTAGAAATGCCACCTTTGGTTAAGTTCCCACCAATTTTTCTTCTAATTTCTTTATAACTGTAGCCTTGTTCACTTAATAATACTATTTTACATTGCTTTCTGGGTGACCAGTCAACTCTTTGCACCATTACTTCAATTTTATTATGTTTTACAAGCTCACTAAATGAAAGAACACAAAAAAACCCATCCAACTTCATAGCGATCATATAACACACTGACAAATGTCCTCCTCTCAGCTTCAATAAATGACATCAATAACTGAATCCTACTGTGATCTGATTGGCTCATTGATAAAACAACATGACACCTGATTGGCTCTCTAAATACTCATGCTCATTGGCTACAATCAGATGAAGGAAAACTACCTGATATCAACCTAAGCAAGTTGTGCTTCCTTTTTCTGGTTATTTGGCTATAACTTTTCATAGATACAGATAATTGAACAAACTTTGTTGCATTACGTTTTGATTAAATTATCTTTCCATTGATATTTATATATAATTTTATGATACTACTCCAAAATAAGTGGTGTTATTAGCATCAAACCTCAAAAATACATATTTCCCAAAAGGTTTCCACAATTTTGGCCACTACTATAAAAGAACTAAGCACCATGAACATCTAGAAATATTCTTCTTTCCAAAGCAGATAATTCAAGTTGAACTCTCTGGAATATCAGTGAAAGAAAGAAAAAGTATACAATTGGATTTAAGAGTCCATTTGTGGAAAAGTGGTATCCTTTAAATTTGAGTGTCTACAACATTCAAACTGAATTATGCAATTAAGCAAATGATGTAAATTAATACAAATGTCAATTGTATGATTATGCAAATGACATTAGGCTTTAGGAAAAGTGGTTTTTTTATTCTTTGGAAAATGAAATCCCATACAAAGATGACAAATCCTATATACAAAGACAGCTGAACAGTTTACAAAATCAAGGTTTTATTGTATTTCCCTTACCTCTTTGATTACTGATTGTGGCACTGTCTCAGGATCAATTTCAGTATTCAGATAAAGCAAAGCATACAGGTAACCAGATCTTCCATAAAGCAACTCATCTGGAAGGTCAGAATCTGAAGCAAGGACTATTCTCTGGAGCTGCAAAAGTCTGCGCAAACCAGAATTGAGAAAATATGCAATGGAACTCTCATTTTTACATTAAATCTCAGATATAATTATGGGATGGGTTCTTGTAAATCTTCATTTGACTTCTATTCAGATTATGTAGGATATGTCCTCCTAAAATGTTGTAGATAATGCAATATGTGTAAAAGTGAAAGGAGCTTCTGGAATTTTTAGAAGCTCTGACATAGATGCCCCTGGCAGCCAGATATTTTGGAAAACTACTGATTCCAATCTCATTTATTTTTGATGAAGCATGTTTATAATCTCATTTTTATCACTCTTTGCTTATGTTTCACAAAACTCCCCAACCTTATTATTAGGACATGAAGAAGTTCCATGTGACAGAGAGATATTATTTGCAAAAATATGGCAGAGATTAATCTTCCACCAGGGATGGATTAGCAGGCAACTGATTAAAATTCTAAATATAAACATCAATAGAAGAGTGGAATTCCTATGAGCCAATCAACCGTCCAATATAGAGGCGAGAAAGAACATAAAGAATGCAAACATCAAACATATGACTCTTCAAACATGACTGTTGTCAATTTCAAAGTAGCTGAATGACAGGAAGACTTTCCAAAAGCCTCAAGATCAGAATATTACTTTCCAGAATATTTTTAAAAATTAGAATAAAAATATTAAGACACACACACAAAATTAAAATAGGTCATTATTTAGCACAGAAAAAAGGACAACATGAGGACAAAATGCTCTATCATCATCGACAGGGGGATTACTGGGAGATTACTGGGACTGTTTGCCAGTAATCATCTGCCCGAAACAATCCAAAAGGCAGTCTTATACCAAGGAATATTCAGTCAACCTAGTCTTTTTGTTCAGTTACTCACTTGGTCACACATTCCTTGGATTCACTATCATTTTTCATCTTGTGGTACACAACTGCTCCCACTGCTAAAGGTCCAGCATCACCACAAAGAAACGTAACTCTTCTACCATTGAGATTACGAAGGATTCTCTTCACATAATCCAGGGATCTCTGTAGGTGAGTTGGCTCCTTTGTCACACGATATAGTTGAAGATACAAGAGGGCTATGCCTGAAATTGCCACACAGAAAGAAAGATGGAAGATTTAGTTGGTAGTTTTCGCTACACCTCTGATCACATATCTGATACACTGCAGGCATCATTCATGTACACATCTAAATCCAGTAATTTAACACGTTAAGAGCAAGGCCTACCACTAAAGTATCACATGGCATAAAAACAATTCCTTACAGTTTTCTATTCTTTTTTCCCTTGCCCTCTTTTTTCTCTTCTCTCTATAACTCTCTAGTGCTCTTCTTGTAGGAAACTGTAAGAGTTGGATTTCTTCTGCAGAAAGGGATGCAATTGGTTATTAGCCAAAACTAATCAAAATCCCCCTTGTAGGGCTCCCAGATGAAAATAGGTTTCTTATGGGAAAGTTTAGTTTCATCCAGAGGGTTAACCACATATAAGAGCCTTATTGGCGCAATGGTTAGAATGTAGTATTGCAGCCAAATTCTGCTGATTGCTGACTGCCAGCAGTTTGGCAGTTCATTTTTCAGCAGCTCAAGGTTAACTCAGCATTCCATCCTTCCAAGGTTAGTAAAAAGAGAACCCAGATTGTTGGGGGCCTGCTGCTGACTCTGTAAAGCACTTAGAGAGGGCTGGAAAGCACTGTGAAGCAATATATAATCTAAGTGCTATTGCTGTAATCACCAAGACCTTGGACTTGTTTGAATTTATCTTTAGATTGTTCTCCAGCATCAGACTATTACAGACTAAAACATCTACAATAGAAGCTCCTGAAACAGCCTATCTTGAACTTTCAGGAAAGAAGTGCAACTGGGAATCATTATGTACTAGTAGAGCTAATTGCATATCCATGTATAGTTTTCATAGATATTAAATAATGGGAACAAGATCAACCATGCAGTATTTCACAGGACAATTCCCAAGAAGGTCAAATTGATATCTCCCAAGATCATCTTCTAATAACACTTGAAAAAGGAGAACCACTTGAACTCAAGCTATTCAGATATTCAGGGGTATCAACATAATTCCAATTTCTCTGTTTCAATTTCAGTTCCTGGTTCATTTTGTCTATTAGGCCTACCAAACCCAAGTGGGAAAATGTATTGGCTTCAAAAGATGGCAGTAGTTGTTTGATTGTTCAGAAAATAAGGATTAGATATCATAAATAATTGAAGGGAATACCAGGGCTGTAAAACTAGATCAAGAATTTGAAAAGTATCATGTGAATGGTAATTCACTTCTGTATTAATGTCAAGAAAATTATGTGGGTATGTGCACAAAATTATCAAAAGTCTTTGACTCAAAGAATACTTTATTTCAATCCACTGACTTCCATTACTCTATATCAGGGGTTTCAAACTTGCATTGTCACGTTGTGGTCACGTGACGTATCAGAACTTTCCCCCCTTTGCTAAAATTGGAGTGGGGGTGGCCAGCCTGCTGGCCCCTGCTCTAGATCAACATTTTTCAATTGGTGTCATTCAGCAGTATCAGGATTTGGGAGTTATCGTCCCAACACCACAAAATGAATCAGGTATATTTTAGATAGCTTAACATATAGACCAAAAATACTACTATTAACTAGATGGAGTTATGTGTAATTATCATTGTTTTCTACAGTGGTACCTTTGTATTGACTGCTTCAAAACACTGAATTTGGTACTCAATGCATTTTGACCCTGGAATGGAATGGAATGGAATGGAATGGAATGGAATGGAATGGAATGGAACGGAACGGAACAGAACAGTTCTTTATTGGCCAAGTGTGATTGGATACACAAGAAATATCTCCGGTATATAAGCTCTACATACAAACAACAAAGCAGTAAGTCATAGATCATAAAGATATAATAAATCATGAGATACAAACAAGTGACAAATCATAAGATATGAATAGGAGAAGGTGGTATGTAAGATGAGAAAATAAGAAGGATAATAGCAATACGGCCCTATTATATGGGTAAATATCTTCAGACAGTGCTGTGGGAATTAGATGTTTAGCAGTGATGGCATGAGGGAAAACTATATTTGTGTCTAGTTGTTCTGGCATGCAAATGCCAAATGTTGTCCCAGGACTGGTACTCTTTTTGGTACTCTGAGATAGGAAAAGAGGGATTGCTGTGGAGAACGGGCAGGAAGTTGGCTATGCTGGGAAGGTTGCTGACATAGGAAAAGGGACAGACAGGAAGTCCTTCCCAGCTAACACAAAAGGTAATGTGATGCCACTCATCATTTTTAGTACTCATCGAGCCTCCCAGAACTAATTAACAGTGAGTATTGAGGTACCATTGTATTTTTTATCACTGAAGAGAAGTATGTAGGCAAATAATGCATTTTGGTAAATCATATTATTTATTGAAATATAATTAAAATGCAAAAATATTTTTTACATTTAAATTAAACAGGTTAAAAAAAGAAAGCTATATGGGGATGGCCCTTTATTACAAAAATATTGATTCCCAATTCAATTAACTATCAATTGTCCTAGCTTGTCTCACAAAACCTATGGCTGCACAATGGATAACAACATATATATATCACTCTGAGCTTCTCCAAGAACAGGATAAACACAATGGGAAGAATAAAAATTCCAAAAATAAAAGTAATATGAATATATTTACATTTAACTCACATAAAGCTCCAAAAATATTTTAACATAATGTTGTATTTAAATGTTCATGTTCAAAACTAAGCCTTGTCCTAGGAGACTGATATGATTCCTCTTATTTCTTATTGTTTGCCGAAGTTTGGATTCTTTCATCATGACAGGAATGAATTAGCAGTTAACTACCCTGTTTCCCCCAAATAAGACATCTCCTGATAATAAGCCCAATCGGGTTTTTGAGCGCATGGCAATAAGGCTAAGTGCTTATTTTAGGGTTCAAAAAAATATAAGACAGGTTCTTATTTTCGGGGACACACGGTACCTGCACCAGAATTTTGTTCTATTACATTTCTAAAAAAAAAAAGCAAGTGAGAAGTAGCAATAATTTTTAAAAAGCAACATTTCATGAGCATTTGGTTGTTTCCATTTTTTAAGCAAACAAATCACAAGCGCTACAATTTTGTCACCTCTCCTCCTCCAGAGCCATCTGCCTGCTTCGCATCCTCCAGAGCCATTAAGAAGGAACAAGCTGAAAAATACTGATCCCTTTTAAATAATAGAGAGTGGGCTAATCTGCTTTCAAATTTAACTTTTGTTTGGGACAAAACCAAAGAAGCAAATGTTCTCTACCAAAATGCCAGCTTTACAGGCCACTCCCTGAGCTAATCCCTGGAAGCAGTCTCTTGACAAGGCTAGAGAGTAGGGAGAAACAGCTCTCCAATAGTGATCTGAGCAACCAGTTTTAGGGACTGCTCCTCAACTGTTTATATCCCAGATGATCATTATCACAATTTATCCAAATCAAGAATTACTGCCCAATTCTGTTCTTATCTCTCCTTTCCCCTCCTTTTCTTTATTAAAAAAAGTTGTTTTAGGTTTTAAAGTTTGTGCGTCTTTTCAGCTATATGATGGAGTTAAAAACTGAGCACATTGTAAGCCGCCCTGAGTCTTCGGAGAAGGGCGGCATATAAATCAAATTAAAAAAAAAAAAAACATGACAAAAATAAATGTTAAATTTTGGATCATTTGTGTAAACTTTAATAGGCTTCAAATGAAATTATATTATATATTATATGTTATATGTAATATTATATGAAAGCACAGTGTTAAGCTTCCAGAAAGTGTATGGAATCAGCTCTATGACTTCTGAGTCTATATTTTTTTTCCTGGCCAGATGACAGCTCCTCGATGTTCACCACCATCTGTGTTATTTCTGTGCCTATATTTCTGACAAATCTGCTACTTTGAAAATAAATTCTTCTTATAGATTTGAAATGTTTAAGTTTTTAAAAAATATCTTACACCAATTTTATAAGTTGATCAAACCTTTTTTAAAATAAATCAGTTAAAAATTGCACCTTGCTAGCCAGATTTGGATTTTCCCCTTGGGTGTCAGCTTCCTCCTTCTCAGTGTAATATGCTCTATTGTTGCTCAAAGCAGAGAGAGAGCGGGGAGGTAGCAGGGAGTGAGATACTTTCTGAGTATTTTGATTTAAAAAGTTTTTGAAAGTTAATAAAGTCCAAATCCAAAGTCACATGCCATATTTTCATATGGAGAGCAAAAATTGATGAGACACTCAAATAAATCAAGGAAAGAAAGCCAAAACAGAAAACAGAAAGTATTCAGCAGGGGTTGAAATAAATCAGAATTCAGCCATCCAATTAACCTTTGAAGATATAAACAAAAGCAAAAGTTAAAAAAGTGAATTTAAAAATCCCAGGCATGCTTATGATAATGTGCTCCTGGTCTGAGGATAGCAACACCCATTGATTTTTCAGGGAGCTGCAAGGTTCCCCCTCCTAGGTAGATCTACAGCTATCCAAAAGTTGTCTTGGGTCAATCCTAAGTAGCCCCTTTCAAATCCAGGAGCCACAGCTGCCAAAGAACCAGCTCTGGCAGCAAACCCAGCATAACATAAGAGAAAAAAATCTTTACACCTCAACACCCATTTTGGGGAAGAGTTTTGCTCACGTACTTCTGAATTGGTTTTAAGATAGGGAATCCATCAGTGTGGAGAAATGGGGATCATTATGTATGTGCTAAAACTGGACAGATTACAGATTAATTTAAATATTCTCAATTCTATAAATCTTTCAGTTGGTTTGGACTCCTTATAGCATTCCCATGGACCAAGACAAAATTGTGCCTCAATGACTAAATGTATTTCAAGCCTGCATCAAAAGAAGAATTCTTCCCTCTATGTAATCAGACATTTTTTAAAAAAGTCTAAACATTTGATTTTCTGAATCAAATGTTTCTGAATTAAAGAGAAGATGGGGGATTCTAAAATGAGTGAAGAGAACGGCAACAAAGATTATTAGGGGGATGGAAGCTAAAACATACAAAGAATAATTGCAGGAATTGGGTATATCTAGCCTGGGATGATATGATAGCGGTGTTCCAAAATTTGACGGACTGTCACAAAGAAGAGGGGATCAATCTATTCTTGTCCTGCACTTGAGTGCAGGACAAGAAGCAATGGATGGAAACTTATCAAGGAGAGAACCAACCTAGAAGTAAGGAGGAATTTCTTGACAGTGGAATGGTTTGCTTCCAGAAGTTCTGAGTACTCCAGATCAAAAATCTCCAAAAATCAATGGAGAGTTTAAAGAAGAAATTGGACAGCCGTTTGTTTGAAATGATACAGAGTTTCCTGCTTGAGCAGAGGATTAGACCTCCAAGGTCCTTTACAACTATATTATCTGTGTTCTGTGCCTTCTTCACAATACTATCAAATATGCTACAGATGTATTAATGGAAGGAGGGACAAAACATTATCAGCAATTGCAACCTGAATGTAGAATCTAGTGCTTGATATACGGTGAAGCTCTTATGACTTCATTTCCAAATCAACTATGAAAGAGTTCAGGTATCTCACCTGTCCAGCCAGTATATGCAGAGCAGTCGTGAGGATCTGCTGTTTTTAAGCCTTCTTCCATTTGCTGCAGTAAGTCTTTAATTTTAGTTGTAATTTTCTTATTAAAATATGAGCTGGTCTGCAAAAAAAATAAGGCTAGAAATGTTTAAGATGTATTATGTGCACAGAGAAAGGTCTGATTCAGATAACAAATTAAAGCTTCGTGAATAAAACATGCAAATGTTAAGCAATAGATCACATTTACATAATAACATTTAGGCAATAAATTACATTACACATGTTATATGTAAACATTGGAGGGGTTATAAAAAGTTTGGGGACTGAAATATTTTAACTCTCAAAACTTTCCATTTTGGATGGAATGGGTTATTTTACCTGAATTGTTCAAACCTTACTGGAAATATTCCATTTTGAAATGCAGAATTTTGATTACAAAACAGAAATCACAACACTCCCCCTTCAAGAACAGTACATTCCAGCATGTCCCAAAAACAGTTCTGAATTTGGAACACAGTATTTTGTATTTGACCATTTTGATCCCGAACTGTTTTACACAGGGGTGAAATCCAGCAGGTTTTGATAGGTTCTGGAGAACTGCTAGTGGAAATTTTAAGCAGTTTGGAGAACCGGTAGCGGAAATTTTGAGTAGTTCGGAGAACTGGCAAATACCTCCCTGGCTGGTCCCAGAGTGGATGGGAATGGAAATTTTGCAGTATCCTTCCCCTGCCATGCCTACCAAGCCACACCACACCCACTAAGCCACGCCCACAAAACTGGTAGTAAAAAAAATTGGATTTCACCACTGGTTTTACATCTTCCTAAATCACACAAAAATGAAAGCCAAATCAGTAAAACCACATTAAATTTTAACATTATGCATGAGCTCAGGCAGTATGTTTGTTTAGCACTTAAAGGAATATAACAGACACAGCAACTTTTAGACTTAGTATTTCATAATGATTTTAATTATTCTGGCCAAGTAAAACTTTCAACAACTTCTCTGTTTCTGCTTCAACCATCCTTTTTTTTTTTTTTTTTACTTTATAGGTATTGTTTTGACAGCAAATAGAAAAATAAATGGCATCCATTTATTAATTTCTTCCTATATGATTGCATGCTTTCAGTAAGGTTTCATTCCAATTTCCTTTGTTTTTCAACTTCTCTTTGAAACAAGAAGAATGTTGTAATTTAGCATTAACAATGAATTGCTATTTGATAATAACTAGATGAGGAGGAAGAAGACAAGAAGCAACTATAGGTATTTATGTTACTAAGTGAGACAAATTTTAAGTGAATTTTGCCCCATTTTACCACAGTTGCCACAGTTGTTAAGTGAATCATTGAGTTGTTAAGTTAGTAACATAGTTGTTAAGTAAATCTGGTTCCCATTGATTTTGCATGTCAGAAGATTGCAAAAACTGATCACATGATTCCAACATCTGCAACTGTTGTAAATATGAACCAGTTCTCAAGCATCCAAATTTTGATAATGTGACCATGACGATGCTGCAATGGTCATAAGTGTGAAAAATGGTCATGTCACTTTTTTCAGTGGTATTATTCAGTGGAAACTTTGAACTTTCACTAAATGAACAGTTGTAAGTCGAGGACTATTTGTACTACGATCACCCTTTTGTGGTTAGTGATCCTGAGTGATGGTGGTTTTATTTATTTTTATTTTTTATTTTATAATTAGACTTCTATACTGCCCTTCTCCAGAAGGACTCAGGGTGGTGTACAGCCATATTAAAACACATAGAATTACAAAATTTAAAACCAATTTAAATTCAAATATATAAAATGGCTCAAAAATTTAAAACATTTAAAACATACACACACCCCTTAAAAATTCATATTAGGCCAGTCTGGCTTGCTGGAACAGAAAAGTCTTCAGGGCGCGGCGAAAGGTGCATAGGTCGGGACTAAGACGAAGCTCTAGGGGGAGCTCATTCCAGAGAGTCGGTGCCCCCACAGAGAAGGCTCTCCCCCTGGGTGTCGTCAGTCGACGGCACCCTGAGGAGCCCCTCTCTGTGGGAGCGTATTGGCTAGTGGGAGGCTGTTGGTGGCAGAAGGCAGTCTCGTATATACTCCGGTCCTAAGCCATGGAGCGCTTTAAAGGTGGTCACCAACACCTTGAATCGCACTCGGAAGACCACCAGGAGCCAGTGCAGCTCACGCAGGAGGGGTGTTACATAACCCCATAACCACCTGCGCGGCCGCATTCTGGACCAGCTGGAGCCTCCGAGTGCTCTTCAGGGGGAGCCCCATGTAGAGAGCATTGCAGTAGTCCAGATAGGATGTGACAAGGGCGTAAGTGACCGTATGCAGGGCATCTCGGTCCAGAAAGGGACGCAACTGGTGCATCAGGCAAACCTGATAAAAGGCTCCCCTGGCCACGGCCATCAAAGACAGCCGTGCGTCCAGGAGAACACTGGAGCCCTCTCTGAGGGGGCCAAGATCTCGCCCCCAATAGTCAGCGATGGACCCAACTGACTATACCGGGATGCCGGGAACCACAGCCACTCAGTCTTGGAAGGGTTGAGTTTGAGCTTGTTCCTCCCCATCCAGATCCGCACAGCCTCCAGGCACTGGGACATCACGTCAAGGGCATCATTGGGGTGGTTCAAAATGGAGATGTACAGCTGAGTGTCATCAGCGTTCTCACTCCGAAACCATGGATGATCTCGCCCAGCGGCTTCACGTAAATGTTGAACAGAAGGGGCGAGAGGACTGACCCTTGCGGCACCCCACAAACAAGGCGCCTCGAGGTCGACCTCTGCCCTCCTGCCAACACAAACTGTGTATGGTCGGAGAGGAAGGAGGAGAACCACTGCAACACGGTGCCCCCCACTCCCAACCCCTCCAATCGTCGCAGCATGATACCATGGTCGATGGTATCAAAAGCCGCTGAGAGATCTAATAGGACCAGGACAGAGGAACAACCCCTGTCCCGAGCCTTCCAGAGATCATCAGCCAATGCGACCAATGCTGTTTCCGTGCTGTACCCCGGCCTGAAGCCCGACTGGAACTGGCTTCATCCAGGTACTGGGGCAGCTTCATCCAGGTACTGGGGCACTTGTCGCGCCACCACACCCTCAACAACCTTCGCCACGAAGCGAAGGATGGAGACTGGGCAATAATTCGTTAATACAACCGGATCCAGGGAAGGTTTCTTTCTTTTTTTAAAAAAATTTGATTTATATGCCGCCCTTCTCCGAAGACTCAGGGCGGCTTACAATGTGCTCAGCAATATTCTTGAGGAGAGGCCTCACCACCGCCTCTTTCAAAGAAGGGGGGAAGAAGCCCTCACTCAAAGAAGCGTTAATAATCCCCTGGAGCCAGCCTCGTGTAACCTCCCGGGAGGCCAGCACCAACCAGGAGGGACACGGATCCAGTAAACATGTGGCAGCGCTAAGCCTTCCCAGAATCCTGTCCACATCCTCGGGAGTCACAAGGTCAAACCCCTCCTAGATAATATTCTCAAGACCCCCCTCCGTCACCCCATCCAAATCTACCCAATCAGAGTCCAGACCTTCCCGAATCTGAGTGACTTTGTCATGCAGGAATTGCACAAAATCCTCAACCCTGCCCTGCAAGGGGTCTTCTCTCGCTCCCAGGTGAAGGAGGGAGCGGGTCACCCTAAACAGGGCTGCTAGATGGTTCTCTGCAGACCCAATAAGAACGGAAAAATAATTAAATTTTGCCGCCTTTATCGCCACTAGGTAGATCTTAATATGAGACCTCACCAGTGTTCGGTCAGATTCGGAGCGACTGGCCCTCCAATCGCTCTCCAGGCGTCTTTTCCGGCGCTTCATCTCTCTCAGCTCCTCGGAGAACTAGGGAGCCAGTTGAGATCGGCACCGGGTCAGAGGCCGCAAAGGCACGACGCGATCCAGAGCTCCAGCGGCCGCCCTATCCCAGGCGGCCACCAGTTCTTCAGTCGTGCCGTGAGCCAGAGCCTCAGGGAATGGCCCAAGCTCCATCTGGAACCTATCCGGGTCCATCAGGTTGTTCTTTCTTAGTTGGCAACAATATATGTTGCTAGTTTAAACGTATGTTGCTCTCCACCATAACTCAATAAAGCAGGAATATCAGCAGGAATTGTTGCAACCTAACAATAGTGCACAAGATAAGTTACACAAACATTATATTAAGATTTAGGTTTGCATTTTAAAGTATCAACCATTATTTGGGCTCCATAGTCAATGTAATATTTTTATAGAGCCGTCCAGCAAATCATTCAACTTATCGTGTTGAATTTCAGCTACAGGAATTTGAAAATATGCAGAAAATAATGGGCTGAAACTAGCCAACCTGTCACACAATATTATGAAGGGATGATTTATTCATATAATAAGGAGAAAATAGCCATCTGCAACCATAATTTTTTCAAGAAGATATGATTTCTTTAAAAGAAGTCTAGTATTTTGTAAAGTACTAGGGTACAACTTGACAATATTACAATTATGGGCCACTGGCTAATATTTTCTTTCTAAGCAGTGGATTAGCAATTTTTGTTACTTTTAAAGAAACAAATTCATTTTCAAATCTATTTAAATTCCTGCTTTTAGTTATTCTCTAGGAAGAAACCCCTTAATTCAATAGTGTGTGATTCTGTAGATTATAATGAATTATTCAGTGGCTTTCCACACCATTAGCCATGAATCATTCTAAATACATATACTGAGCTGGAGTATGGACTTCATTATTTGATGTCCAATACCTTGGCATAATCTTGGAACTTAGATTTTTAAATACATATTTTTAAATGTATTTGGTGTATTTAACTCCAAACATTTAAATGAGTACATACATTTCAAGCAAAAAAGGCCATTCCCCCCCCCACCCCCCGCTATATTATTACAGTAATGGTTTCTGACAGTTTGTAAAAATGGCCTTTTTGGAACCATGTTAAGTGATTTACCAAAGCAGTAACTCTGAGTCTTCAGTACAAATTAAAAGTATGATCAATCTCAAGTGTATGCTAAATAACTAAACATCACTAAAACATCTGAAATTGTCCCTATTAATTATTCCCTCCAGCTAAGTAATGTTTGTCATTAATTATCATTAGTCTTAAACTCACTCCTAAAGAACCAGTTAGAGTCTAAACTAAATCTTAATTATATGGAGCATGCTGTTCAAAATATCAGGGTATATATACTCAGTGAATTAATTTTTAGTCTTAGATGTTGGTTAAAAATCTTCCTTTATAAAACCTGACAACTGAAGGCAACTTCTGATTGTGCTCTGCAAACCATCTGTCATAACACAGGTACTCAATTTATATTTGACAAAATATTATGATTCTGTGATAATGGTCTTGACATTAGAGTCAAAATAAATGACAAGCATCAGTTATTGTACATATCATTTGCTTATTAATTTGAATATAGACATTGGTTTGGAGAAAATATATGCATGCAGAAATGGAAAGCGGGAGATGAGACAGACGGGATATGAGAACAAAAGCAAAAAATCCAACTGGTAGGTGTGAACTGCAGTCAAGTGCTCATGGTAGAAGCTGTAGATTTCAGAGAAGAATGAATTGGGAAGTCTGACATGACAGTTTTCTCTTTTTATTATCTATAGTTCATATTTAAAATACATATTTTAAAATATTTAAAATATAACATTCAGATTTCCTTTAGCTAAAACCTTTGTCTGCCTTTCTCTACTGCATCAAAATAGAACTTTTTGCCTCTCCTTATGGGTACAAATGTGAAAGTTCTATTTGATGCAATTAGGAAGCAGAAAAATTGCAGTTCTGCTTTATAGAACGTGCAAAGTGAAGTTCATTCACAGGACTGTCTCCAAGTTGGAGGAATCCTTTCTGGGGAACAGCTGGTCTTGCAATCAGCACCATTTTAATTTTTCAAAAAAACCCAGGCTCCAGGGACATTGTTTTTGTTTGAAAGAAAAATATTGCAACTTGGCAGATTTGGTAGTTGCCCAGTGATGCTGTACTAGTGTCAATCCTGTATCCTGGAAACAACTCAGGATACAAGCATTTCAGATTTGTGAATAACCAAGTGACAGCCAGATATCCATATATGGCGGCCTCCTCTATGGTTGAAAATGAAAAACAACAATTATTATACAAATGGCATGTCTGGCAGGAACTATAAGGGAGTGGGACATGCCATTAATTTTCTTGAGACAATATTCTGGTGTTTGGAGCAAGAAAAAAAGGCAAAAGGTTTCTACTCGAAACAGAAAAATCCACTATATGAAAAAGAGAGTTAAAGGAAAAATGAGAAGAGGTTTTGGAAGCAGAATTGACAGACTAGGAAAGTATCAATTTATTAATTTTTTTGCAAGGCTGAAATAAGTGCTTGAGACAAGACATCGGAAATTCTAAACGTTAGCTTTATATTCTTACCTAAATAACCATGTATTGAACTGTGAAGCACAGCAGTTCCTCTGGACAGCGCATATTCCAACTCATTGAGCAAAATAGGTAACAAAACATTTTAGTTTGTTTGTTTATCTATCTATCTATCTATCTATCTATCTATCTATCTATCTATCTATCAAATTTCTATACCGCCCTACTCCCGAAGGACTCAGGGCGGTGAACAGCCAAGATAAAATACAGATAATACAAATATTAAAAATCCCTTAAAATTTTTAAATATTTTGGCCGAAACACAGATTAAAACACCCAATTTATAAAATCACGAATTAAAAAATTTAAAAGAGGAGAATTAGGAGAATTATTATAGTATTATAATGATAGTCATGGAAATAGCAGGAATTGGATTTCTGCTTTGTTTTTTATTTTGTTTGCTTATTTGTTTTTTCTTGTTCACTCCTAGATACGTTTGCTTAAAATACAAATCCAAGGCATATAGTGGGTTAATGATTGCATTAATTAATATCCTGCCAAGCATTATTAGTTGATTGGATATTGAATTTTGTTGCTATAATACTGGAAGACTCAGGGAGATACCAAAAGAGAGCTGTGGGTTGCTTATTTCAGGTTTAGAACCAGAGAATATGTCAATGGGCAGATAGCTACATTTCTTGAAAGTAGATCCTACAGGAGTCAGGAAGGCTTATTTCTGAGTACAGATTACAAGGTATAATACGGATTTCCCTGTTGTCTGCTTAAAAATGTTAGTCCAGTGATGGCGAACGTTTTTGCCGTCACGTGTCAAAAGCGGGGGGAGCACGGGGGGAGGGTCATGTGCGCATGCCCACACACATAATTCAATGCGGCCCCCCGCATGCGTGCACGACCCTCCCACGCTCCCCCGCCTTTGGCATGTGATGGCCTGGTGGGCCCGGTAGGCCTGTTTTTTGCCTTCCCCAGGCTCCAGAGGCTTTCTTGGAGCCTGGAGTGGGCGAAGACGGCCTTCCCCACCTGCCCAGAGGCCCTCCGGAGGCCAGAAATGGCCCATTTGCTGACTTCCGGTGCGCCTAGAGGGCCCGAAAATCAGCTGGCACACGCTGGAGCTGAACTAGGGCAATGCTCATGTGCCCACTGATATGGTTCCGCGTGTCACCTGTGGCACGTGTGCCATAGATTCGCCATCACAGTATTAATCTATTCTACAATTATTTTCCAAAAGCCTCCTTTTGCATAAGTAACCTTTCTATGACTTGTTATATTGAACTGGCTCAAATAAGCAAATTTTATTTCAGAACATGGGAAAATTGTTGCCAGAAATTGTTACCACAAACCTTAACACTTCCCCACAGTTAAAGGAAGATTCCTAATCAGAGCATACCAAATTGTACCTCCAATTTATACTGATTCAGTATAATTACATATACTGATTCAGTATATGTCCTGTAAAAGATTCAAGCTGCTGGTGATGACCTATAAAGCCCTACATGGCTTAGGTCAGGATATTTGTCGGATCATCTGCAACCAGCAACAGCTCCCCATCGCCTGGTGCGTTCTCACAGGGAGGGCCTACTCAGGGTGCCGTCGGCTAGACAACTGGCAACCCCTAGAGATAGAGCTTTCTCTATGGGTGCTCCCACCCTCTGGAATCAACTTCCTCTGGGGCTCCGGTTAGCTCCTGACCTCCGCACTTTCCGCCGCGACTTAAAAGACATGGCTGTTTAGCCTGGACTGGGGGGTTAACATGTATTTTAACGCTTTTATTCGGATATTTTATTGTTGTGAGCCGCCCTGAGTCCTACAGAGATAGGGTGGCATATAAATCAAATCAAATCAAAGAAAGAAAGAAAGAAAAGAAAAGAAAAACCATAGAAATTAGTTCTGATGCACAGGATAGACAGACTGGGATTGCCAAGAGATAATTCTTAATAATTGATCAAAGTGCAGACTTTATGCTCCTTTGGAAAAATTCATGATAGCTCAAGAAATATCAGATATTTTCTTCAAGTTTATTTGTTAAGATACTGGAATGTTAATAGTGGCTATATATCACTTCATATGACAAGTTCCCCATTTATACTTCCATCATATTTATTTGATTTTTATCCTATCTTAGTTTTTTGTCACCTCAAAATTGCTTACATCCCTAATACTCTTGTCTCCTATTTTCACACATCCCTGCAAGGTGGGTTGGGTTGGTAGGCAGTGACAAGCCAAAAATCACCCAACAGGCATACATAGGAGTTCCCAGACACCTTCCTAAAAATCTGATAAGGCAGATGAGACTCACAGGTGAGTCTCCTCCATTGATATAATAGTAATTTCAGTATATGAGATTGAAAATGGAGATGCAAAAACAACTATTAAAGAGAGGGAGGGAATTTCTACATTCAATGAGTATGTGGGAAAGTAATCATCCCATTACATTTTCCACCAGTCTGGTAATAGGGGAACGACAGCTAAACATCACTGATATGCTATTTTTTAGCAATCCTACAGACAAGGGCGCAGCCCTTCCATCCAGTTCCTGACGTTTGATTAGCTCCAAGTTCTTCCACACGGTTTGGGTGTGGAGAAAGGCCTGGAAGGGAAGGAGCCCAGTATTAACGCGAGGCACAAAGAGGGAGGCTAACCGAGAATTTCCAGGGAAAATAGATAGAAATCTGCTGTCCATAACGGAACGCCAGGCACCAAAGGACCCCTTTCCCTCAGGAGAGAGTCCGGCCCGGCCTGCATCTAGCTTACCTGCCCGTCGCTCTCGAAGGGGAGGGAGTCATCTCGTTGGGGCGAAGCCGAACTGCATCGATTGCCTTCCGAGTCACTGGGGGTAGGCAAAGTACTGCTGCCCGAGGCGGTGCTTCCATGAGGTTGATAATCTGGATAGGGGTTATTGAACGACCTCTCCTCCATCTCCGCTTCGCTTCCCAATTGCACCTTCAGTCGTTTGGACATGCCTTCTCCCATCTCAGCCTGCCCCCTGCCCTCCCACCGTCGAACGGCGAGCCAAGCAGGACAAACTCCCCAGCCAGCGATAATAACAGCAACGCGCTTTAGAGGTCGCAAAACGGCAGCTGCGATCGGCGCCTAGAAAGACAGCAGCTGTTGCAAACCAGCCAAAAATTAAGGGGCGGGGGGCTCGGCAGGTGGTGAAGTTATCTCCCAGGGAAGGTTGAAAAATGCGACACGCCTCATCGCGGAGGGAAAACCAAAGCGGGGTGAATAGCTAAAATCCTTAGCAATTAAGGATTAAGCGGTTAACGCGAGTCCTAGTCAATCTGCAAGATGACGGGACCAATGTGAGACTATTGTTTGTCGTTTTCTCTTCATTCCGATCTTAAATCCAGCCAGCTTTTAATGTGTGTGGGCGCATGTATAAATAATAATTCGTTCCCACCCCATTCTCGGGTTAAGGGCCAGAGAAACACCACACCACCCTCCCAATGATGGGGCAGTTTCCTGCAAATTTGGGAAGAAAATACAAGAGGGCTATCCCTCCTGCGGCACGCCTGGGATGGGCCCACTAGGGAATCCTCTGGGGCTCGAGCGTATCCTCTAATTCCCCATTTCCGACGGATATCCTCCTGTCTCCCTCCTCCGAGACAGACAAGTCAGGCCGTCGCTGCTGCCGCTGCGGCACTTATTAACAAGCTCCGAGGCTGCAAAACAGAGCTTCTGCCTCCTGCCTCTCTGCAATTGAAAATGATCGTCTCCAAAATCATTTTAGATCAAGATCATCAGGATCAACAGGGAGAAAGAAAACCCAAAGAGTAGAGAATAGACGAGCAACTCCTTATTTAGGGACATTCGAACCCTCTGACCTGCAGAGACCATCAGAAGAGAAAGAGTAGAGACTAAAAAACTCATCCCTTTGAAGCTTTGGTACCCTTTTCTCTGGTTGGTTTTCTGTCCTCTTCTGTTCTGGCTAATGGGCATTCACAGTCCCCCTAGTTCAGGTAGAACCCGATCCTTCTTCAGATGATCAGATCAATATTAGTACAATTACAACAAATAAAAGACTGTAAACAGACAAGAAAATAATGGAGGTAGTGGAGCAGTCACTGAAGGTTACTGGCCCTCTTCCCACCTTGGCCTTCCAGCAGCTTATGTCTTTGTGGCTGTGAAGTCAGTGTGTGTTTGCCTTATATTGCCAGCAAATAAACACAAAAAATCAATTGTAAATGACAATAGACTCAGGAGGTGGGAGCGCCTCAGCCAGTTTACCTCACAGCTGTAAAGAGCATACAGAAACAATCCTTCCTAACTGACACACACTCGCACTTCTATAGAACACATTTGTTTCACAAAAGGATGTTGAAGGTGACAAAATGAGTTTTAAAATACAATTCTACCTCTTGGCAGGCTTGCTCAATGTAAAGAAATGTAATTTTTTTGCAGCTTTTCATGCCTTAAAAAAAAAAAGTAGACAGGAGCCTTTGTCAAACTATGTCACCTGCCTGGGGAAGTGATTGGAGGAATTGTCTCTCAACCATATTGCTTCACACCCTCAGGTTTCCAGTTCAGCTTTTCATTTTGGAGATTTCTTATAAGATTCATCTGATTTATAAATATACTGTACATATGATTTCTACAAAGCAGTACAGTGCTGGCCTATAAAGTAGGGACATTAATAGAAATACTTTTATATTAAAGATATTTCTATTTAATTTTACATCCAAAAATTGTACAGTTGGTCCAGAATGCAGCCGCACGAGCTGTTGGTGCATCTAGGTACATCCACATTACACCAATTCTCTGCGAGCTGCACTGGCTCCCTATTGGTCTCTGGTCACAATTCAAGGTGTTGGTTATTACCTTTAAAGCCCTACATGGCTCAGGGCCAAGGTATCTTCGAGACCGCCTTTTACCGCATAATTCCCAATGACTGGTAAGACCCCACAGAGTTGGTCTCCTCTGGGTCCCATCAGCTAAACAATGCCGGCTGGCATTGCCGCAGGGGAGGGCCTTCACTGTGGCTGCCCCAGCTCTCTGGAACCAGTTACCTCCTGAGGTCCGGACCAACCCCACCCTATTGGCCTTCCGAAAAGCAGTGAAGACCTGGCTTTTCTGGCAGGCCTGGGGCCGTTGATCTCGCTCTTGCGATCCGGTGAGATCCAGCCATGAATGGTGTGAATGAGTTTTAATGTTTTAATGTTTTTAATTTTAAAATGTTTTTATAATGATTTTAAGTGCATTGTGAGCCGCCCTGAGTCTTCGGAGAGGGGCGGCATACAAATTGAATTAATAAATAATAAATAAATAAATATCCAATATTCTTCCACCAGCACCTCTGCCACTGCAATCCTGTGTAATTCCCAATGTCATTGTACTTACACTGAAGACAGTTTTTCCCCCCTAAATCTGTTAGCATAAACATTATCACATTCAGATCTCTGTCTCCATGCCTTACCCACATATCTCTGGATAAGAAATTGCCTTATATTATTTATAATAGTATATTATATTATAAAGTGATCTCCTCTAACTGGCAGCAGATTTTAGGCGGTTTTTTCCCCTTTATCTGTTTATACATTTTAACTGGATATATTGGGGCTTAAATTTTGGGTCTGGTTTTGGCTGTTACCGTTGTGATCCTACCCAGATGCTTGCCAATCATTATATGAAACCATTGCCCTTTACAACCATCTGGCTAGCGGTCTGTTTCTGTCTTTCCTGATTTGGAAACAGAAAGAAAATATTTCAAAGCCTGTCTAGGTATCTAAAAGTATAAAGTAAGAGAATGTTTGCAAGCAAGACAGATGACCCTTTGGTGGGTTATTTAGCCATCCCATAGGGGGATCACGAATGAAAAGCTTATAAATAAGGAGCACTGTAGAACATGTAAGAAGAGTTGATTACTTAAAGTAGCAGAACAGCAGCTTAGAATATAGAAGGAATTTTGTAATATAGTAAATAATAATTTGCCTAATGAGCCTTATTTTCTAAATCTGTTCTGTAGTTAAACACAATTGCTCTACCAGATTAAATTGTGTTTACTACCTGGTTTGTTGCAATCAAAACCTTTGGATCTATGATGGAGCCCTCTGTCCCAGTCTTTTGTTCTTAAGAAAATGATTGGAGATGGATGTGTTTTGTGTTTCAGCTTTATATTCTTACAAGGATTCCTGCTGAATATGTGGTACAGGCTGCCTTGAACCATAAAGTATCTTCCATTAGATATTATGAAAAATATTTTATCATATCCCTGCCTAAACATAATGCCAAATTGGTGCTTCAGGATTAAGTATTTTATTGATTATTATTTATTGAATTGATTGATTGATTGATTTTTAATTTATTTATTGGATTTTTGACTCTGATTTATAGGATTTAAAAGCTTGAGCTATGAGAAGATGATTTATCAAAATTGCCCAATGAATTTTATGGCTGACAATGATCTGATACCTGACTTTCTCCAGTCCTGAGTCAGTTCCCTGCCCACTATATCACATTCCAGTCAGGATCTAGGTCAGGGGTGTCAAACTCAAGGCCTGGGGACCAGATCCAACCCGCAGGGTGTTTAGATCTCGCCCATGGGGCCGCCCCGGTAACAGTGAAGGACTGGCCCATGGTGCCTCTACTAGCGAAAACGGAGCTCAGGAGGGCTGCGTGTGGCTCTCCCGAGCTCTGTTTTTCCTGGCAGAGGGTTGGAGGAGGATGTAGCAGCCAAAAATGAAGCTTTCTTTGGCAGAGTGCTCAGGCTACCACAGGTGCCCCCGACACAAGTGATGTCGAGCTGGCGACACCCCCCCACCCCCCCAAGGTCAAACACAACCCTGATGTGGTCCTCAATGAAATTGAGTTTGACATCCCTGATCTAGGTTGTGATAAGATAACCAAAAAATCGCAATGTCTTCTATATTATGAGAACAATGCTACTTTTTGTAGCTAGCCCACTTTTTGCAGTGTGGTTTTAATTGTTGATCATAATCCAAAATGAACATTCTGTCAAAAAGCCTAGTGATGCCTAAAATCCTAATTAGCTGTCCCTATGCCAACTGGTGAAAGAAAGAAAGAAAAAAAAAACAATGCCTTGAAATGTTGCTGCCAATGGTCTTGGCTTGATGAATGTACACTAATAGGAAACAATAAAGCTGAATCCTGTTTGATGAGTTTCAAACTATTTTTCATGTGTCACCAGTGATATACTTTCATTTTCTTGTTATCTGAACCATAATGTATTTCAGGTTCCTATCAGGAGTAATAGCCCTATTAATAGTTTAATCCAATGAGGCCTTTAGATTTATCAGCTATGCATTTTATAAATCATCTTTTTGAGCATTGTAGAAAGTTAGCACCCACCCCTCTTCTAGAAGAATGAAATATTTTGAAATATTAAAAAGGCAGAATATTATATTTCTCAAAGGGAGAAATGGAAACATGTTTTTTAGAGGAAGAAAGCAGCCCCCACCTTCCTTAATAGCCCACAGCAGATGTCAGCACTTAAGAGATAAAGAGATAGATAGCTCTATTCATAAGCAAATACCCTCACCCAAGATCCAACAAAGGTAGGATTAGCCCTCAGCCACAATAGAACTTGCCCAATGCCCTTTCATTGCATCAGCAGTCCAAATTTCAACCAAACCTGGGACTCAGACAACCTATATAGCCAGCTATGACCCCTACATAACCCCTACAACAGCCAATAGAATACATGTTCTTGCACAGGAACAGGAAGCTCAAGTGCAAAGCTCAGAGAAGGTATAAAAACCCGCCACTCTCAACTCCATGTGGTCAGCTGCCCAGAACCCTGTGCTTGGTAGTTCTTTTCATCATTAAATCCTCTTTCCAATCAGCCTCCAGCCTTCATTTTGTCCCCATTGCCTTTCCCCTGGCTTGAAACTGAACCAGATGGATATTTCTTCCAACAGCATTGTGCTTTGGAAACATGGATATCTGCAAACAATGAATTTTGGAACAGGGCTAATATAAACATGCTCTGTGTCTGATTGATTCTTAGGAAAAGATTACCATTCTGATAGTTTTGGCAATAAAGACACCATTTTCTGCTATTTCACATCCTTGCAGTAGGTGACTAACAGAGGCTTTCCAGCTGCTGCATCAGGTTTCTATATCTATATCAGTTTATATCTGTAGACTACAGGCTTATGTTCATGATTAGTAAACACAAAATTATTCACCTCCATTTTAACTTAGAACCCTTTTTGCTTTAGTCTGTCTTTAGAGGTTTTTACTTTGGTATTGATTGACAAGTTTTGAATGTTAAGATTTAGTGGTTAGATAATTGTAATCTGGGAATATGCTTTTTTAACTCTTGTGGTTTGATACATTGAAAAAGAACGACTTGTCTAAATGGATTTGGGAAGTAACCAATACTTCTCAGAAAGAAAGTGACCTAGCTTCTTTGTAACAGGGCATAGTATAGTTGATTAATTTATATAATAAATTATATGCCTGCCCATCTAGCATGCATGATTCTGGGTGACTAAAAGTTAAAAACCAAATAAAAACACAGCTGAAACAATCAAAATCAAAACAATAGAAATAACATAAAATAACCCAGCAGTCAAAAACACTCATGATATCTCATGCTTAATAAACCATGGCGAAGAATTGGGCCTACCAGGGCCTTAACTTAATGGCAAAACCAAGTTTTTAATGCTTTGTGAATGATTGTTTCTAAAGTTCAATGATGATTATGGTGTTGATGAAGAAACCATGCTTTCAATTGTATTCTGTTTTTGGCAATTGTAAGGACCAGTGCGCTCCACATTTTCTGAAACTGCTTCTTTCAGTTGTTTTATGCTTCTGAAGATATGTCCCTTAAAGAAAAGCTTAGTTGTTGATAGCAATTGTTAGCATCTCCTCAACTAGAGAAATGCCTAAGTAGCATGTAAATCCATTTTGAATTTCCCACTGAAATTTCCTTGGCTGTCCTGATCTTCCTTTAGCAGGGAAGAGTCTTGATTCTCTTGGATTTCTCAAAAGCTTTAAAAGTAATTGATTAAGATAGCATTTTTTAGTCCTGAATGTGAAATTTCCCCTTACAAATTGGGTAAGTGGACGATATGCGGAGGGTAGCAGGGTACTGCTTATTTGCACTGCCATTCTGCACCTGCAGTTATTGCTGATGTCTTGGATGAAAATGCCCCTTGGGGCTAGAAACACACTCTCCACATACCAGTCATTCAGCGAATGAGTTTTTTTGCTCAATGTATCTTTGAAACCAATCCTGTAGAGAAAGGCATCATTCTTTTCTTGGACAAATCTTTGGAAGAAGGATGGAAGGTGTTATAATGCTGTATAAACAAACCAGCTTTGCATTTCCCAAGATAACATCAGGATTTCCTTTCTTCCTCTCCTCCTCTTTTTCCTTCATCTTCATCTCCTCCTCCTCCTCCTTCCCCCCTCCTCCTCCTCAGGATGAGGACTCCATCATCATCATTATCATCATCTTATGATTTCCTATTAGGGAATCTATCTTATCTAGTGTTAGTGCTACTGACCAATAAGCAGTATATCCTCCTTAATTCCTGAAATAAAAGCTGACAGAAATTTTCCATTGAGTAAAACAACAGATACGTAGAAAAAAAGCTGCTTTCAAGATATTATTTAAAAAAAAGATTTACTGGGCTTTCCTAACAGCATATTCCCTAGGGCTCCTCTTGTAATTAGTTGTACTCAATGGATATGCAAAACAATCTTGTTTCTTTTTAACTTCAGCTTCTGAACAAATGTAGATTGATTCCTTTTGTATGCTGTAGTTTTCCTAGGATATCTCTATGTTAGGTGCCAAAATGATATTTTGTTTTCTCTTCTAAATGCATGAATTACACTGCAATTACACGACCCAAGGTTGGGCAAAGTTTTCCTTAGCTTGGCTCTCCCTGTTGATTAAATATTAGCTGTGCATTCAGGAGGACCACAAAGTCATAGACCTATTCCTTCAGCAGGAGTGTGAATCCATCCACAGCTGGGACAAGAACTGATATTTTACCAAATAATTTATGAAGAAATGGCACTTCAAATTTGCCAGGATTCTAGCCGCCCAGAGTTGTCCTTAATTTAATAAATTAATTTATTGGCCACCTATTTTTCTACAGGGTAACTCTGGGAGGCTAGAAGTTAATTTAAGCCTCAGCCTACTTTGTCTTACCCAGATTCCAAAAAAGGCATTCTCCAAGATGCACTGTAAAAATTAACTTTGAAATTCCAATTGTCCACTCTTACCATACATCTTACCAATAAAAACTGACTCATTTTTTAATATTATTCTCAGGCTTTCTTGGTCTCTGTTGATGAGAGAGAAATGCTGTGTACATTTATAAAGAAAAAGAATGCAAAGTGAAGTGATTCGGGAATAACGAGAGGCACAACCAAGCAAGTGACAACAGCTCTTTAATTTACAGTGAGACTTCAGCGAAAACTCAGAGGCTGCAGCCCTCTTTATATACAATCCTGGAGGGACTGTCAGCCAATCAGAAACGTAGGCAGGTTTGAAACTCCCGCTCAAAAGTATCAATACATAACACCCCTCCCTTCCCAGAAGGCACTGTCATTCAAAAATTTACATAAGTACACACAAAATCTCGCAGGTGCCCGGGGCGAGTTCTTGTCCTAGTTGACCTGCGCAGTTCAGTGTTTGGTGGGGCGTCGAGCTGGTCGGAGGGACTTTCTGTCTCTCCCGGCTCCGCCAATGGAACCTCCTGGATTTTGTCCGGGGCGTGGTTATCCCCGGTTGGGAGTGGCGACTCGCTGGGGCGGCGCTGGAACCAGGGCTTGTCAGCTAAGTATTCTCACGAACCCGGGCTTGAGTTAGCTGTTTTGGGAAAGTTGTTATAGTTAGGCTCGGATATGTCTAAATTTATGTTTGCTTCGCCGACTACCCTTTTTCTCAGCTGGTCTATGTGGCGCTTCCAGAGTCTGTCTACCCCAACGTCTACCGTATAAGATTTCGGGCCCGTTATGCCCACTATGGTTCCTGCAACCCATAGAGGTCCGCTGGCATAGTTGCGAGCGAACACCGGGGACCCAACCTGAAACTGTCTTAGTCCGGAGGTCTCTCCCTTGAAATTTTCGTGCGAATAGTTGGGGTGAAGCCTATCTAACACGCATCGGAGCTTCCTGCCCATGAGGAGCTCTGCTGGGCTTCTCCCTGTGGCTGTGCATGGTGTGGCATGCTGGACAGCTAAGAATTGATCTATCCTGGCCTGCCAGTCCCCATTATCTAGCCTGGATAGGGCCTCTTTGGCCGTCCTTACAAAACGTTCGGCCAATCCGTTAGAAGCCGGGTGGAACGGGGCCGATAGGGCATGGCGGATGCCCAGTCCGGCCAAGTATCCCTCAAACAGGGTTGCTGTGAACTGAGGGCCGTTGTCAGATACTAGGGTATCCGGTAGGCCATGTGTGGCGAACAGCTTGCGAAGGGCCTTAATAACAGCCTCGGCTGTGGTAGAGGGCATTAGAATGATTTCGAGCCATTTTGAAAAGGCATCTACTACAATTAAAAATGTTTGCCCGTGGAAGGGGCCAGCAAAATCAATATGGATCCTCCCCCATGGCCCTTTTGGTTTCTCCCACTCTCGGATGGGCGCTACCGGGGGATCGGGGCGAGACTCCTGGCAGGGTCTGCACTTCCCCACCCACTCAGAGATAACTTGGTCCATGTTGGGCCACCAAACGTAACTGCGGGCTAAACTTTTCATTCGGACAATGCCCGGATGCCCTTCGTGCAACAATTCTAAGACCCTCATTCGTAGTTTTGTTGGCACTACCACCCGATCACCCCACAACAAACAACCCCCTTGCGTAAACAGTTCGTTTCGTTTGTTTACAAAACCTTGATAGTCCCCCCCGTCCACCTTGACCGGCCACCCTTTTAGCACCCACCCCATCACAGTACGAATGATTGGGTCCCTGGCTGAGGCTTTAGCCACTTCGGCAGAGGAAATAGGTCCCAAAGTTAATGTGTCCAGTAGAAGGACGGAGGCCTCAGGTGTTGGATTGGTCAGTAAGTCAGGTAGGGGACAGCGGCTGAGGGCATCCGCGTGACCCAGGGTCTGTCCAGGTCGATGCACAAGCTGGTATGAATAGGCCGAAAGAAAAATAGCCCATCTAGTCAAACGTGGGGACAGAGCAGCGGGGGTGGGTCTGTCGCCTGCCAAAAGTCCTAGCAAGGGCCGGTGATCAGTCACAAGTTCGAATTGCCGGCCAAAGAGATATTCGTGGAACTTTTTAACCCCCGCAATTGCAGCCAGAGCCTCTCTGTCCAATTGGCTATAGTTTCGCTCTGCGCTTGACAGGGTGCGAGAGTAAAACGCAATGGGCGCCTCTAGGCCGTTCGGAAGTCTATGGCCCAGGACGGCACCAACTCCTACGGGGGAGGCGTCACAAACCAATACAAGCGGTAGCGCTGCGTTGTATTGGATTAGGAAACTGTCTTCTGATAGAAGTCTCTTAACTGCCTCAAAAGCGGCTGCTTGTGGTTTCCCCCAGACCCATGGTACATTCTTCCCCAATAGTTTGTGTAGGGGATCTGCAACGGTAGCTTTGTCTTTCAGGAACATTGAGTAAAAATTGAGCAGTCCAAGGAAGGCTTGGAGCTCAGCTTTGGTCTTGGGGGCAGGTGCGCTCTTAATTGCTCTCACCTTGCTTTCGGTAGGGTGGATGCCTGTGCCGTCCACCCTGTACCCCAAAAATTCAACGGAGGGGACAGCGATCATACATTTATTTTTCTTTAACCTTAGTCCCACTTCCCTAAATCTAGAAAGGACGTTCCTTACTCTGTCCCCTAACTGACGTTTGTCCTGAGCGCTGACTAGAACGTCATCAAAATAGGGCACCACTCCGGGAAGCCCTTGCAGAAGGCGCTCCATGGTGCTTTGAAACAGGCCGGGTGCGACGCTCACCCCAAACTGGAGCCTGGTGCATTTGAATGCACCCCTATGAGTAACAATCGTTTGTGCCTCTGCCGTGGCATCGTCAACTGGTAATTGTTGATAGGCCTGAGCCAAAAATTCAACGGAGGGGACAGCGATCATACATTTATTTTTCTTTAACCTTAGTCCCACTTCCCTAAATCTAGAAAGGACGTTCCTTACTCTGTCCCCTAACTGACGTTCGTCCTGAGCGCTGACTAGAACGTCATCAAAATAGGGCACCACTCCGGGAAGCCCTTGCAGAAGGCGCTCCATGGTGCTTTGAAACAGGCCGGGTGCGACGCTCACCCCAAACTGGAGCCTGGTGCATTTGAATGCACCCCTATGAGTAACAATCGTTTGTGCCTCTGCCGTGGCATCGTCAACTGGTAATTGTTGATAGGCCTGAGCCAGGTCTAATTTGGCAAAAAATTTTCCGGGCCCCAGGGAGTGTAGTAGATGATGCACGATCGGCACCGGATAGGCGCTCGGCTGCAAAGCCTTGTTGATCGTGCACTTGTAGTCGGCGCAGATTCTAATTGAGCCGTCAGACTTTACTGGGGTCACTATAGGGGTTTCCCACTTTGCATGGTCAACGGGAACCAACACCCCTTGTTTAATCAGTTTGTCCAGTTCCGCATCGATCTTTGGTTTCAATGCGAAAGGCACCCGTCTGGCCTTGAGTCTTATTTGGGCTACGTTGGGGTCTAAATTAAGGGAGATAGGGGTCCCCACATACTTGCCCAACGTGTCCCCGAAAACGTCCTGGAACTCGGTCAGGAGACTGTCTTTTAACGATGACTTGAGCATCTGGTGGATGCCGGTGAAGCCCATGCCGAGGGCTCGGAACCACCCCATGCCAAGAAGGCTGGGAAGCTGCTTCGTGACGATGGTCAGTGGCAGGTCTCTTTCGTAGTCTCCGTAGGTGACTCGGAACGTGCCCACGCCTTCGAGGGGGACTCGGTTCCCCTGGTAGTCTAGGATGCGCAGTCTCTTTTTGGAGAGCTGGTCCTTCCGGAACGACGGCAGGAGGATCTTTAGGGTCACCCAAGACATTATGGAGAGAGCCGATCCGGTGTCGATCTCCATTGAGCATGGCTTGCCGTTGATTTCGACCACCGTGCTGACTTTGTCCTCGATTTCCGCGCTGGCCTGGTCTATGTGAATGCTGCGGCCATCTCGAGGTTCAAATTCGCGCCGTTTTTTCGCGCCGCCTTCTCTCGTTGGTTGTTTCTGGTGCGTTGATTCTGGTTGGCTGCGGCGCTCACGTGGTTGGTGTTTTCTGGGCAGAATGGCTCTACAGACTCGCGCCAAGTGCCCTTTTTTCTCGCAACGCCTGCAAATAGCCTCCCTATATTTGCAGGACAGTCTGTCATAGTGCCCTCCACAGCTGGGACAGCTTCGCCGGGGGCTGCCAGTGTCCTTTCTCTGGTGCTCCATTCGGAAGACGTCTTCATCCGACTCGGACTCCGAGCTGGATCCGGCGTCTTCTCTGTGCACCGGGGCAGACTTGGGGTTGTCTTTGCTGGTCAGCGGACGCTGCAGCGTTTCTGCGGCTTTTGTGGAGGCTTCATGAGCCCTGGCCTCGTCTAGGGCTCCAGCAAGCGTTAAATCAGGCTTGGCGAGCAGGCGCCGTTGCAGCCTAATGTCCCGGACACCACAGATGAGTTGCTCAAGCAACGCGTCGTCCAAGTCTCTATAGTCGCAATGGGTTGCGGCTTTTCTCAGGCTGGCCATGTATGCGCTGACCGGTTCTCCCTCTCGCTGTACGCGCTGTCTGAGTTGGTATCGTTGCACGAACTTGGAGGGCACGGGAGCGTAGTGAGCCCGGAGCGTGGCCATCAGGGTGTCCCAGGAAACGGTCTGGACCGGCGTTGGCTCGCACAGTGACTCTGCCATCTCGAACACGTCCGGTCCGCAGTGGCTTAGGAAGAGGGCCCTCTTCCGATTAGCGGAGAGCCCTTGCATGTCGCTGGCTTCGAGCGAGCATTCGAACCTCGTCAGGTACGAGACCCATTTTTCGCGGGTCGGATCAAAAGGCTTGGGCGGAACGTAGGCAGACATGTTCGGTATGCCTCCTGTGGTTCGCCTCGTCGCCTAGCTGAAGCTCGTGGTCTCACTGGTTCGCTTGTTGTGACCTCTATCCCACCTTCATCGTCAATGAAGTGATTTGGGAATAACGAGAGGCACAACCGAGCAAGTAACAACAGCTCTTTAATTTACAGTGAGACTTCAGCGAAAACTCAGAGGCTGCAGCCCTCCTTATATACAATCCTGGAGGGACTGTCAGCCAATCAGAAACGTAGGCAGGTTTGAAACTCCCGCTCAAAAGTATCAATACATAACACCAAGTTTATTCAACAGTTTGTTCCTCCTTCACCAAAGCAGTCTTCCATACTAGTTTAGCTGACTTTCAGGGCAAAGCTATTTCCTGTCTGATTGCTGCCAGCAAGAACAATATTAGTTTTACCAAAAATTTTAGGAAAACTCACACCAAGGCCAATAGCAGCTGTAGCATAAACAATAAAAGCAGGGATGTGCTGCCAATTTATTAACATGGGCCTCTCCTATCAGGGGAGAGCGAGATGGGGGAGGAAAGGTATTATGTGATGGTCCAGAAAAACCAAAGGTGTTCTGTTTTGTTGCTTTCTCCTTCCAGCTGTTTGTCTAGAACTAAGTTAAAAGAAATAGATTAATAGTTAATAGCTAATAGCTAGTTACAAAACATGGACCTGCCCTGTCTTAAATCTTCTTCAAGTGCTCTCTCCATCCAACATCACTGACCTGGGATGCAGCCTAGATACAACCAAGTTTTCATTGTAACTAGCACTGTCAATCAGTGCTTTTTGTGAGCATATCATTCCTTGGGACTTTTTTCTGCTTTATTTCACTATCCTCCATATTTGTAGCCATTTTTTAAAGAAGGCCTTTGATAATCCCGTAAAATTTAATAGGAGGCTTCTGAGAGCTGCCCAAAGCCTACAGTAGACTTTGAATAAAAATCATAACAAGAGAACTTTAGAAATATTATTCCTTTGCAGAACAGCAGGGCTTATAAAATACAATGGGCAGGAACAGGGTGTACAATTCTATGTATCTTTTATTCTGCCTGAATTCTCACTGAAATTTAATAGAAATACAACATGTAAGTTTTTCAGGAGATATCAGGAGATATTGTGAACAAACTGGCACTTAATCTCCAGAACATACTTGCCTTAAGAATAAAGGTTACTGAATCCTGTTTTATTCTGATGCAAAACATAGAATCCTCTAAAAAGTTATTCTTCGTTTTCTAAGGAACCAATCCCCCCCCCACTCAAATTTTGTGTTCCAATTTGTACAGTGGCCGGAGGAATAAATATAGATTATGAATTTTCACTGATAAAGTCTGTAAGGCAATTACAGGATCAGCATGGAATAGCAACAATAAGAGATTTGGAATACCCCAATCTTGCTTGTCTTTCAAAAAGCTTTAAGACCTGGCTTTTCCAGGCAATGCACCAGATATTGTTCCTGTATTCATTATTTTGTTTGCTTGGGATTCTGAAATTCTTTCCTGTGCAATTTTTTTTGTTTTTTTCAAATAAAAGTATGCTATTATGTTTTTTTATGCTGCTCTGAATCATGCCTATACAAACTGCTTTAACAAACAAGCAAAATAATAAATATGGACATAAGCTATTTGTGATAATATATCATTTTCCAGAGCTATATTGTATTTGTAAAAAATGGCAACTAAGGAGCTTGAATGCTTGAAGCAAAATCTGTCACTCATCCATTCACTTATAAAAATAATCAACTGACAAGTTTGTGACATGCATTATTTTTAGTCTACACATTATTTGGCTTGTACAAATGCTTCGGACATATTGAGACCTAAGGGTTGAAAGAAAGTTGAGAAATGATGAGAAGGGTTATGTAGAAATTTAATTAATTAATAATCAAAATAAAAAGGTACTATCAAAAATGTTGCACTGGAAGCTGAATAATTGTGTCATGAATTGCAAATCTGGAAGGAATATGAAGGCTAAATAATGCCAATTCTAAAATTGATCTTGACGTTGTCGTGCCTTTTTCAGTGGTGTCACTTGATTAAGTTATGTGGAACTTTGGAGTCTTTTGATACTTATTTGGGAGTAGGTTCAGTGACTTTAAAGGGTCACCTAGAGTTTCATGCATACTTAGGTTTTCTATTCATCAAGCCTTTTTATTACAAGCAGTGCAGTCTAACAAAATAAAAATAAGCAAAACCAAAAGAATGGAACAAAATGTGCCATGAAGAGTATAAGAGAGACTAACTGCGTCTTCCTAGTAATGCCATTTGCATCTTTGAGGATACAGTCAAAGTCTTAGAGTTTCCAAAGGGCTATACAGGGTGATATTTCTGATTCTGCAGTTTCGTGCTGAGATTGTTTATTAACATCAGCAGAAAACTGAAAAAGTACAATTAATGTATAATATATACATTACATATAATTGTTTTCTGAGGTTTTCGCGGGTGTTTGTATGTAGGTCTTTGGTTATTCGGGTTTTCTCCCGCGTAAAACTGGAGGTTTCTTGGCAACGTTTCGACGAAGTCTCATTCGTCATCTTCAGGCTGGTGTTCTTGGCTTCATGCTTCTAGGAGCAATGTGTGTGATCGCAGCTGTTTCTTCCTTTTAACTGCCAGTGGAGGTGTGAACTGATTGGGTGGGAGCTTGGCTGTGTTCTGATTGGGCGGAGGTGTGTTCTGATTGGTTGGGGGTTTGGCTGTGCTCTGATTGGATGGGGGGTTGGCTGTGCTCTGATTGGCTGGGTGTGTGTTCTGTTTAGGTGGGGGCTTGGTTGTGCTCGGGTTAGTCTGAGTAGCAGGGGGATTTGAGCTGGTGAGCTGTGTTGCTGTTGTTTGGCTTCATGTTCGTGGCCGTGCCACCTTTTCATGGTGGATGTCAGTCTGCTTCATGTATGGATTGGAGGGGTTTAAAGTGGCTAATGATGCAGCTGTGGTCTGGCTTCTGGTCTGGGGTCGTGCCTCATCCTCAGTGTGGGTTTGAGTCTGCTTTCTGCATGGATGTGTGGTGGTTACATCCTGTGTGGCTCTCATGAGTGTGGGTCTGGTGTCATTCTTAGTGTTAGGGACACGTTTGGCAATAAGGGCGGGTTTCCAAATGGCTGGTAGGCGGGAAGTATCTCATTTATTTATGCTGTGTGGACGTTTTTCTATCTCGATGGCTTCTCTGATTATTCTGTTGTTAAAGTGTTCAGTTTTGGCGATAGTTCTGGTCTTTTTAAAGTCAATATCATGTCCTTTGGCTTTGAGGTGTTGGACCAGGGAAGAAGTTGGTTCCTCTTTTCTGACTGAGTTCTTGTGTTCTTCAATGCTTGTACTTATTCTTCTGTTGGTTTGTCCGATGTATGTGGTGGGGCAGGCGGTGCATGGGATTTCATATACTCCTTGATTTTCTAACTCAATTTTGTCTTTGGGGTTTCTTAGGATGGTGGATATTTTTCGGTTTGTGCAGAATGCTGTCTTGATATTGTGTTTGTGGAGGATCTTGCTGATTTTGTCTGTGGTGCCTTTTATGTATGGGAGGAAGGCTTTGCCGTTTTCTTGTTCTCTGTCTTGGATTTTAGTGGGGGTTTCTTTTTGGATTAGGTTGGTAATCTTATTTCTTTGGAATCCATTGGATGTTAGTACGTTAGTGAGAGTGTGTAGTTCGGTTTTTAGGTGTTGTTCATCAGCTAAGCTGATGAGTGCCTTGGCTACAGAGTGGATCTGTGCTGGGTGGTGGTGTGAGAGTGCGTGCAGATAGAGGTTTGTATGTGTTTTCTTCTGGTAGATGGTGTGTCCTAGGGAGCCATTGGATTTTTTGTAGACTAAGACATCCAGGAAGGGAAGTTGGTTGTTCGCTTCTATTTCCATGGTGAACTGTATTTTGGGGTGTAGGCTGTTGAGGTGTGTGAGGAAGTCAACTCCGTAGCCAAGACACTCATCTCCAGAACAAAACGCTTACAATGCGTTAAGCAATAGCCTTCATACTTTGTATATTTATACAAAGTCAGCTTATTGCCCCCACAAACTGGGTCCTCATTTAACCTACCTTAGAAAGGATGGAAGGCTGAGTCAACCTTGAGCCTGGTAAGATTCGAAACTGCAGTAATTGCAGGCAGCTGTATTAATAACAGGGTGCTTTAAACCACTGTACTATCAGGCTCCTCATGTATTACATGTATATATATTTATATATACATTATATATACATATAATGTATATATAAAAGTACATATATGCATACATATGTATGCAAAACACACATACAGATCATACTGAAGAATAGATGTCATATAATATCCACTAAAATATAGTATATTTCATTGATTTGTGGTATGCTATCTGTGGTGGTTTACATTACATTACAGGATATTGTAGTTTTTCAATATAATATTTCATTATATGACCGCAATTGAGAATTAAAATCCGTCTATTTATCAATGAATTCATTCCAGTAGTGACTAGCATATTTTAGTTCCTTATTAGGTGCTTTTAAAGTATAGCAATTCTTTCCAGAAGCAGAAAAATGTGACCTGAGTATCTTCTATGTGCCTGAAAATAATGAAATTCTGGTTCTGAATTTTTTTACTCTCACATAGTGGCTGACAGATAGTAGGGTGTCCCAGATTTTGTCTCCTGAAAAATCTAATGGCTATATGACCACTACCTAAAAAGTGATTGCCTAAACCCACATCTTTAAATAATAACAAATTGAAAGAGGGTTGTTTCATAGGCTTTATTGAGATACAAACAACCATGCTTAAAAACAAATTACAGTTATTTCTGAAAACAAGGAATGTGAAATTTACGACTAAAAGTATTTTGCATTAAAAATAATATTGGTAGCTTATGCCACTGCCACTTCCAGAATGGACTGTAAGAAAAAACATAAAATATTAAAGTGGCCATTTCTTTTTTACAAAGTGCTTCTTTTGAAAAGTTTTATAAAATGCATTTCTTTAGGTTTAATCTAATATGGAATTATCAAGACACTACTGTCATTTCATAAATGCTGTTTCCACTTTCTCTTCTCTGTACAGTAGTCTCTGTTTCTCTCTCTGTCTCTCTCTCAGATTATGAAGAAAAGAATATTTACATTTATAATGCAGAGCATATAGAAAAAAATCCCATTTATTCTTTCCCTGGAAATTTAGGAATTGTAAAGAATCAAAGCAGACAAAGCAGATCAAAGTAGTTCAAATGTCTAGCATTTTATCAAACAGTATTATTTAGAGAGACACAAATTCATTTACATAATACCAAACAGTGGAATTTTGTAGCATAGACACAGTCTCTGTCTGTCTTTTTCTCTCTCGATATGATCTCTGATTTTAATTCCTTCCTGCTGATATCTCTGAATTATTGTATTTTCAACACTGGGAAGATAATCTTCTGGAATACCTATTAATGTATCCAGAAATAACACACTGGAAATCAAAAATTCTCCAGATTGCCTCAAATAAATGTCCCTGCCTTGATTGTATGGTTATTGTTGATTATTGGACAGGACAGCAGGAATGAACATCTTAAAGGTCAATCTATGCTGTAAATAACTGTTATAATATTTTTACCCCAACATTTTAAAGGACCAATTTCCATTAATTTTGCTAGAATATGATTCTATATGAATACATTGGGACAATAATAATAATTCTCTTAATTTCCATATCATTCTGCATGTTGACATAATTTCAAGTATCAAGTTAAAAAAACAAACAAAAGCAGACCTTTCAATATCAATAACGCCAGAAGGCTGTCCTTTATCACACAACAAATGTAATACGCTATATTACAATACATTCCTCATATTAAAAGATGGAAAAGAATTATACAAATATTTTTCATCACTTGATATACACAGATTAACAATGAACACCAATACAAAATGTGGCATTTATTTATTTGTGTTATTTCTTAATTTGTCTATTGCTCCAATTAATTGGATTAGAATTTCTCAATTGGTATACAAACTGCTTTCATAGATGACTATATTTACAATGCTCAAGCTAATGATATGCATTCTGCATTATTCTTGTATAACTGATATTATTCCTGCACAAAGTCCATTTGGGACAGAAATGCAAGTCAGTGGTTTGAAAGCTAAACAAACACTACATATACTTTATAGACCTATTTTAATCTCTACATAAAGCTAATGTATTTTAATGATCTCACAATAATTCCACAGGATCGTTTTGAATTCAGTTTCTAATTCCTGGTGAAACACTTATGAGCTCTGGGCCAGAATATGTACCCCGTTCCTAGCTAGCAAATTACATTGTTATACAGCAAATAGCTACCTACATATATACCTACATGTTGTGTACACAGTTTTTCCTTAGTGAATCTGGTCACAGAAGTTGACTTTTTCTAAATAGTGCATTGTAGTGCTGTTGATGTTGCCTAGTTGGGAAATAAAACATCTGCAAGCACAAAGAACATCAAGGACTCCACAATTCAACCCTGAGCTACAGATATTTTCTTCCATTGGAATTATATAAATTTTATCAAAACTATACAATTCCCTTTATTTTTATAGTAGAGTTCTGTACTTTTAAAATTATCTTTATATCCTACCTTTTCTTTGGAAAAGTTATATAGTATATAGAATATTCCCTTCCTTTCATTTTCTCCAAGCAACTTTTGAACTAGGTTGAGCTAAAGGTTACCCAGGAAGTCTTTCTGGGTCTCTCTGGTAGCAGTCCAGCCTCTTAAACACCATCTAATGAAAATGGCTGTCGTATTACCATTCCCCTGGATCCATATTAATGTTGAAGTTTCCATTGAAGCCTATCTTAAAAAGAGATGAGCAATTTTTGCCATTCACTTACTGATGTTGCTCTACATACCTCGTTGTTTAAAGGAGAAGTCTACTCTAATCATGCCCAATCACAAATGTTCTCTAACATTAATAATGAGAACCTATGAAAATTGTAATAACTATTTTTCTATTTATGAATTTATAACAAGAATGTCTTCTTGACAATGTCCTCTAGCAGGACATTGTCCTCTAGTCAGTTCTAGCATTCAAATATCCATTTTTATGTAAAAAGAAATGTATTTTAGTGTAGTGTAGCTATATGATTGTTTTTTCTAAAAAGACTTATTTTAAAAAATCTGATATCAGATAAAAAGTGAATTTTAAAGAATATGAAAAGTTTTATAAAAAGTTTTAAGGTAATATGAATCTTAAAGAGAAAGAAATATATTTAACAGCAACTGAAGATTCTACATCTGCAGGGTTGTCCCTTGGAAGCATGATATATAGATCACACTATTGATACACAATTTAAACATGGCTGAGAAGAACAAACAAAAGACAATTGTCACTTTTTCTAATGTATTTTCTCACAGAGAAATATAAATCATAGAAAATTAGAGCATGTTAACAACTGTTGACATTGAAGAGGTAGGTAATAGTTTTTCTTTTATTATCCAAGTCCCCAAAATGAAATCATTGTTCAGAAATGCAAGATATCTTGCACTTAGGATGACTTCCTACATAACCACAATTTACACAAATCTTTCGCTTGGGAATCAGTATCAGTTTTCAAAGGAAAAATGATTACATGTAGCAATCCAAAGTGGTTTTACATTGTATATCTCCTGCTATATAAGCAAAATAATTTGTTTACTTCACATCATGCATATAGAATGCATAAAAATGGTACAGAATTGTGGCAAATTCCTGCAAATTAGAGCAGGAAATGAATATACAGCTCATTTCATGTATGTAGTACGTATGCATTTTGGCAACTAAACAAGAATTAGCTCACACTATCATATTTTCCATAGTTACCTATGGCTGCAAAAGTTGGACTATGAAAAAAACTGACTTGTTCAAGCTATGGTGTTGGAAAAGGCTCTTGCACATTCCTTATATAGCAAATGTGACAAACAAGCAAATATGGAGCATATAAAACTAAACATAGAGCCAGAATCATTTTCCCTTATATATTTTGGCCAAACTTACTGGAAAATGCAGTTAAGTTCGGAATCATTAGTAAAAGGAAATGAGGCCACCATAAAAACATGGCTGCTAGTTATAATCAAAGCCAACACTGCCAGATCATAATACAAGTAAAATAAGTTATACAATGTGGAGAGAGATGGTTCATAGAATTGCTGAAAATTTGATACAATCAAATAGATAGCATCCATCATCAGCATATATGCAGGCAACTTTAAATCTGGAAAGGAATTATTGTTTCTTCTATGCAATTAATATGTAAAATATTTGAAATACTTTCACAATAAGATACTGGATTTGTTTTCTCCAATTCAGAGTTTCCAGATATATTTATAGTTTCTATAGCCTTTAATTTCCATTACCCAGAGCCAAGTCAACAACATTGTAAAGAATAGATATTCATGATGATTTGTGCTTCATAGCGAACTATTTAGAACATCACTAACATTTTGATGATACATTCATGTGTGTGATTTGTTTTTTTCAAACACCATGTGATGATTTTTACCTTATATTTCCTGGCATATAATCCAAAATAATAAATTATACCCAGGGCTACTTTCCACATGTATTTTACTAGCAGAATTTATAGTATCCTTAAAAAGAGGAATAGTTATTGCTCAATGATTTTTCATTTGTAATTAAACCAGGGATTATAATGATTATGTTCACCGTTATTTGAACAATATGGACATTGTTATATAGTGGCTTTATATCAGTCATAAACTCAAACTAAGAGGGATAACAGTATTACACAGCATTGCCACCCTCTCCTAGGAGATAAGAGACCAGGAGAGTCAATGGAGCCAGGCTTAGTCAAGCTACAACATTATGCATATTAGTACAGAAATAAATCCCACCAAATTTCATAATAGATCTTATTTTAAAATTAGGCCTATACTGGTTACACTACTAGAATGCAATCCTATATACTATTAGAGAGATAACTGTATTGAATTCAGTTGAACTTAGTTCTGAGTAAAAATAGGTACAAGCATTGTATTATTGGAACATCAGGTTAATATATAATGATCAGGTTGGCCTGAAAACCATCCTACATTGATGGGAAATTTTGGGAAAATAAGTTAATTTACCTGTTTAAATGCAGCTGCTGAATTATGCTTCATACAACTCCTGGTTTTATTTATCGTATAATGATGAATTTTGGTACAGAAATATCTCTCCTCAATGCAATTATCGCCAAGATTAATATTTTTTCTCTACCAATAATTTCATAAATTCATAATAAATGGATGTTGAGTCACAGCATAATTTTTTTTCAGTTTTTGTAATAGATTTCCCCAAGATCCATCCTTAGTGCATGCAGTTATGTATGTAATAATTAAATTTTAGCCAAATGGCATTTCCTCACCACTTTATATATATGCTACATTTAAATGTAGCAAGGCAGTGAAGTGGAATGTTTGTATGTGCAAAACAAGAGTCAATGTTTTCCATTTGCAGATATTTAAGTTCAATTTTCATATCTTTAAAATCATGAAACTAAGATACAATCACAAAACCACAACAGACAACAATGCTGCTCATACCTGGAGTAAGTATTACAGAGACATGCGACAGAGTACCTGATGATCATTCCTGAATGTCTAACTTTTTGAATTTTATCAACATTCCTGAATTGAAACCTGCAGAATTTCCCAACAGTAGTAGTGGCAGTGTATGCTGCTGTATGAAGAACTAGGCATTCTTTCTCCCAATGTAATCAAAGGTTATATTGAGCAGAATTCTCACATTTAAAAAGTACTATTTTCATTGCAAATAAAATAGCAAATAAGCTGGTGTTCAAATAGCCGGACTGAAGCATAAGAACAAGCTTCTCTTTAAATCAAACTGCTGGTAACTCTATTAAGGAGACTGGCAAAACGATTTGAGTCTTAAATCCTTCCACTTACCCTGTGCTCCTCTCACTATGATCCACATGGCATAAACTTGTCATTTTCTTTTCATAAAGGCTTTTTAAAGAAGTACCACAAATGACCTATATACTGTATCAGATACTGTATCAAAAGGACTTAAGGTGGATGCTTAATACAGCAGTTAATATTCAGAAAAATGCTGTGCTTATATATAGCTTAAGAAAAAACATTGCTTGCTGGTTGATATTTCTTGGTTCTTTGTTGCATCTTTTGTAAACATAGAAATAAATGAAATTCTAGGCAAAAACTTGCTGAAACTGTACAGACACTTGGAAGATAAAAGTGTACTACAAAATGTAATGATTTTTAATCTAACCATAGTCTGTTTCTATATAGCAAACAACTATTTCATCTGTGTTTCTTTCCTGCATTGCTGAGACAATATAAAATCTCTACCATGGTCATGCTGAGGCTTCAATGTATTCATTTTTTGGCATTACTACCCTTAAGTATTCTGGATTCTCGGCTGGAGGAAGTTTAACAATGCCATTAGGCTTGTTGTCTCTGGGCAAGAAGTCTTGCTGATAGTCTGGATTGTCCAGATTGATTTGGTGGTTGACTGTCTGGTCCCAGTAGGAGGAGCTATCAAAAACTGTGTTAGCCAAAGGTGAGAGGCTTGTATTGAGATATTCTGGGTTATCCAGTGCTGTGTTGTGCAGCTTTTGATGATTTGCATCATTCATAGGCTTTGGATCAATCGGAAGGGAGAAAGTATTGTAGACTGGATTCTGTACCATAGAAGCTGATGCACTTGCTTCTTTTGGGGTCATTTGCTGGTTTACATATTCTGAAATGATTTTAGAAAGACAATATAAAACATGTATTAAGAACTGTATATATGACTCAACATGTTATCTTTATTTAATTGCAAATTTCTATTAATGAGGCATTGTTCATCAATTATTCAATTGATACAGCCTTCTGGAGACAGACATCATGCTAACTTATGTAATTACTGCATTTTAAAAATCAAATTTATATATTACAAACAGCACAATATGCAATTAATTTTATTCATTTGTAAAGATGTATCTTCTTTAAAATCAAATGAGTCTCCTTCACATAGCCCTTGTGAATGCTGGCCTCTGATGACAAACTAGCAAAATAAAAGCATTATAACAGTATTTGGTAACACAAAGAGGTAGCTGCACCTGGCAGGTCTATGTAAAGTCACTGAAGCAATAGTGCTCTGAGAAGTCACAACACATTTCCTAGTTGCAAAAATCTTTTTATGAGTTTGTTTTTGAACTCTCATTTTATTTTTCTGCTTCTCTAGTGTTTTTTCTATGGCTCTATTTCTGGGTTTACATGAAACTTTATGTACAAAATTTATTCTCAGGGATTATTGTTAATGAAGCCAGGACACATTTCAATATTAAACTCCCTATGAACAAATGGAATCCAGGTACAACATGGACAATTTATTATATAGGTTGGAAGGGATGAAATGGGATTACTAGTAAAAATCTCAGGCAGATAGGACAGCAGTTAGGAAAACAAAAGTCTACAAGACATTGAAAAACAAACAAAAGTCTAAAAGACAAAACAAAATTAACAGGACATTATTACAAGGCTTCATGAAGTGATGTTGGATAAAGATAATATAACAGTGCTGACTATAGAAGATCTTTCTTACATTAACATTATCGCCCCCAACATAAAGGTGTATTTAAGAAATGTATTATTTTCTTATTCTTTTTTTAAAATAATCCTTATTGGTGATTTTAATGCAACAACTGGGAACAAATGACTAGATTCTGTTTGTAACTTCAGTTACCATCAAAAAGTAGATTTATGTTTCCTCTCCTTATTCAGTAGTCTAAAGAGAAAATTGGAGATTATGATTAAATCAAATCTCCAGGTAATGATTTATCACTGCTGAAATTATAAATGGCTAAACAATTTATGCCCATTGGGTCATCATTTTGAGACATTTCCTTACTTAAACAGAGAAACTGAATTACTATGGGTGGGCAAAAAGCAATGGGAGTGACTTCTAACTTCTTCTGGCTTCCCCATAGGCAGGCAAGGGAGGAAGCTGGCAAGGAACATTGAAAACCATTCTTGCTTGCTTCCTTCCTTCTGCTGGCCTGCCTACTCATCTTTGAATTCCTTCTAGCTTTTCTGTTTACTTTACTTGTGGTAAGGGTGAAAGTTAGTGAGAAAGCCAGCAAGAAATTACAACCCTGTCAAAGTGCGCACAGTATGACTATGTGAGACAACCCAGGAGCAAATACAGCATGGAAGCACACACGGAGAGAGAGATATGCCCCAACAGGGCCTCTCTTATAATACAGACTCTTAAAGTAGTAACAGTCAAATAACCCTGCTGACTCATTCCTATCATTACATCATGATTACAGCATTTCAGTATTACAGCATTACAGCAGCTGGTCAGCTATTAAATCATCATTACCCTACCCAAGGCCAGCAGGCAGGTATGGCTGGTGAGGAAAAAGGGGATTGAGAGAATAGCTGGAAAACGATTGCAAAACATTCAAAATGAGTACCATGTGACACAGTAGTAGCTCAGCAGCACTGAAACAGCCACAACTTTCCCACATTTCATTCACTCTGCAGTCATAGATCCCAAATCTTGGACACATTCTATAAGTTAGCTCATTTGAACTACCTTGGTTCAAAACTGCCCTATCGTGCATTGTTTCAGCCAGGAATGAGAAATTTAGTAGTATACAGAAAACATATGACCAATTAAAGGTTATAGGAATGAGACTTTTAGTGGTATATAGATATTTAATAATCTGGAATTATGGATGCTGCTGTTAGCATCTGTTTGTTTATTTACTTATTAAATTTATATGCCATCAACTGACTATCCAGAGTTTATTTCAGATTTACCTTCATGGATCATATTGCTCCGATTTCAAGGGAGTGCAGCTTTGCTATTATAATGTCTATTTGTAAAAAAGCAATTCAGATTTGCCTGCCAATTTAGAGATGCATCCCTCTTTAAATATACACTAAATGGCACACTTTGTGCCCAGGATACTTATAACAAACATATATTGGGTTGTATTTTGTTCATATGTTGGCTAATGAGTAGATAGGTTTTAGAGCCCAAAGCTAGATTATGGATCATGCTTTAATCATACATAACATATAGTGGAAAATAATATTGTTAAAGCCAAGTCTGACTGTATGCATTTTATTTTATTCTAGATCTAGAATGGTACTGATTTAAAAATTCTACTGTAGACAGATGCTTGCTGCAGTCAATATGCAAAAGTTTATGAAAATTCTAAATTAAAAATCTCAGGGAGTGTGAAAGGACATTACTCCAGAGAAATTCCTGTCCATGTTAGGCAGAGCTGTATCATGATAGTCTTGCTATTTAACTTATTTAACAATTATTTTGTGACTAAGTTAAGTAACTTCATATACCATCCACCAAAACACATTTATAAACACAGTGAGGTCCTTTTATATGCAAAGCATATAGTAGTTAATATGTACCAGTTGGTTTCAAACCAGCTTTGCATACTTTGGCTGATTATTATACAGAGGAAGCATTGGAAAAAATTATTCCCAAACTAAAATTAAATACGTGGCAGTCTAGATTCTATGCATGACAACTGAATGAGCACCTAACTGAACAAACAAACAAACAAATAAATAATAGAAATATTTATTTGACTCATTTGGTAAGCATAGGATTATATTGTTAACAATTCCCCAAAATTGTTTTAATTATTCTAGGACATTATTTATACCAGCTGCTGTAAAGATACTTGTAGCAAAAGAATGAGCAAAGGAGCTATATGGGCCTAAATCATTAAATAATTACTGAGCACTTTTGCTACAAATATGTTTGAAATTACAAAGTAATTTCCTAAGGATTATTTTCCAAATGGTGTGAAGTGTGTCTAACGTTGGTGCTCATGAAGTTGGTGTGATTAAAGCAGAAACCAGCATGTGGCTGTTTATTTTACTTCTGGCTGAAAGTATTATTTTATTTTTTATGTGAACCTAATCTCCTTGATCCTGGCTGATAATTTTAAATTGACTTAAGCAAAATAAATTATTGTAGGGTTATGGTTTTTATAGGACATATTACTAATAATGTCAAGCCTTAAATAAAGTATTATAGAAAGAGAAAGATAATTAGATTTTGTTGGCCTTGGATATCTTTTTCAGCAGTCAATCACACTATTTTAGACCAGCAAAGTATTTAGACCAGCAAATATTCACTTCCACATTTAAGATACTATTAGCCTCAGGTTGTTTTAACTTACTTCTAACAACCATTCTTGAAGGAAAGTTCAGGAAAATCCCTTATTCTTTAAGATTCTGTTCTTGCGACGAAGGAGCAGTTGAAAATACAATTTATGTATATTTGCATTGTCCATTTTATATAAATAGATTGCTATATTTCGTAGCCCCCTTAGTAAATGTTTTGATTATTTGGTACAGCTGTTGTTAGCCATCTCTGTGTTTGAATGTGGCTACATTGTTTTACTGTTTGTAAAATCCATTATAACCAATCACATTACTTGGTTATTGTTTATTTTTATCTGCATTTATTTTGTAAGTTTTAATATCTACCTTCTTCTAAATGGAATTTTTGTGATTAACCTAATAAACCCGACTGTCTAATTTTAAATGGTGCTTTGATGGTTTCCACAGGATCACATTCAAAAACTTATTCTTCATTTGATTAATGTTATCAGAGAAGAACACAAAGGTTCAACAGAGTCTGTGTATTTACCTGGAGCAGGGAGAAAGCCATCATCCAGACTGTCATCTAGGAAAACTCCAGTTGGATCTGAACTGTACCTCTGGACAAAGCTGTGTTCTCTCACTGGATGTCCCTGCTAATTGTAATAAAGTTCAGATTTTATTATTTATTTATTTATTTATTTATTTAATTTATATTGCCGCCTATTCGCCCATGGCGACTTAAGGTGGCTTACAGAATATAAAACCACATTTAAAACAATAAAAACTAACAAAAAGAATCAAATAAATTAACATAGTACAATGTAACAAAATCAAAAGATTAATAATAATAAGATTCAATCCATTGTTGAGATAAAAAGGCAATCTAATTCCAAACAATGACTTGCTTATTTATATTCTAATGGATGGCAAAAAAAACCCAACAACAACCATGAAACAATTCAGACGTTACTCTCCATGGCTCCGAATTGATCAAACTTACCCCATTCCTATCTATGCACATTACTGCAGAATTATTGCTTGTAGCACTCTAAAATAAAAGAGAAAAATGTTTCATGAATTTTAACAGATGAAGAATATTAGACCATTTCATGCTAAACATAGAAGCCCCCCCCCCATTTGAAGTAACTGTGAATCTCCAAGTTTGTGGGCCAACCTCCAACATTTTTAATTATGACCCCCTGACTATGGAATTTACTTTAGAAACAGTCCCATACCAATGAGCTTAAGAGAGGTGTTCGTGAGTTTGATGGGCTGCTGAAAAATCCTTGATGGGGAATTAGGTATTCATCTGCATCCACAATATCTTCCATGTCTTCTTCTTCCATTAGACTCCGGTAAAATTTGGAATCTGTTGGGCTGGGCAGGTGCATCCTTTCATCTCCCTACTCAGAAACAAATTCCAGTTAGGATGAATAACTGCACCTCTATAACATTAAGTCTTACTACAATTTGAGTGTTAAAATATCATTATCAAAAATATTCCAACCAATCAACAATAAAAAATAAATTTAGACTGAGATGAAGAATGGTTCTATATTCTTGGGAAATACTGTAAATTACTCTAAAGATAAAAGGTACTTTATCCAGCATTTGGTTACTATTGTCTGAGAAGAAAGACTCTTAGATAAGGACTCCAGAGAAGATATGGAAGCCACCTGAAATATTTTGATTCCATATACATTATTCAAATATTTAGCCAAAGCAGAAAACCCTAAGCTTTCTAGCTAGAAGTTGGTTTTTATTTTATTTCTTTGGTAATAAAATTCTGAGGGAATTGAATGGTGGTTAGAGAGATTTAGTCAGCTTATTCAATGTCTCTTTCTATATGAAAATAGGTTAAAATGTAATTTTTTTCTCTTGTTCTTAGTTTTAAAATAAAACTCCTTTTCCATAAATTATAATTTCTTTGTATTTATTACATATCTGGATAGAATGCAATCTGTGAACCAAGAGCCTGATCATCGGTATGCAGCATTTTAGATCAATGTATGCCATTATAATACATAACTTTCAAAGTTTAAATTGGGATTACAAAGTGCTGATTTAGATAATCAGAATCAGTTCAAGTGTATTGAATACGAAATATTGTTTAAAATGAAACCAACATATTCATACCTTTGCTTTTAGATTTAGAAATGACTATTATTTTACAGTGTTTTTACTGACCTACCGGTACTTAAAATATAAGAATTTCAAAACAGTTTGATACCACTTGTCCATTTAATTTTTAAAAAATTTGGAGCCCGTTGTACTATTTTGCTTGAAAAGTGAACACCATGTTATTCATGGTCAGCACCTGTATGACGAGATAGCGTTGTGGATCCCGAGCCATTTTGGAGAATTCTGCTATTAACTCTCTGAATTTAGGACGACTCTCTGCATCAATCATCCAACCTGTGATAATAGGAACAACACAAACAAATTATGGGGGAAATGGCCATAAAATGGCTTCAAAGTACAGAATCATTTGCTGGGAAACAGGTAAATTATTAAAAAGACTTTAAATTATGCATCATAATACTGATTCTGAAACAATCATAATAAGTACTCTGTATAATAAAATAACAATGTTGAATGAAAATCTGATGGCATATTTCAGAGTCTTTGTATTTAGATTTCCCTTCTTGAATACCATGAAAAAATTGGAAAAATTGGAATATCTTGGAAGAGTTGGAATAATTCTTGCCGTTTCCCATTTCAGATTAGGGTGCAAAACAGGACAGAGAAAATCAATAGAGAAAAAATAGAGATATGGACAGTGCCTACTTTCTTTGGGTTCCAGAAGGTCCTTAAGATCTGGCTCAGAGGACCTTCTGTTACTATTATGGCAGTTTTATCTCTGAGATGCTGTGTTATTTTATGTTAATTATTTTTATTGTTTCCTTAGATTTTGTAAACTGTGGCTATATATTCCTCCAGGAGAGCAATGGTGAACTAAGATGTCTTGGAATGAGCAGAGACGATGACCACAGCAAAGACTGAAGAACAGTGGTGGGATTCAAGTAATACCAGAGCCTTGCTGGTACAGTGGTCTAAGCACCCTGTTATTAACACAGCTGCCTGCAATTTACTGCTGGTTCGAATCTCTCCAAGGCTCAAGGTTGACTCAGCCTTCCATCCTTTCTAAGGTAGGTGAAATGAGGACCCAGTTTGTGGGGGCAATAAGCTGACTTTGTATAAATATACAAAAGTATGAAGGCTATTGCTTAACGCCCTGAGTCTTCCGAGAAGGGCGGCATATAAATCAAATTAAAAAAATAAATAAATTAACAACTGGTTCTCTGCCCTAATGACTTCTTTCAACAACCAGTTTGCCAAACTGCTCAGCAAGTTAACAACCGGTTCTCCCAAAGTGGTGTGAACTGGCTGAATCCTACCACTGCTGAAGAATCAGGGAATACAGCCAGGGAAGTTCTCTGGATAAGGAAAGGATGGGAGATTGCCCATTTGTGCTCTGGATGGCTACTCCTACAAGGAGACTGCAGGACAGTTCTTTCCCATGTTTTGAATGCATAGTGCTCTCAAACATGGCAGAGCCTTTTAAATGACATTAAGCTCACTTCCTAATCACTTTTGGAAATTACCTAAATAACTATTTAAGGATTTTAGAGATTTTCAAAATGACAACTTGAAAAACCAGTAAAACAAGATAAAACAAAACTTGTAGCACCAAAGACTTGATATAGTATGTACGCTGCTATGCCATACATTTTTAAAAAATAATACAAAAACATAACCTATAAATGAAGCTTTGTGTCTTGATGTCATTAATAGATTTCAAGCATATCATAAACATTCATAAACCCTACCTAGCCACTGGTTTACATATCAACAACTGAAAGAAAGATTTAAATTAGATAAAAAGAGTTATGTGTTTGATTTCATTACAAATGAATTGAAAATCTTACTGTGTGGTAGTGACAAACATATTATTGCTATGATTTATAAAATGTTACTGAAATTGAATTTGGAAAGTGAACATGTAAAACATTATATGAGTCAACGAGCAAGAAATTTTGGATATAATGTGATGCTTGAACAATGGGAAAATATGTGGACGAAAGATTTAAAATTTACACTAAACTATAATTTAAATTTTTTTTTCTATAAGATGATGTATTGCTGGTATTTAAAGCTGATAAATTATCTAGAACATATAAAGGTATTTCAAATTAATGTTGGATGTGTAAAAATAAAGAAGGGACTTTTTATCATTTATTGTGGACATGTGATAAAGCAAAGAAATTTTGGAGTAAGATTCATATTTTAATACAGAAAATTCTTAAAACAAAGATAAAGATGAAACCAGAAACTTTTCTTTTGGGTTTAATGGAAAAAGACTTGGAGAAAAAATTCGGAAGTTTGATCTTATACATGTTGACAGCAGCGAGACTACAGTGTGCACAAAAATGGAAGGACCTCCCACTCTGGACAAATGGTTACAGAAGTTGATGGAGTTGGCAGAAATGGCTAAATTGATTAAACAAAAATATATATATAACACTTTTGTTGCTACATGGAGACTGCTTCTGGATTGGTGAGAAAAAATGAAACTTTGATTTTGGGTTTTACTGATAAGATTGATTTGTTTTTATAGAAATGACTAGTTTATATTATTATGGAAAAGTAAAATGTGGTTTGATGTTAATGCTTTATGTATTTTACTGCAACAGAGGGAGCCGGAAGTCAACACTTTTTTCCCCCTCCCCACCCCAATCCTTCCTCATTTCTCTTTCCCCTTCTTCCCCCCACTGTGCCTTCCTACTTGCTTTTGTATTTTATTCTATAATCTAATAAAATGTTTAAACAGCACAAATCCTGTCTACCCAAATGCTTTAATAGTTTAATAACTGTATTAATATCTTTTTTTCAGGCTAATGTTTTGCAAAGAACTAATAATTAATCTTCATTTGAATTTCCAAAATGTATCTATTGGTTCAGCTTTGAATGTATCAGCAGACTAAATTGTCCAAAATTCAGAATGAAGTGTTTTTATGCCACCTTGTGGGCTATTTGTAAATGTTTTTTACTGTCTAGAAAGAATTATTACAGCTAGTTAGAATCCTACTAAAACCCCATCTTCCTTCCTTCTGTAAATATCAAAGCATTAAAATCATATGTAAAAAAAAAATAAACGGCAATCTGAGATCTCCTATCTATCTATAGAGCTACAGTATATAAAGGCTGTTCTGGAACAATCACTTCTGAAAATAAATATTTCTGCATTATAATATTTTTTTAAAAATTAAAAATTAAAATTTAAAAAAGCTAGTATCAAAGTCACTAATTTTTAAGTCAAAATTGGAAATGACCTCCAATCTTCTGCCAGGAAGTCTTTTGAGTTGCATAACATTTGATAACAATTTGGATATCTCATACATTTGCAAGCAAAAAGAGAGTGACACCCTTTCAGAAAAATACAACTTTTGTATTTCTCTGCTTGAACATTTCAGTTAGGTGAATTGAACATATTTGATCGTAGCTGATATTGCATATCCACTCATGAATAACATGTGTTCTTCAGTATTAAAGGATCTCAACTGGGTCCAGATTATTTCCAATTACAATTCAAAGTGATTTTCTATATCTATCCAGCCTGTCTTTGATCTTGGTATCTGAAGGATTGCTTTTGTCTCTCCAGCTGAGATAATAATTTACAGGTCTTTTTGATGCATTTTCTATTTTTAGAATTCAGTTATTGGTTTCTAGAGAAACAAATATTACAGTGATGTCTACAATTATTTTTCATACTTTGGCTAATCTTGCATTTCCTGCTAAGAGAAGTGGATTTCTTAGTTCTCTTATTATGATACACTGAATATTATTTTTTAAAATTATAGTTATTGAACCATTTTTCCACTGGATCCATCAGAACAATTTTATATATCACTGTAATTAACAACTTTGTAATGCTGAGTAATAATATATGTGAAAGCAGTCAATGAACGTTGTATAGGGATTCAAATTTAGGTCTTCTAGTCCTAATTCAAATTTGCACTGCTACACATATATCTTTGCAACTGGATAATCAATTACAATATTTTCCTTTTCAAGCTAATTTTTTGGGAAAAGTTCTTTAATAATGGAAGTGGTTTATGAATGAATAACCAATTGTTCATACGAAGCATCAGCCTTTAGTTTGATAGCATCATACATAGAGAATATGGAAGAATATGAGTAAGATTAATCCACCTAAAACTGTACATTATTTTGTACAGAAGCAGAAGACCAGGGGGCCTGGTGGCTCAGCAGACTAGATTAACACCAGCTGTCTGCAATTACTGTAAATTCGAATCTCACCAGGCTCAAGGTTGACTCAGCCTTCCATCCTTTCTAAGGTAGGTAAACTGAGGACCCAGTTTGTGGGGGCAATAAACTGACTTTGTATAAATATACAAAAGTATGAAGGCTATTGCTTAATGCATTGTAAGCCACCCTGAGTCTCCGGAGAAGGGTGGCATATAAATCAAATTAAAAAAAAAAAAAGACAGGATTATGCCAGAAAGCTTGCAATAAATAAATTGCAACTATGATCAAATGTTAGATGTATTTAGAAGAGTGAATACTCTATTTAAAGCAAACAAGTGAAAGTAATTTGGTTGATAGACAGGAATGACTTACATTTGACCATGATCATATACACATCAATTGTACATATAGGGGGCTGAGGCAACCGTTCTCCTTTCTCCAAGACAGAGGAAATCTCACTGGCTGGAATACCATCATATGGTTTAGATCCAAATGTCATTAATTCCCAAACAGTAACACCTGAAATATAGAGCACCACAGAAAGTTGAAAGGCTCATCCAGTAAACTAGAAAGCCAAATACTAATAGCATGTAATAACTTGATTATTTGCTCAAGGAACAAGTTTCAATGAATTGAATATTGTTAATGTTAATGATTTCAAGCACTAAGGGCTCATTACCATTTGTTTGTTTTCCAATTGACATAAAAGAATAATCTTCTTAAAAAGAATGAAATTATTTTCTAATGTTATATTTCAGAAAAGCAAAAACACTATTCAATTTCTTTAAAGCATCACTTTATATCTGAACCCAATACATTCTTCTTTTTTTGGTAAATTCAGGTAGAATAATTATTGTCTTAGACAAAAATAGTTTTTGTCTTAAATTTTCTCAAAAATTGTCTTAACACAATTTTTGAACTGTAGTAGCATTTTGTTTTAATTCAATGAACCAATAGCAGCTTAGCAGTATTTTGAACTGGTGCACACAGCCAAATTCCTCTTTTTCTTTTTGTAATATATGCAATTTATGATATAGGCTGCTTTTATGAATTTGAATATGATTACTAGCATTACAATGGGCTGCAAGAAACAACAATCCTGGATTTTCAATAATCAGAAACTTTGGGGGGAAATATCCATATAAACATTATTGAAAAGCTGATGGCATATAGGATTTGCTTCACTGAGCAACACAGTTGCTTCATTGAGCAACTTCAGACTGTCAAGCCTGCATTTTCAGTAGTATTTATTTCTCTGATAATTGAACTTGCCATCTAAGTTTCAAATGATAGGTCTGAAATCACTCACTGAGCAATATAATTTGGATTGAGAGTTAAACCTGGATCCCAGTCCAACATTTTAATTACTGCACACATGACTTTCAATCAGACGAAGATGCACTCCCTGCCATAATATTTCTTTTGAAAAAATACAGATATGTGGGTAGATCCATAGTTTCATCTTACTACTTTATACTATTTGCACTTTTGCTTAGAGAGGTACATAACAAAACCATGATTGTTGACTAACTGTTGAACTTCCTTCCTTTCCTGGCATATTTTAGAGTCCCTATGGCTTATTCTGGTTTGCGGTGTTATTTACTGCCTACTCCAAATTGTTTGGACAAACATAGTGATACTTTGTTCTTCTTCAGATAATATATCATGGGGAATGTCCAAAAAACCACGTTAGTAAATGCTTCTTTATGCAAAAAAACCAAACCAAACCAAACCAAACCAAACCCAAACCACAATCTCCTTCCACACATACTGAACAATAGAAGTTTGACAGAATGATCCAAATTTTGCTTCTATTAAAAACCAGCTGTTATAATAATTTTGTGCATCAAGGGCTCTTTGGAGAGATGCAACTCCATAACATTATCCCTGTGTCTCTACAAGAAGAAATATTATACAGCAAGCAAATCAGCTCAGTGACCAATTTAGAACCAGCATGTTTTACACTTACCAAAGCTCCAAACATCACTCTGATGGGTATAAATGCGATGCAAAATTGACTCCAAAGCCATCCATTTAATTGGAACCTAGAAAGAGATTGGAACCATTGCAAGCAGATAAGAATAATGAAGTTCATTATTTTAAAACGTATGACAGTATGTACTAATGCTCGCAACTAGTTGTATTATCCATATCATTGCAGCTAGCCAGCAATTCATGATAAGTATGATATTTATATAACCTAGAACTACTGCTCAGAATATGAAAAGTTGAAAGAAGCATTGCCAGAAAAAAAATGCTCATATGTATTTTTACTAAATGTAGGGGATGGAGTGGGCTCTTTATGTTGTGAATTTTTAATATTGTAAGCCACCTGCTGTCACCTATGTGTGAGTTGAGTGACAGCCATGAATAATTTATAAATAAATAAATAGTTCTACAATTGAGAATTGTAAAACTGTTTTGGTGGATGATGGCATATTTCTCAATTTAAAATTCCAGTGTGGTTTTTGTCTTTTTCTCAGGAAGAAGTAATGTCTTTCTCAGCATTCAACATGCAACTTGCTGTACTCATGTTACATCTCTATTCAGTACGGTACAATGACTTCTAGTGTGCTTCTGGGTACAATTTTGGAGGTACTGGTTGTTGCTTATAAAGCTGTTTGTGGCATAGGAATTTGTGGGATGGCTACCTCTTCCTACTTGATCAAGAAGTCAGTAAAAAATAAATAAATTGTGGGACTCAGGAAGCAGGGCTTTTGTTGTGACCCCGATTCCCGAGCCTGTCCTAACAGAGGAGGAGGACTCAGAAGGTGAGGGGGAATCACTGACAAGGCCTCCCTCTCCAGGACCCTCCTTTCTGGCAATGCCTCAGGTTCCATCCGAGGCCAGGAGGAACAGCCTGGGATGTGCCAGGAGGAAGGCATATCAGAGCACCAATTGATAGGGAGCGAGGATGATGAATCCTGGCTTGATCCCAGGCAGCGTCGGAGGGAGAAGCGTACGCAGCAACAGAAGAGGCATGGGAGGGCCAGAGATTGAGCTGAGTCACGGAGCCATGCCCCACCAGGAATAAAAGTGGGTGGGATTGCTCTTCAGGCTTTGTGACAGACAGAGTTAAACCCTGAAAGTCACATCGTGATCTCTGAAATTCGGCTTGGATATATTTTGGACTGAACATTGACTAAATTCTTGTCTCATGGATAATTTGTTGCTCCTGGAACGGACTGAAGATAAATCCTCTTCTGCTTTATGGGAGTGAAAACTGTCTTGGCAGGCATTCGGCAGTTTGCTGCCAAAACCTTGGTCTGCCAGGAATTCTAATCTGTTTACCTAATAAAATATTGGCAGGCATGCTTGGTATTACTTTTGCCTGTGTGAGGAAGAGGGACAGAACAGCTTTTCTATTGCTGTGCCTGCCTTTTGAAACATGACTTTCCCTGGAGAATAGATTGGCCTCAACCTTACTGACTTTTGGAAGGCCCTCAAGACATGGATATGTTCCTAAGCTTGGGGATCAGCTTGTTAAGGTCCATGTCAGTTAGTTGGTTTGGCTCCTTGGCTGTCATTTATATTATTTATTTATTTGAACCCCACCTTTATGGTGTTTTTAGTTTTTATTTGTTGAAAGCTGCCTAGAATTAGGCTCTTTGAGATGGCAGGATGTGAAAACCAACCAGAAAACTAAACAAACAAGCAAACAAAGAAAATATAGATAAATTCTATATTTCTAAGCTTGACCTATTCTGCATAGATTATATATATATATAGTTTATTTGTCAATATAGTTTCATCACTCTTCAAAGTGACTGAAAACTGAACTTGAGTATCTGAAAACTCAACATTGTATAAAGAAAACCAGAAGGAAGAAATAAATTTATGCTCTTACTTTGCCTCCTTCGGCATGGTACTCCTTCTCTTCTGCACCAAGTAATTTGGCCAATCCAAAGTCTGTGATCTTCACATGCTGGGGAGTCTTAACAAGGACATTTCTGGCAGCCAAATCACGGTGTACCAAACGACGTTCCTCTAAGTAATTCATTCCCTAAACATGTTAACAGTAAAGCAACTTATTGTACCACACAACATATATAGCCACATTGCAAAAAATATTAAGAAAATGAAATTTGTTCTTACAGAATATTGAGGTAGTCACACTAAAGCTGTTGCTTTTTCATTAGTATTGAAAAATGAGTGAATGTGCAGAGCAAGATTATATTAATATGTATTAATTAAAACACATTCCTGGCACTCCAATAATTTAACCAATAAAAATAACTGGTTTTCAAGAGTTCTGAAGCAGGTATCTAACTCTGGTATTCCTTTAAATTGGCAGCAGTACGATCATAGGCAGATCCGAAATTGGATTGCACAGAGATTTAAGGACATAAGTGCCCAATCGGATATTGCACAGGTGACAGCAGTAAAAGTTTGCCCCTGGTTATCAGCCAATAAACAAATTTTTAAAATAGAAAAATATTTAACTATGCCTTTATTTTCCATCATAAGGAGATTTTTTACCAAATTGAGATTAGACCAACTTCAAACAAACATGCTTTGGGGTAGGTATACGGATATCCCTGTAAGAGAAAGAGTCTGTGTATGTGAAACAACGTCCCATGTAATTTGTGATTGCCCACTATACTCAGATTTGAGGGAACATCAGCTGGGCAGGATCTTTTATACCAGCACCCCTAAGTCTAAAGAGCACTTTTTGCAACATTGTCTGTTAGGTTCTAACTTGCAGTTGGTGAAATGGATTGCCAAATTTGCGGTAAAGTTGATGGAAAAAAGGACAAAGTTGGTGCAGCAGAATGTGGTAGATTGTAGGAAAGACCATTTGATCTAATAATGTAATTTTAATAGTAGTTGTAAGACTGATTGGGTAGATGCAGGGGTGACATTATAAAATAATTTTAATCATATTTAAATTGTATCTCAAATGATTGTATTTTATTTCAATTTCATTTTAGATCATATTTTATTCTAATTGCATTTTTAATTGTGCGTTATTCCAATTTCATTTAAATTGTTTTACCAAACTTTTGTAATGATTTGTTTCTGGAACTCTGCACTTTGATATGGCCCAAGGGCTAATCAATAAATAAATTCATTCATTCACTCCTGGTTGTGATTATTAAGTAATTTCCTGGGTTGGAAATGGAGCAAAAGAACTACTTGTCAAGTTCAGTTGCCCACAGTGTAGAGAAAAAATTACTGTAGCAAGCTACAGGAATGTATCTGAGCTCAAATACATTTTGGCAGCTTGCCAGAGTTTGAGCTCTATTTCTGCACCCTGCTGGAGGAGTTCAGTTTCCTTCCATTTGCAGAAAAGGACTGCTCCAACAGACTACAGGAATGGAGCAGAGATATTCTAGGTGTCTGCTCCTGCTAGAGGATTTCAGCTTCCTTCTGCATGTTAAGAGAACTTCTCTGGTTGAGTGTCAGAAACATAGCTCGTATCTTTGGGATCTAAATTCCATTTCTTCATTTTACCAAAGGAATTCAGCTCCCCTTGGTAGAAGACAAGAGGGCATCTTCTCAGCAGGCAGCAACAGCTTGCAATCTTCCCTGCTGATTTTTCCATTGACTAGAACAGAAGATTCTATGCAAGTCATTTTTGCAACTGGTCATAAGTGTGAACAGATTGCCAATACCCAGTCTATGATCATTTGACTGCAAAGGGGGAAAGTGTGACATTTTACAATGGCTGGAAGTGCTTTATGGTTAATTTAGCATGTGAAACTAAAAACCAAGAACTGCTTGTAGGCATCAGCTGGATCAGAGTAACAAATCTAAATTTAGGTCAATGTTCTAGACCAGTGATGGCTAAACTTTTTGGCACCAAGTGCCAAAAGCAAGCACGCAAACCATGGATGGGTTCTGCTTACCTTTACTACCAGTTCTCAACGGGAGCGCACATACACTTCTGCACATGCACATGCACTTTGCGCATGCACATGCACTTCTGTGCATGCACAGTTCACCCATGATGATGTTGTGGCGGGTGGGCAGCACCTCCCACTGGTTTTACTACTGGTTCTATAGAACCGGACTGAACCAGGAGCAACCCACCACTGGCGCGAACTGCCAAAATGCAATGTGAGCACCCCACTGCGCATGCGCCTGACCCCCTATGCATTCGCCCCCCGTGCATGCACCCTGACCCCCTGGCAATGTGCCCCACCCCCCGTGCATGCGCGGCAAAGACCTGAAGACCAGCTGGCCTGCAGGAGGGGCACAAACATTCGTGGTATAGCTGGACTGGGACAATGACTGGCGTGCCCACAGAGAGGGCTCTGCGTGCCACCTTTGGCATGTGTGCCATAGGTTAGCCACCACGGTTCTAGACATTTTTAGAGAACTAGCTGAAGTTTGTTGTTAATATACCTTTGCAATCTGCACACACCAGTTGAGAAGGTACTGGGATCCAATGTTATCTTTGTGTTCTCTGACATAGTCAAGAAGGCAGCCATAGGGCATCAGCTGAGTGATGAGTTGGACAGTTGATGTGAGGCAAATTCCCAGCAAACGGCACACATGGGGATTATCAACACTTGCCATCACATATGCTTCCTAATCAAAAGAGGTAGGAGGAGACACAAATTACCTACTCTGTAAGAAATTACAATATTAGTATATACTATCTTGTCTCAGAAGGTAAGATCTGCACCCTCTCTTTTAGATTTCAGGAAAAGCCTTAAAATCTGGCTATTCTGTCTGGCATGGGGTCCTGAAGGAGAAACTGCTGGATGGAGGCCGTTGGTGCACTAGCAGAGAAGGCACCCCACTTCTCCTCTCAAGACCCTTATTTATGATAATTGAATGTTGGTTTTATCTTGATGCAAGCCATTCAGAGTCACCTGAACTATGAGATGGTCAGCAAATAAATTTGAGAAATAAAAATAAATAAATAAATAAATAAATTACAAATTATTACAATTAATTAATTGACAGAAATAATTCGAATCATGCTAAATTCTCTGTGGAATGAGAATTAATCTGAAGGCTAGAATTGACACCTATTATATTTCAACATAGGACAATTATATTTTAATTTTTTGTCTCATTTAAAAAGCTGATTGCATCAGTATAGAAATCCAGTAGGAAGTAGTCAGTATTTTTTTCTCTTCATTAATAGACATGATCTAAATAGGTACAAGATATCCACATATCCAAATGACAACTTTTAACTAAGTATAATTGTAAATTGCAAATTACCATCTCAGGCTGAATATTGAAATAAAATCAAAGTAGCTTAATTGTAATAAGGTTCAATAAAAATAAAACAAAAAACCATTATATGTTATAACAATTTAATCAATTTAATTAAATAACAACATTATTTTTTAAATTAGTGGCTCCAACACATATATTAATGCTTTTCTGTCCATTCACTGCAGTAATCTACTAGGATTCCTGATAATTAATAAACAAATGTAAACCTCATAAAACATAAGAAAGTAATTTGCCACTACATTTTCCAAACCTGTAAATTAGATTATAAAGATCTTAACAGGCATTGTACAAATAAAAAAAAAGGAGAATAGCAAGGAAAACAGAATATATATATGAAATCAACCAATACAGTCATAGACCAGCAAAGAGAAAATATATATGTTCACACTTACTGTAAGGAAATTTTACATTATGACAATTGTCATTATCTAATGAAGACCATGTTAAAAGAAACCATAACAAAAATTAGTCCCAATAAATCAAATTTCACCTCTTCTCAAAAGTATCACAGCAAAGGCTTTAAAGGATTTAAATCGGATAAAGAGGGAAGAAGCTTGTTTGTTCAGTTGCACCTGCCTCCTTGTGGCCAACAACCTAAACTAAAGACACCTCAGTTTTTTCTTTTGATTTCATCAGGTCTATTTATTCTCTGATCCCAATCAAATAATATCTTAGTCATAATATATTGAATCACTCATTATCATGTAATGTGCTTTTCTGTCATCAGTCTCAGTCATCTAGCAAAGAAAGATTCCTCGCCATTTGTTTTGCCAAGAGTATATTTTACTGCAGCTTAAATAGTTACAGAAGTAGAGTAAACTGAATCTGAGGTTTTCCCATGCAAACAACAGAAATAAAAGTTCCCTCTTCCCCTCATGACATTTTCTCTGCAATTGCAGAAAACATGCTGATTTGGAGATGGATCTATCTGCATACGTCTACATATTACATCTGATCCACAATAGCACAAGAATCCATTTTCATCAATGGCTCCTTAGCAACCAGTGCATATGCCACAAATGTCTCTGTAGCATGAGGCTGCTAAATCAGAATATGCCCCAAATCAAAGAAAGAAGGAAACAAAGCAAAACGCTTCATTTCTTAAAAATAGCATTTAGTTTATATATGAAAGAGTGGGCGATTTCAATTAGAGGATCCAGAATATTAAAAAAATGGAATGTATTATATGCCTGGGTCAAATATACAGTATGCTATAAATGTTTCTGCAAAGATCTTTTAAACAGTTCTTTCTTAGCCTGAATATTTTTAATTCCACTGTAATAAATCTAGTATTATAAACATATGCTTCTTTGCTTCCTCTTTTATAGACCCCTATTTCATTAATTATTTTATAATTTTTTTAACCGATTTCCATGAATTGACTGAAAGTTCCAAATCTTTATAAACATTAACCTGAATTCTGCCAAATTAGAAATTTGTTCTGCATGGGTTGTACCACCTATCAGCCATCAGAATGTGGAACTGTTTCAATATTTGACAGTGTCTAAATTTGATATTATAAAAACAAACATTTATCAACTCCTTTAAGAAAGAATGCTGAAGTCATTGTGTCACCATGCACTTTCAAAATGCTTTGAAAAAATAGACTGAAGTTTTTGTTGTTAAACTGTAGTTTGGAATCTCTAACTTTGCATAACTTTGCTCATTCTGAAATGGGACGTATGTCTACATATGTGGTATGTTCATAATAGTAATATTTTACGATTATGTAGATAAGTTAAAGGAAGGACAGCATTTCTTACGCACCACAAAGTAATTACTTGAAACAAACTAATCTTTTCTAAGCCCACCTAAATGTGCCTTTGTTTTTTTTTTTTTGTAAATTTCAATTCATCTACATAAAATTTGTCAAAAATTTATAGAGTGGAACACTAAATACAGTAGTCCTCAACTTACATCAGCTACTGAGCAACTAGTTGAAGTTATAATAGATCATCCTCCCAAATCTACTTATGACCATTCAAAGTTACAATAGCTGTAGTTGGTCAGTTTTGGGCATTTAACAACTGGCATATTTTTATGGCCATTTGCAGTATCCCAGGGTTTTTGAGCACAATTGCAATATTTTTTGTTGTTTTTTAGTGTTTACTTCTGGTTTCAGTAAAAAAAATATCCATTGGGAAAATTAATTCACTTAATGACTATCTTGTTTGCAAATGACTGATGCAAAAAATGTCAAAAAATTAGTTTTGGTCACATCATGCCTCGACTTACAATTTATGACTGTAACTCTACCCTTGGAGGGTAGAGCCGAGGACTTTGTACAATATCTGTATGACAAAATCGCTCAGATTCGGGAAAATTTGGACTCTGACTGGGTAGGTTCGGGAGGGAGGATGGAGGCAAGTCTTGAGAATATTACCTGGGAAGAGTTTGATTCTGTGACTCCGGAAAACGTGGACAAGATACTGGGCAGACTGAGCACGGCCACATGTTTATTGGACCCGTGTCCCTCCTGGCTGGTGCTGGCCTCTCGGGAGGTTACACGAGGTTGGCTCCAGGGGATTATAAATGCTTCCTTGAGAGAGGGTGTCTTCCCTGCTGCCTTGAAGGAGGCGGTGATGAGGCCTCTCCTCAAGAAGCCTTCCCTGGACCCAGCAGTGTTGGCTAATTACTGTCCAGTCTCCAACCTTCGCTTCGTTGCGAAGGTTGTTTAGAGTGTGGTAGCGCGACAGCTTCCTCAGTACTTGGATGAATCGGCTTATCTAGATCCGTTCCAGTCGGGCTTCAGGCCTGGATACAGCACGGAAACGGCATTGGTCGCATTGGTAGATGATCTCTGGAGGGCCTGGGACAGGGGTTGCTCCTCTATCCTGGTCCTATTAGACCTCTCAGCAGCTTTTGATACCATCGACCATGGTATCATGCTGCACCGGTTGGAAGAGTTAGGGGTGGGGGCACCGTGTTGCGGTGGTTCTCCTCCTTTCTCTCTGATCGGTCGCAGTCTGTGTTGACAGGGGGGCAGAGGTTGACCCCGAGGCCCCTTGTATGTGGGGTGCCACAGGGGTCGGTTCTCTCACCCCTTCTGTTCAACATTTATGTGAAGCCGCTGGGTGAGATCATCCGTGGTTTTGGGGTGAAGTATCATCAGTATGCTGATGATACTCAGCTATACATCTCCACCCCGGACCACCCCAATGATGCCCTTAAAGTGATGTCCCAGTGCCTGGAGGCTGTACGGATCTGGATGGGGAGGAACAGACTCAGGCTCAACCCATCCAAGACCGAGTGGCTGTGGTTTCCGACGTCCCGATATAGTCAATTGGTGCCATCACTGACTATTGGGGATGAATCATTGCCCCCCACGGAGAGGGTTCGCAACTTAGGCGTCCTCTTGGACTCACGGCTGTCTTTAGAAGAACACTTGACGGCTGTGGCCGGGAGGTCTTTTTATCAGGTTCGCCTGATTCGCCAGTTGCGTCCCTTTCTGGATCGGGACTCGTTAAATACGGTCACTCATGCCCTCGTCACTTCACGCCTGGACTACTGTAATGCTCTCTACATGGGGCTCCCCTTGAGGAGCACCCGGAGGCTCCAGCTGGTCCAGAATGCGGCCGCGCGGGTACTTATGGGAGCAGCATGGCGCTCCCATGTGGCTCCCCTCCTGCGCGAGCTGCACTGGCTCCCTGTGGTCTTCCGGGTGCGCTTCAAGGTCTTAGTTACCACCTTTAGAGCGCTCCATGGCTTAGGACCGGGGTACTTATAAGACCGCCTTCTGCCACCAATAGCCTCTCACGCCCAGTACGCTCCCATAGAGAGGGGCTTCTCAGGGTGCCGTCAGCCAAACAATGTCGACTGGCGGCCCCCAGGGGGAGAGCCTTTTCTGTGAGGGCACCCATCATCTGGAACGAGCTCCCCCCAGAGATACAGAAGATTCCGGATCTGCGCACTTTCCGCCGTGCCCTCAAAACATTCCTGTTTCAGCAGGCCGGCCTGGCCTAACTTTCCCTTTATATTGCTTTTTGATTTTATTTTAAACTGGGATGTCTTGAATTATCTAGGACCAGAGTGTTTAGTATATTTTAATTGGTTTTTTATTAACGTTTGTATTAAATGTATTTTTATCGTTCGCTGTTCACCGCCCTGAGTCCCTTAGGAATAGGGCGGTATATAAATTTAATAAATAAATAAATAATAAATAAATAAACTTCATGCTCAATTATGGGCATATGTCATGGACTACCTATAGTCATTTGAAGAAGTCCAAACATAGTCTCTCTGCCTAGCCCCGTTGAGGATAAAAATCAGTTGGAAGAAATTTCAACATTTCTTCCAACTGACATAAATACTTTGCCTTCACCAATAATGCCTTAGTATTTATCTACATGCTATAAAGTCCCTACAGATGATATTTTAAATCTTCAAAAAACAAGGAAAAAGAAAGCTCACATCAAGAATTTCTTTGTTAGCTTTGGGTGATGTAGCCTCTCTTAATTCCTTAATGGCTACAGGAATTTTAACTTTTTCTCCTTCTGGAATCCAGAGACCCTGTTAAAAAAATCAAAATGAGTAAATTTAACATAAATTAAAACAATTAGAAAGTAAAATAGATTATGAACAGACTTTAATACGTCCATATAAATTACATGGTTTCTAGATAAAAGGTATTTGATTAAGACAGTAAATATAAATGTACATATATTTTAAAATGTATGATAATTTGGGTGTGCAACAGTATGATTCTATGTACATTTACTATGGATTGTCAATGGGTCTTAATTCCAAATAAGTTTATACTGAACTGATTTTTCACTTATATACAGACACAAATACTGTATTTTTTGGTCTATAAGATGCACTTCTCCTCCTGCAAAAGTGGGTGGAAATGTCTGTGCGTCTTATAGAGTGAATGTTGCTGAAGCCCCACCCACCCACCAGCCTCTTCCTCCCAGCAATTTGCCTCCTTGCCGCAAACAGCAAACAGCCTGGTCAGCTTCAGCACAGTCTAATTTAGCACGAGCAGCTGATTGGAGATTGGATCAGTCTCCCAGAATACTGCTGATCAGCTGTTCCAGGCTGCGGTGATCTCTGCTACCCATCGCTGCTGCCGCTCATCGCCTTCACCACCCATCACCGCTGCTGCCTATTGCTGCCTCCATGTGCCCCATTTTCGGTCTCCGCATGTCCTGTTTTTTGCATGTCCTATTGAATGGTGGTGACGGCAGCGATCCTTGCCTCCTGGAACAGGCTGAAAATGGGGCATGTGGAGGCTGAAAATGGGGCATGCGGAGGCTGAAAATGGGGCATGTGGAGGCAAAAAATGGGGTGTGCGGAGGCGGTGATGGGCAGCAGCTATTCCCGCAGCCTGGAACAGCTGATCGGTGGTATTCCAAGAGGGTGATCCAATTGTTAATCAGCTATTTGTGCTAAATCAGGCTGTGCTGAAGCTGACCAGACTGTTTGCTGTTTGCTGCAAATTGCTGAAAGGCAGAGACAGATTTTGTTTTCTTGTTTTCCTCCCCAAAAGCTAGATGTGTCTTATAGTCCAGAGCATCTTATAATGCAAAAAATATGGTACATACATATTTAGAAAAATGATAATTTACCTGATAGACAGTACCAAAAGCTCCAGAGCCAAGGACTTTTACTTTTTTAAATTCTGTTTCTTTTAAAATTCGAAGAAGTGCTTGGTTTGGTGCTTCCCCACTTGGTGTCAAAGGTTCAACAAGCTATTGAATCAAAAAGAACATGGCTTAAGAAGAGATAATTTCTTTTCAACCATAAAGTGTACAAGGAAAGTTGGTTTTTGAAAAATGTAAAACAAATGATTTAAACCTATTTGCGCTATATTATTATAAATCTATAACAATACTTGGCAAATCACTGCAGAGAAAAAAATTATCAGCTTCCTCGTCATTAGAAATTCCATCATGACCTTATAATAGCTCTAATACTATTAGGAACATACAAATATTTAGAAATACTATATTCTTTTATGAGAGCTAGAAGAATGTGGTTTCATCCTAGACAGAAAGCTCATGATTCCTATTGAAACAAATACGGAATAACAGACAACTTAGAAAGTCTCTGAGATGCTAGTGCATTGTGAATCCATACTAGTTAGTTTCTTCTGAATCCTTAGTTATATTTACCTCTCTTTCTTGCAGCAGTCTGCGCAAAGTACGTTTTCTAACAATCCGACGTCTGCGCACAAAAAGACCAATACCCAGGGCTATAACAACTAAGCAAAGAATGCTCCCAACAACTCCAGCTGCAATGGATGGGATTTTAGATCTAAAAGACAGAAACAGTAATTATTGCTTCTATGTTACTGATAAATCCAGTTCATGATCATATGTGAGCATTTAGAGCATTTTTTAAAAAGGAAAGGGAATAAAATATAACTTGATATAATGCAATATTTAGGCAGTAGTTTCCCCCAATGCAGTCTGAAGCAATGAAGTTGTAATGGACTGTGAGAATAACCTTGAGGAACAGGAAGAAGACTTGTAGCCTAGACAAAAGTCTGATAAGAGAAATCTGAGTCCAAAGCAGGAATGGGAGAGGAGAAAACACTTCAGAATTGACCCTCCTTAGCTTTCTGGAAGATAATGGTACAGGAAAGAGGAAGTACTGTCAGATTTGCAAGATTTTGTTGCTGTAACCATAAATAATAAAGATAGTATTAATATTCTTGGTTTTAGTTTCCTGGTCTAGACTACTGAATGAAGAACATATATGATTTGTGAAGTTCAATGTCATTTCTATAAAATTATGACCATCAAACTATAATTTGATATGCATCCTTATAATATTTGCTGAACATAAAAATAAAGTTATATCATCTGTATCTATCAATACAGCTATTAAGGTAGGTATTACTCTATAAATATAACAATAGATACTTATATTTCCATGAAGGGAAACAAAAATATGCTCACTTCATATACTATATACTGGAATTTTCTATAATTAGAAAATTACTTATAATTAAAAAATTAGACATTAGGGAAATTAATGTTGTACAAAATAAAGATGTGATTATGTGGTTAGGACCGAAGAAGCAACTCTAGCATAGTGGAAAGTTTCTATCCATTAACTGATTTTAAAAAATATGATTGGATTAATGACCTCTTTCCTATTGGCTAATATCTTCATGCTATGATTGAAGTACAGTGAATGCATTATCTCTTCCTTACTGACCATTCATATTAAAAACTGTGTAAACTGCTATAAACTAATAGTGGATTTGGGTCTCTTTTCTAAAGCTACAACTAAAGAGATAAACTTTGTGTATAAGAATCCATTTTATTAAAATCTGCTTTGATTTACTACAATATTCTTGGCTTAATTGGATACAGCTATAAATGGACATCTGACTTTACATTAGTTAACAATAATTACCCATTAGGGCAGCCTTCAGGTCCAGGTCCTTTGCATCTATAAAAGCAAGGAAAATAAAAATGAACAGAATTAAAAAGAGACTAGAATATTTTAATTTAACATTTAACTGTTTGTCCTGTGAATATCAGTAATTATTTTGTAAAACCATGTGATTATTAATAAATAAAGTAGTTAGACAGTTATCAAGAATCTTGTACCAAATGTTTTTGTTCAGGGCAGGTTCTGCTTAAGCCAAAGCTTTGAATTTGAGTAATCTGCAACATTCTGTCCCAAAGGTGCTTTTTCAAGAGGCAACTGGACAGATGAAAGCCAACTTGGGATAGCCACGTGTTCTGAGGGCTTCCTTGATGTGTTTTACTTATTTTTCTTTCCCATCTTTCCTGGTAGGCAGGCCTTCAGCTCAGTGGGTTGGGTTCTGATAACTTTCATTTTGTGCTCTAGTGGGTGGATCACACACAGATTAATATTTACATTTTGATTCTCACCACCCACTGGAGCACAAAACGGGAGTTATCAAAACCCTACATCACCGAGCTGAAGGCCTGCCTACCAGCAAAGAAGTTTGATATATGAATGAAGGAATGAATAAATAAATAAATTTGTTGACTTGCTGTTACTATTTAATAAGAAACAGTAGTAGATATTCTGCCTTTTTCTCTAACAACTTCACATTCAGCACCTAAGCAATCATTTAAATAATTCTGTAAGAAATATTTAAAGTTCTATCTTCATTCTATCAATGGAAGTAGGTAGGTGAGACCAAGAGATTTTATTTATTATCAATATTTATACAGAACTTTAAATTATATTCCCAGATGATCAAGAATAAAGAAATTAAAAGACTATCTTTTATGGTGACCATAGTGGTATACAACCCAAAATGACCTTAAACATTATTCCACATTTCTCAATCAAATTAATTTTGTAAAAATGCTTTTTACAAATCACAAATGTAACTCTGAAATAAAGCTATGATGACATGATTCTACATGATTGTGTCAGGTACACCATTGTGTCTTGCCATTCTGTTGGAGGGAGAGGGGACGGCTGGCTGGTATACTTTCTCTTTTGCTCTTACCGCTAAGGAATTAGGAGGGGGATTGTCTTCGGAGATGGAGCAGATCCCCTCCAGCCGGTTCCAGCGCTGTCTTGCCCTGGGAGTGACCTGTTATCTGTCTAGCACTACAGTGTTCCCAAAACATCCTTGCGGCATCATATTGGCTGCCAGTGGACTCATCGGGGGGTTGGGGTTGGGGAAACGGAAGAATTGCTTTGTGCTTTGCATGAGACTGATTCTGTGTGACACAGAACTCAATAAAAGTTCTTTGAAAAGAATTCAACTCAATGGAATCAAGAGTTCTGCTTTCCTGAGGGTCCAGTTGGAGCAGGTCCTCACATTACGCAGAATCTGAAGGTCCTGCACAAAGCACAAAGCAATTCTTCAATTTCCCTTGAGCTTTTCCAGCTCTGGCTGTCCCTCCCATCTCGGTCATGACAGCTGCCTCAGGTGAGAGTTATCCCTTTGGTTCTTCCTTCCCAGGCCTCCTTCTTTCTGATGCCTATGGACCACCTTAGTCTTGATCAGTCTCCCAACCTTCTCCGTTCATTTGGAGAGGTCCAGCTGGAGGGAAGTGTCATCTTAATAAGCTGTCTGCAGCTTATTAAAACCTGATCACCTCCCCCTCAGACCTAAGCTTCCACCGCCACCTGACCAGTCATAACAGAGATAAACATAGGGGGAACCTTCAATATTTAGTAGCTTGGAAGGATTTCCCAGAAGCCCAAATTGAATGGGTTGACCAGTGCCATGTTAGAGGTCCTAAACTTTTAAAGTGCTTTCATAATCAATATCCTGATAAATCTAAATGAAATTTTAATCTTCTTCTCTCCCTTTTTGTTTTCTTCTAAAGGACTAATGTGGCTGTTTAGGTGGGCAGCATGTCAGCTACACCATTGTGTCCTGCCATTCTGTTGGGGAGAGGAAAGGCTTGCTGGCACTTTTTGCATGCTCTTTTGCTATAACCACTTGGGGATTAGGGAGGGGAATTGTCTTCACAGTCAAAGCAGACTCCTCCCACCTGGTTCCAGTCTGGTTCCAAGGCGATCGTGTCCTGTGAGTGACCTGTTACCTGTCCAGCACTTCAGCATTCTCAAAACATCATTGTGGCATCACATTGCTGCCAGTGGATTGGTCAGGGGGATTGGGTTTGGGGAAATGTAAGAATTGCTTTGTGCGTTGTGTGGGATCTTTAGATTCTACCTGACTTTACTGTAACTTCTTTGTCTCAGTAAAAGTTTTTTTGATTCAACTCAATGGAGTCGAGAATTTTGCTTTCCTGAAGGCCCAGTTTGGGCAGGTCCTTACAGACTGGTTTGCTTAAGCCCAAAGACAAACAAAGCAATATTGTCTTTTAATTCAAACTTTATGACCTGGGGATTGTGGACACATCCCCGTGGTTGTTGTTGTTGTTGTTTTGGCAATAGTACCAAAGTAGTTTGCCACTCCCTTCTTCTGAAATGTTTTTTACTTTCCAGTCTAGACAAAAGTCCTAGCCTTACCTAGAGCTTTCCCATCTTTGTGACAGATCCCTATCACTATAGATATAATAATCAATGTTGACTGTAATATTATCTCCTTCTGGCTTATTACTGGCAACTGCAATGACAAAAGAGGAAGAATTGCACTACCTATGCATTACAGCATCATTGTGACAAAGCGAACTATTAAAACTATTATCCAATGGTCATTTTATATTGGAAAACATCAGCTGCATAATCATCTCGAATAGTGATCAAAATCTGCTAAGTATCTCTATAGATTGAATTATGAAATAATCTTTGTAAATTGAATTAGTTTAATAATATCTGCATTCCAAGTTTTCCATCAGTTTATTCAATCATGTTTCATTTAGGATCACTCTTATAACTACAACTTTAGAACATGAACTTATTTTGTGTTGTGATTACATTGCTTTTAAGAATAAGGCAATACACTTAATTACGTAGAGATGTTTTACATTCATGATATACTAGCCACATGACTGTCACTTTTGAGCAAATAATTTCCATGTGGGTGGCATGTTTATACACGTAGGGGCCAAATCTGTAGAATCTTCCTAGAGAATCACAACTATTTCTAGTAGCACATTGATCTGATAACCAGGATCCTTGTGATTATGTCTCTTCATGTGCTTAGGTCATGTGTGGTTAATGTTCCCAGCAAAAAAAAAAAGATCCTATATGACTAATGTAATGTTTCAAGGAAGTCAACTTTGTTTTCACATAAGAATTTCTCAATAACTATACATTGTTGGGTATGTGTTGGCAGGACTATTATTTACACTGACCAAGAAGTCACTCAGTTTAAAGACATACTTGATATCAAAGAGGACGTAGCTTATGTGATTTTAAAACTGAACTATAACTTGCTGTTTTATTCTGGATGAAATGTGATGGTCAGTATATTAGTTTAAAAAAATCTAGCATGTGTGATTCTTCTGTGGCTGTGATAAATTTCATTTCATTTCATATACTTGCCTGTTCTTTCAAAATATCAGTTCTGTAAAGGCGTATCTATGGAATACTGTATAACTTCGATATAACAAACCATGCAGAGTTCACTAAATCTGAACATATGTTTTTGTACCAATTTGTTACTACACAATTGAAATCAATGGCATCATTTACCATAAAACTTTAATTTAATGGATATTTATCCACTAAATGTGAATGGAATAATTTGTCCATTGTATTTGAAATCCACTAAAGCAAGGTCAATTAAACTGAGAGTTTACAGTAGCTTAAGTGACATTTAAGGAAAAACTAGGAATTTTTCTTGTGGAATACTGTCATTACCAAATTACAATTACTAGTATAAAATCAATAGGATTTAATGCCTGTGGACACATAATTCCTAGACTGGTTTACAATCTAGAAATTAGTGGTCCCTGAAATACTTTATATTAACTACCCACCAGATGTCACTACAATTCCAATTCTCAAAATTTTAGCTTTGTTAATAGGCCATTATAAAATGAAGAACTTAAATAGCTAAAGAGAATAATCACAATATCTTGTGGACTTCTGAAAAGTATCAGTATAGCTATGGGGAGAAGGCTTAAATCAGAAGAGAATAGTAATGTTGGGCAACATTACAATAATGCTTTTACTCATGTAATTATCTTGATTAAATTTCCTCATTAAAGTTGATATTTTTCCTCTGAAAGAAAATTGAGTTTTCTTTAGTTTGTATACCAAACTAAAAATATTTTAAACCATAAAAAATATAAAGAAATAAATTATAGCATCAGTTGTATTTATGTTTGATAATGCATTGATTAAGTTAAGGTTCTGTTTTGTTCATACATTGAAATTTTATAACAGTACAACATATTATCTTTTCAATTAAGTTTCAATTAAGAAAAAAAATATCACTTACCCACGAACACAATTTGGATGGCACAACTGACATACTGAATTTTCATCTGGATATTTCCAGACTAAGGTATCATTTTCTCCCAAAATGCCAGCTGGGCATGATTTAACACAATGTGGACCATCTGTTACATGAGCACACTTCAAGCAGTTGCCGGGACCCTGGACAAGAAGCACAGTTTTTTTTATCGATGTGAATGATGTAGTCAGACTACACCATCAAATGTGTGGAGCTTCAAGAATTGACAAAAGAAATCTTGCAGGGTGAGAATGATGGATTTTAAAATCTGAAATATCTGCAGGTCAGTTATTTTCAAAAATTCTATTATTACTTTTATTTTTCTGCATCTTATGATTAATATTTTGTACTAGAGGTTTTAAAGAAAATACTAATTATATACTTTATTTTTTAGGTAAAGCCAGGGCCATCTGCTTCATCTAATTACAATTATAAAGATAATTCAGACTGGTATTTTTCTAATGGGCTAATCAAGACATTTAAATATAACATGTCTTCTCTCCCTTCTGAGCAAAATGAATCAAATCCAATTTGCTTGATACCCTTCCTGATTAGTTGCAGTGAAAAATAGATATAAAGTGCTTAGATGGATTATTTGTAATTAAAAACAGTGATTGCAGATCTCCAACTATGCCCTACTCTGCCTTTCAATTTTTCAGAAGAATTGAAAGAAGAAAAAGGAATTTATTCATGCTTAATATTTTGTAGCAGCATCAGAAAGTGGTTAGAAATGTATTAGACAATGTTTTCATAATGCTAGAAGTTACAAATGAATAGTTATTATTAGTATTATAATACTGAGGCATAACTCAATACAGAGTACAATTTCACTATTATAAATAAACATATAGAATATTTGATTTCATGCCAATCTGAAGTTTATAATATAAATCAACTTCCTGATAGTCTTAAAAATTTCCAAAAAACTTTTTGATCTAAGGATGGAGGTTCAACTTGTGGTTTGGTTTCTGAATGTTTTGTCACCAGGCTAGGTATCATTTTCAGTGGAATTTAGGGAATGTCAGTGTTGGTGTTCTTCTGCTAATAAGGGTTTGTGAAGTCAGTAGGGGTTGTGATGAGAGAGTCACATTAAGAGTCTTGTGATGGGTCTTGTGATGTGTAGGTCATATCAGGGAGGGTCATTGGGAAGTGAAGTGCTGTTTGGGGGGTTGTGTGGGTTGGCTGAAAGTTGGTGCTATTGCTAGTTGGCTGTGTGGTTCATTTGACTTCTGAAGGGTTCATAAGCTGGTTGTAGGTCAATGTGCCTGTTGATGGAATTGCTTGTGGAGTGCCTGGCTTCGATAAACTCACAAGTGTATCAGGTAGTAGTGTGGCTGATGATTCTTGTATTGCTCCAATTGAATTGGTGCTGTTTGATGTCAGTGTGGATAGTGTTGTGGTCTGCCAGCAGCCTGTGGACCTGGCAGCGGAGTTGGACAGCGATGAGGATGGGGAAGAGCAGGGGCCAGTCCTGGAGGCTGGGGAAGGCCGGGATGAGGGCTCTGCGTCGGAGGCAGAGATGGAGCCAGGGCCATCGGGGAGTGAGGTGCGGACTCCAGAGCCTCCAGAAGCTGACAGTAGAGAGGCAAAGGAACAGGAGGAGCCTGTTACTAGTGCACGTATAGAAGAGCTGCCAGAAGGCAAGAGCAACTAAAGCAAAGAGAACAACTCGGGATTAGGGCCAAGAGATGATTGGCCCCTTCCATAAGGCTTAAAAGACCAGCAACAGCTCTTGGGCTCTTTGTCAGAAAACGTTAATAGACTTGTTCTTGTCTTGCTACACTTATCTCTGGTTGGCGTCTTCTGCTTCTAAACTTTTGTCAAGAGAAGCCTTTGACAGTTTGCCTAATTATACCAAGGTTGGTGATTAGACTGAAGAATTTGTGTTATGAAGAGTTTGTTTTGATTTAGTTTGGATTACGCTGAGAATGAGTTAATTCTCAGCTGTTCTAATAAAGTTTGTTTGTTTTGGAACTGTTTGCGTCGACTACTACCTACTTGGGCCTGGGTCACAACAGATAGCGATTAGGGATTTGGGAACATGTCAATTAATTGCCAGCTGGTGCTCATGGATTCTGGTTTTCAATTGACATAATGTTTGTCCCACGTAGAATTATTTGCCATTGTTAAGTTGATTTTGTAAATTACATTCTTTCATCCTTCTGTAACTTGTCTTTGTTTCTGGATAATTACTGGTGGAGTGTGGCTGTGGGTTTGTGGGCTATTGTGATTCCTAGAGGTTGGCGATTCTGACCATCATTTCTGACACCCCTTTTGTGTATGGCAGGATTAGTTTTTGCGAGGTGGTTGCTGTGTGGTGCGTGTAGTTTGGGTGCTGTGTTTTACAAAGTTTGTAAAAACTTTTACAAAGTTTTTTGGATAGCCATTGCAGAGAAAGATGGCAAGCAGCTGTTTCTCTTCTTCTTTTCTTAGTGCTGTGATGCTGCAGTATGTCCTGGACCTTCCAAACAGGGTCTGGATGCAGCTTTTTTTGTGTGCAGTGGGGTAGTTGCTTGCAGAGCTGTGGATCTGGACCCTGTGAGTGGGTTTGCAGTAGATGTGGGTTTCCAGTTTTTTTTTAATTTGATTTATATGCTGCCCTTCTCCGGAGACTCAGGGTGGCTTACAATGCGTTAAGCAATAGCCTTCATACTTTTGTATATGTATACAAAGTCAGCTTATTACCCCACAATCTGGGTCCTCATTTTACCTACCTTAGAAAGGATGGAAGGCTGATCAACCTTGAGCCTGGTGAGATTTGAACTTGCAGTAATTGCAGGCAGCTGATATTAATAACAGTGCTTTAGTCTGCTGCACCACCAGTTCTCTATTGTCTACTCTTCTTATGTCAAAGTCAAGGAATGGGATTCTTTTGTCTTTTTCCTCTTTGCATGTGAATTTGATCCCGGGGCATATGTTATTGAATAGGTAGTGTGTTTCTTCAATTTGGGAGTATTCGATGATGATGAAGGTATTGCCAATGTCACATGTCCAAAATTTTGGTAGGTAGGTCTATGGATTAGAGTTGTTGCATGATTGTTTCTGCTATTAGGCCTGATATGGCTGATCCCATCAGGGTGCCTTGGACTTGCTTATAGATTTTCCCATTGAATTTGAAGCACGTATAGATCCAAAAGTTTCATGATGATTTCTATGGACATGGAGTGTTCTGTGATGGAGTCATCTTTGTGGGTGTGATTTTGGTGAATAAGTGATATATGATTTGTTTAACCAGGTCAATGTCAATCGAGATGAAGACTGCGGTGACATCAAAGGAGACCATGATTTCTTCCTTGTTGATCTTGGTGTACTTGATGAGTTGAAGAAATTGTTCTGGGGAGTTTATTGAGTGGGTTGAGTCATTGACCAGATATCTGAGTTTTCCTCTGCAGAGTTTTTACTAGTTTGTACATCAGTATTCTGGGTAGAGTCATAACATAAGGAGAAGCATAAGGAGATCGCATTCTGGTGTATTTTGGGGAGTCTGTAGAATCTGGGTGCGGAGAAATCTTGTGCTTGCATGTGCTTTCTCTCTAATGGTGTTAGCTGTTTTTCTTTTTCCATTTGGGGGGGTGTCTTTTATTTTGTTCCCTAGGTGTTTTGTCGGATCTTTGTGGCTTATTTGGTAGTTGTCGGTATCATTTAAATAGTTTCAATTTTGCTGGTGAATAGTCAGTTTTTCCCATGACCACAGTCATCTACATTTGTGTGCTGGTAGAATGACGATGATTTTGTCTTGCTTCAGTTTCTTTACTGCTGTCTTTTCTTTTTGGCTGAGTGTTTTGTTTTGTCTGTTGCATTACTTTGGAGATGATTCTTTGCCTAAGGTCTTTGTATGTTTTTTGGTCCAGGTGGTTTGTTTTTAGAATGGATTCGAGGTTGGCTAGGAATGGGTTTGAATTAAGGCCATGTGTGAAGATGGTCTTCTTGTCATCTGATTGGGGGGGGGGAGGTGTCTGCTGGATAGATTTTTGATCCACAGTTCTGAATTGTTGTCTTATGGTTTTGGGGTGATAGAATTGAGTTTCTGATGTAATGAACTGCATTTTTGCATTTGTATTTTGTTAGCATTCCTGTGGATCATGCATTTTAAAGTCCGTCTGTCAGGAGTTGAGGCATGTGGTTTTTTATTTCGTCAATGATGTGTTGGCATTTTTCCAGGCAGTTGTGGCCTCAGTGATTATGAATCAAAGCATTTTACACCTGTTTTGGAAGACTAGTTTCGAAATTGAATAGTGGCCAGTAGTGTATGCTTTTTGGGGTTGTTTGTTTGCAGAGGCATTTGTGGAGGAAGTGTAGCTGTTCACATATCAACGATCATCTCACAGCAAAACTCTCCCAAAACTCTCCCGCAAATCTGAGTATTACATACCCATGTAAGTTTGCAATAGTGGAAAATATATGTAGCTCGTGTGTAGGATGAGGGTGGAAGTTCGTTCCCTGAGGTTTTGGGTTGGTTTCCAAACATTTCGTTTCCAAGCTAGGTAACGTCTTTCTATATCCCCTTTAATTCCCCCCCTCCCCACAAGTTACCAGAGGAAAACAACTCTACTGGGAAAAATATCCTTCCCCAATACGTGACACCCTTGCCTCATGAGAATCTGAGCTCACTCTTTTTCATTTCAGAATGCAACCTGTGTGCAAATTCCATGCACTTTGCAGCAAGCATGATATTTGGCTGAAATCAAATAAGCAGAGAAATCATTGGTTGTAAAGCTCTTCAAAATATTTTTCAGTAATTTTGCATGCAGTATCTGGAATAACTTCACTGCTCCATCCTGCATTAACCAAACTTCCTTCTTTTTTGCGATCTCCATGGAAAAAATCTCATCTTAGCTGAATTTTTTTTTTTAATTTGATTTATATGCCGCCCTTCTCCGAAGACTCAGGGCGGCTTACAATGTGCTCAGCAATAGCCTTCATCCTTTTTGTATATTTATACAAAGTCAGCTTATTGCCCCACAACTGGGTCCTCAATTTACCTACCTTAGAAAGAATGGAAGGCTGAGTCAACCTTGAGCCTTGGCGAGATTCGAACCCTGCAGTAATTGCAGGCAGCTGGTCTTAATAACCAGCTTAATAACAGGGTGCCTTAAACCCCTGTACTACCAAGGCTCTTCTTCAAATTCAGCTAATAGTGATGCCATTGACACATCTATGGGTGTTTTGTTACTTCCCAATCAAGTGTTCAGCTGAGATTATACTGTGATTCCCCCATCTAATCAGTTTCAACCCTGCTTAGATTTTTGAGATCAGTTCCTGTATGTTTTAGAACCTTTCTTAGTTTGTGATGGCTGTTCCTAATTCTCTTGAAACCTGTCTGGTTAGATTTCTGGCATTCTTATTATGTTATTCACAGTTTGTAGTAATTGAGATAACACAAGAATTGTAATTTAGTGCAATATTTTAAGACAAAGCATCACAATTTAAATCCCAGGCTTAAAGCCACTACAATTTAAATATTTTTTAAAAAAACGATAAAAATTATTGATAAATAATATTTGAAATTATAGGTACAACAAAAGGTAAGTATGCTCTAAACCTGCTCCGCTCTGCTTGTTACTCGTTTTGATGAAATGAATAAGGAGGCCTATATGTAAAGGCCTATATAGGCCTTTACATACAGGCCTCCTTATTCATTTCAATTATCATATAGGCTAAGAAAAAGTTTAGGATTGAATACTTTTAGGTCCCTACAGTAATATTATATGTATCCTTTGAACATTATCTATTTTGAGCACACCGATATTTGCATGGGGCAACAATATAATATACCCAAATATTCTACGAAATATTCTAAGAACTACAAAAATATGTGCACTTACAGGTCCTGTACAAGTTAAATATGGTTCAGTTGAATTTTGCACAAGGCATTCTGAATGGCACTGAAAGCACTCAGAATTTTGTTCATATTCTCGAGGCATTCTAAAAGGGATAGAAAAAGAAATATGTCATTTATTTATATATGTATGTCTCATACTTTTCAAGATATTTTTACTAAAGCAATTTCTAAAATATTTATTTAAAATGCAAGAAAATTTAAAAGAAACAGCAACATGTATCAATTAAACCAATGTTGGATCCTTCTTTTACTTTTTCTGACTTCCTTCTATTAAAATTATCCCTTTCTTAAAATGCAAAACTTATTTTTATCATAAACTATTACTTGTCTTTGGGTAAAGACAGAGCTTTGACATGATGAATTAAACTATTACAAACTACATTAAAATATTTTGATTGTTAATTGACTTCCTTAAAAATTATATCTGCAATTCTTTTCCTTGTGTCCTATTTCTTCTGCATTTAAGTGGATTCTCAATATATGATGTCTTTATTAACTGTTAATAATCTCAGAACATAATTATGCAAAAGCATCATGGTGAGACAATTTAAAGCAGCTAATCAGCCTGACAAGGTTTTACCACACTGACAATCCATATCTTCCAAAAGAAAAATTTATTTATTTGTTTGTTTGTTTGTTTGTTTGTTTATTTATTTTATTACATTTCTATACCGCCCTTCTCCCGAAGAACTCAGGGCGGTGTACAGCCATATTAAAACAAATCCATCACAAAAATTAAAAACCGGTAAAATAATTAAAGCAATTTAGCCATTATTAAAACCCGTAACTAAAACCCCTGTAAAACCAATTTAAAACCCATTAACATTAATTTATTCGGTCAGACCGGCTTGATTGAACAATAGAGTCTTCAGAGCACGACGGAAGGTGTGGAGATCGGGGATCCTTCTTATATCCGGGGGCAGCTCATTCCATAGGGCAGGAGCCCCCATAGAGAAGGCTCTTCCCCTGGGGGTCGCCAGCTGACATTGCTTGGCCGACGGCACCCTGAGAAGGCCTTCTCTGTGAGAGCGTATCGGACGGTGGGAGGCATTCGGTGGTAGAAGGCGGTCCTGTAGGTATCCCAGTCCTAAGCCATGGAGCACTTTGAAGATGGTGACAAGCACTTTGAAACGCACCCGGAAGACCACTGGGAGCCAGTGTAGCTCGCGCAAGAGAAGTGTTGCCCGGGAGCGACGAGTCGCTCCCATAACCACTCATGCGGCCACATTCTGGACCAGTTGGAGCCTCCGGGTGCTCCTCAAGGGGAGCTCCATGTAGAGAGCGTTACAGTAGTCCAGACGGGAAGTGACAAGGGCGTGAGTGAACGTGCATAAGGTGTCCCGATCCAGAAAGGGACGCAACTGGGAAATCAGGCGAACCTGGTAGAAAGCCCCCCTGGCCATGGCCGTCATATGATTGTCTAAAGACAGCTGCATATCCAGGAGGATGCCCAAGTTGCGAACCCTCTCTGAGGGGGACAAGATCTCCTCCCCAATAGCCAGCGATGGTATCAGTTGGCTATATCGGGCGCCGGAAACCACAGCCACTCGGTCTTGGAGGAGTTGAGTCTGAGCCTGTTCCTCCCCATCCAGATCCACATGGCCTCCAGGCAATGGGACATCACATCAAGGGCATCATTGGGGTGGTCTGGGGTAGAAATGTACAGCTGTGTGTCATCTGCATACAGTTGACACTCCACCCCAAAACCACGGTTGATCTCACCCAGCGGCTTCACATAAATGTTGAACAGGAGGGGCGAGAGGACTGACCCTTGCGGCACCCCACAAGTAAGGTGCCTCGAGGTCAACCTCTGTCCCCCCGTCAACACAGACTGCGTACGGTCAGAGAGAAAGGAGGAAAACCACCGTATCACGGTGCCTCCCACTCCCAGTCCTCCCAACCATCGCAGCATGATACCATGATCGATGGTATCAAAGGCCACTGAGAGATAGAGGAGGACCAGGACTGAGGAACAACCCCTGTCCCAAGCCCTCCAGAGATCATCAACCAATGCAATCAATGCCGTTTCCATGCTGTATCCCGCCCTGAAGCCCAACTGGCATGGATCTAGATAGACAGCTTCATCCAGGTATTGAGGGAGTTGTTGCGCCACCACACTCTCAACAACCTTCGCCGCGAAGCGAAGGTTGGAGACCGGACAGTAATTAGCTAATACAGCTGGGTCCAGGGAAGGGTTCTTGAGGAGGGGCCTCACCACCGCCTCTTTCAAGGCGGCTGGGAAGACACCCTCACTCAGAGAAGCATTTATATCATCTTCCAATATGTCAGCACTAAGAAAGCATATTATTCAAATTTAAACAGGCAAGAAATTCTGACCATGTCATAACTATTAAAAAGAAGGTATATTATTAAAAAAAATATTCATTGTAAGGAAATATCAGAGAGATGCACTTCCAGGTAAGTTTGCAATATTAGAAATACCCATAGATTTTTTTACTGTGTTCATTGGACATTGCTGAACACTTTATGGTTTCATTTAGGTAATCCTGTGACTAATATAAAATCATTTTATTCAAAGAGAATTCTGATGATATGCTATAATTTATATTAAGGATTTTGACAAACAGACAACACATAAATTCAAGGAGAGTAAGCTCATAATATATATATTTATAGGACTATGAATAACACAATTATGCTAAAATCACTTTGGCTTTCATAATTTTTGGATAAATTAGGTTTCATGTAGTGGCAGTGGCCTAAATACACATAAAAATAAGTTGCCAGGTTTTATCTGTTAGAGAATCTCATCTCTGAAATCATTTAATGAATGATTAAAACATGAAAACTGAAAGAGATGGCTTAAACAACTATAAACTTTATTATTTGTTACTGGTTAAACTGTACCTATAATTTGATGCAAAATTTGCTATTTAGGTCAACACAATATATGTAAGAAACTTTTTTTGTGAATGATAACATCTAACTTTAAATAAAGTTATTTATAAAGTTTCATATTGTGCATTCATTTTGTTTTTCCTCAATTGATTACTTAACTTTGGGAACCTATAGCAGCAGAAAAACAAAGAAAAATATTTTTATAGGAACTAATTATGTTAAATGTTTTAGCATTGCATGCTTAACATTACAGTAGTTCATTTTCAGAATCTTTATCAGTTATTAGCTTGAATGACTATAATCTATTGAAATCAAATTTCTGCACAACTCGGCTAGTGGGTTTTTTTTTTTTTTTTTTGGTGGTGGTGTTTTGGATAACCAACAATATAAGTTGTTCTGAAACAACCTTCTGAAACAGGTCTCCTGCATGACCAGGGGGTGGACTAGATGATCTCCAAAGTCCCTTCCAACTCTGTTACTGTTAAAAAACAACAACTGAAGAATGGTATTCAGAGGTCTCTGGTACTACATCACACAAAGAAGATCTTAGATTGCACTATATTTTGCAGAATGTCCTCTTGACGGCCATTGTTGCAGAAAATATACAATAATTTCTTTTTACAGTCACTGTCCATTACATTATGATCCAAAATGACTTTGTCATGCAAACCTAATCATGTTTACTAAGATGAAATTTCATTTGAATTTAATGAGATGTTTTATTTAGGAAAAGTACTTAATGTTTCAAAATCTTATTAAGCATCTTCTCACATAAGCATTATTGTAGAATTGAAAGGATTTCACTTCTTCATTACATGGGATGTTTGAAACTCTTACCCTTGATAAACATTACAGTGTTTTACACATTCCTGTTGGCGGATAAAATCATGGCAAGAAAAGCACTGGAAGGGTCCCGGGCCCCAGCAGCCTATATTTGAGCAGAAGGGATGGCAAACTTGTCCTGTAGCAGCTAAAAGACAAAACCAAGTATTTATCAGTTTACCAGAAAGGAGAAATGTGCATGGAATGGTCTAAGTTTATTTAAACAATTACAGTTTCTGTGTTGAAATCCAAGCAGTTGCCAAAATCCAGAAAAATCACCCAGCTAGGGAACAGTGATAATAGCATTAGCATAGCAATAGCATCTAGGTTTATGTATCACCCCACAGTGCTTTAGAGCATTCTCTGAGCAGTTTACAATGTCAGTATTATTTGCATATCATCTCTAACAATCTGGATCCTCATTTTACCAACCTCAGAAGGATGGAAGGTGTTTGTCCTCTTAAAATTCAGTCAGTTCCCAGTACAAATACAATAAGACTACTATCATCCTTGCATCATAGCCCATTCTGTGAGCTACATGTAGAAACACAATTATGAGTTCAATATATCATAAATGCTTAACTGGCCCCCACGGAGAGGGTTCGCAACTTAGGTGTCCTCCTGGACTCACGGCTGTCTTTAGAAGAGCACATGACGGCCGTGGCCAGGGGGACTTTTTATCAGGTTCGCCTGATTCGCCAGTTGCGTCCCTTTCTGGATCGGGACTCGTTAAATACGGTCACTCATGCTCTCGTTACTTCCCGCTTGGACTACTGCAATGCTCTCTACATGGGGCTCCCCTTGAGGAGCACCCGGAGGCTCCAGCTGGTCCAGAATGCGGCCGCGCGGGTGGTTATGGGAGCGACGTGGCGCTCCCATGTGACCCCCCTCCTGCGCGAGCTGCACTGGCTCCCGGTGGTCTTCCGGGTGCGCTTCAAGGTTTTGGTTACCACCTTTAGAGCGCTCCATGGCATCGGACCAGGGTATCTACGAGACCGCCTTCTGCTACCAATAGCCTCTCACCGACCAGCACGCTCCCATAGAGAGGGGCTCCTCAGGGTGCCGTCGGCCAAACAGTGTCGACTGGCGGCCCCCAGGGGGAGAGCCTTCTCTGTGGGGGCACCTACCATCTGGAACGAGCTCCCCCCAGAGATACGGAAGATCCCAGACCTGCGCATGTTTTGCCGTGCTCTCAAAACTTTTCTATTTCAGCAAGCTGGCCTGGCCTAACTCCCATTTTTTAAATTTTTTAATTTGTGATTTTATAAATTGGGTGTTTTAATCTGTGTTTCGGCCGAAATATTTAATAATTTTAAGGGATTTTTTAATATTTGTATTATCTGTATTTTATCTTGGCTGTTCACCGCCCTGAGTCCTTCGGGAGTAGGGCGGTATAGAAATTTGATTAATAAATAAATAAATAAATAAATAAACTCTAAAAATATTGCTTTTGGAGCTGTAATGGTGCAGTGCTTTGAAGACTATTACACCATTTGTTGTTAACACCAACCATAGCCAGGAGTTTGAGGCTGACAGACTCAAGGCTGACTCAGCATTCCATCCTCCTGAGGTTGGTAAATGAGGACCCAGATTATTAGGGGCAATATGATGACTCTGTAAACCATTCAGAGAGTGCTGTAAAGTACTATGGAGTGGTATATAAGTCTAAGTGCTATTGCAATTGCTATTTAGTCTCTACTTCCCTGCCATAGTTAGGTAATAATTAATCAGTTAATCTGGTGAACTTGGTATTTACCAGAAAGTAAAACTAAACATGGTTTAACAAACCTAATGAAAATGGCTGCTTAGGAAACTAGAGAAAAGTAAAGAGGCAATGCTATTTCTTCCATGTTCTGAGATTTCATAGTAATTTTTATTCATACATTTTAGCCATACATACATAGCTGAAGGGAAGATTCAAAACCCATCTTGCTTTGCATCAATAACTGGGTTAATACATAGCAATAGTACTTAGACTTATATACATTCCTCTGGTGCTTTTCAGCATTCTCTGGTGGTTTACAATGTCAGCATATTGCCCTCAACAATCTAAGTCCTCATTTTACTGAACTTGAAAAGATGGAAGACTGATTCAACCTTGAGCCCCATCTAGATCAAACTTTAGGCTGTGGGTAGTTTGCCAGCAATACTGCACCATCAAGGCTTCTTGCGATAACGCTGGTATCCTATTGTATATGACATTATCTGTAAATATTTTGAACTAACTTGTTTTGGCGATGCATGCAAGAAACTTACATTGCTTTTCAAAGTCTCACACAACCTCAAGTTTCTTTTCAAATCTAGTCTTATCAAAAATTTTAATTACATGTATTGTAGACCATATATTCATCATCATCATCATCATCATCATCATCATCATCACCACCACCACCACCACCACCATCATTTTAGCCATTGTCTATCCACTGCAGGATGAAGGCCATTTCTGCATGTTTCCAACCAGTACAATCTTGAGCTTTCCTTTGCCAGTTGGGCCCACAATATTTGCTGATATCATTGCTCCATCTTGTTTTAGGTCTCTTTTGTGGATGCTTTTTATCAAGTGGAACCCATTCTATGACTGCATTAGTACACCTGCCATCAGTTCTTCTTGCTAAGTGTTCAGCCTATTCCCATTTCAATTTTTTTACTTTTTTGATGGCATCATATATTTTTGTTCATTCTCTAATCCATGTGCAAATCTTTCTACCTTGTCTTGTGAAGTCGAGTATGTATCTTTTAATGGCTCTTTATGCTACTCAGCTTTTGTATTGATTGTGAAGTTAATGTCATGTTTCGTTGGCACATGTTAAAACAGGTCATACACACTGATCGAAAACTTTTCTCTTTAGGGGGAGGTTGTCATGTCACGTGATAAAACTATATTCTGCAAATGTACTGTCATCAATTGCTTTAACGCTGGAAGTGACTATAGAATGGTACGAGCTAAACTCTCCATCCAACCTCGTCCTCCAGTGAGCTTACCACTCTCCCCCCCCATGGACCCAGCAAATGGGAAGGATGGGGAGCAAGCTGGCTGGAGGATAAGGTTGGATGGTGGGGACTGAGCGTGCAATGGCCATGGTGGCATCCAGCTGGGCTTTCTCGATGCGACTCCACCATCTGTCTTTGCTTGCCCATGGCTGTACAGCTGGGACATGCCTCCCACACTGTACCTCTGTCTCTGCCTGATGCTTGGAGGGTTGTGGTGCTCAGACCCACCTGCACTATGTGGGCTGGGGAATCCCAGCTGGCTCTTGGGGATGGGCACTCCCCACCCTTCCCATTCACTGGCTGTCAGGGGTAGGCCAGTGGGTGGAAGGCTTGTACCATGTATATGGCAGAGCTGGAAGATGAAGTTGGCCAGTGAGGGCTGAGCATGCAGTGGACATGACATGGCACCACTCCGCCACATGCCTTGCCTCACACTGTGGTAGCTGCCTGCCCCCCTGATGGCCCGGCAAACGGAAAGGGGGAGCAGGTGGGGGCTGAATGCGCAGGGGCCGCGACATGGCAGTGATGGTGACTGGCTGGGCTGCCTCGCCATGACCCCACCATCTTTGTTCCTCTAGTGAATCAGGCCCCCGCACTAGCCCTGGTCCTGCCCCCTCTGCCAGAGACACCTGGATTCCCCCCCCAGGCCTGCCTGGTTCCCCACATGAACATTATGGACCAAAATGAACAAATAGCCAAAAGCATCCCTGAATATGCTATATTCCATTGAAAAAGCACTTTGTGCAGTCAGAAATCTCTGAGAAAACTATTGATTTAATGAAAAAACAACAGACAATGAAGAATACTGGAAGTTTCACCAATAAACTGGAGAATTTGAACTTTGCAAGGCCATAAGAAAACATATCCAAGAAAAAACACGTCAGTTTATTTATTATTTATTTTATTATTGCGATTTATCGAATCGCAATAATTCACATTCACATTCACAGTTGAATGTGAATCTTGTGAAAAAGGCAATTGAAGAAAACAAACGGATTAATAGAGGAAAACACAAGCTTATAAATACAAGAAAGAAGATTTTTGCGTGAAGATGGCTCTGTGTGTAGAACAAGACAGAAAATGTTAGAAACAATTGGAAAATTCTATTGGAAAATTATTCTAGAAATAATTAGAAAATTCTATTCAGAGCTATAGAAAGATCAAGATCACTCAAAAGTAACAGCTCCCACAAAAGAGGAAATGCCAGGTATCATAGTAGAGAAAGTATCAAGTGCCCTAAAATCAATGAAAAATGGCAAAGCTTTAGGAAATGATTGTGTTACGGTTGAAATACTGAAAGCTGGTGGTCACAGTTTACACTAGCAAAACTATCCTTGAGATGCTTCAGAGAGGAAAAAAATGCTGACGTGATTCTTATACACAAGAAAGGGGCCCAAGTTAATTTAAAGAATTATCACCCAATAAGCCTTCTTTCAGTCATCTACAAGGTTTTTATCAAGATAATAGCAAAAAGAATATTGAAAACATTAAATGATGCACAGCTAAAAGAGCAAGTAGGGTTCAGAAATGTTACAACACAATGGATCATATCCAGGTTGTTCAACAAGTCATTGAAAGGCACAATGAATACACTATGCTTCTGTTCATGGCTTTTATTGAATATGAAAAGGTGTTTGACTCAGTATTCCAACAAGCAATTAATTGCTTAACCAAGGCATAGACACTGCTCACATAAACTTACTTCAACCAACATATGAAAAAGCAATAGCGACAATTTGCCTTAACTGGTGGTGCAGCGGATTAAAGTACTGTTAAATAGCACTTAGCTGCCAGCTGCCTGCAATTACTGCGAGTTCAAATCTCACCAGGTTCAAGGTTGACTCAGCCTTCCATCCTTCCGAGGTAGGTAAAATGAGGACCCGGATTGTGGGGGCAATAAGCTGACTTTGTATAAAAAAGAACACTGCTTAGGGGCGGCTGAAAGCCCTACTAAGCAGGTATATACAAAAGTATGAAGGCTATTGCTTAACGCATTGTAAACCGCCCTGAGTCTCTGGAGAAGGGCGGCATATAAATCAAACCAATAAATAAATAAATAAATAAATAAATAATTATCTTAAAGTGGAAATCAACATAGAACAAGGTATATTTACTGGCCAATAGGATTGGCCAGCAAATAATTTGTTTTGCTGGATAGACTATAGGAACATTTGGGAGCTAGAATACAAACCTACATTTTTACCATTTACACTTATACATAGCTAACTGCTCACAGGATAAGTACTTTCCCAGTTTTACCAGCATGTCTGTAGATTCAGAGAAGAAACCCCTGTCAGGATGTTGGCAAAATGATATGAGAATGCTGGCAGACCTAGCTTCTGCACATGTGCATGCATGCTCTAAAAGCCAGCAGAGGCCTTAAAGAAATAATGTTTGCACAGCTCAAATGTACAGATAAATGCATATACTAATATGGTGAACCATGTGATCTGATTAATTTTAAGAATATAAACTGATTTTTCAGAAATATATACCATTCATAGTTACATGAACCACATGCACTTACCACATTCACTCTCATTTCCATTTTTGCTTATTTTTATTTTTTGTTTTGGTGTTACAAAAAGTTTATTCCAATCCAACGTATTGCCGTAGCAAAGATGGCTATTTTTCAAAATGGCTACATCTCCATCACTTATTTCCTTGAGAGACCGTAGTCCCAAAGATTTGATATTCAGGTTGATTACTGCAAGAGCGTATTGACCTCTAAGGTAGAAAGATTAGGAAAATATATCAAACAATTTATTTATTAAGTTTAGAATGATCCCTAACTCTGTAAGTAGGCAGTGTACAACAGAAAGTCTAATGACAATATTTGATCTGTTTCAACTGAGCTTTGTAAGTTAAAAGTAATAGTAAAAGCCAAGATGAGAATTGGCAGAGAACTTTGATCTCCTGGTACTTTTAGAGAGTACCAGGAGATTTCTAAAATAGCCATTACTTCTTGTTTCCTAGTCTATAATGACAATCCAGAAATCAATATTACATTGTATACTTTCAAGTCTGATCAGAGAGCAGTTTGTTTCACTGGAGTTCTCCAACTTTCACATCAAACTCCAGATAGAACAAAAATAGCTGGTCACATAGTAAAAATTTCTGGAATCCAGTCTGCTATGAGTTAGGAGAAACAGCTCATTTTTTTCAATTTATCTATTTATTTAAAATGTACTTAAGTGGAAATATTTCTGAAGGTATTTTCAGTCAGTAAAACAACACAATTAGCATGCAGAACCCAATACAGATTATGCATCTATTTTGTTTGGAAATTGCTTTAACATTCTGTTCCCAGGTTGATCATAATCTATATCAGGGGTTTCAAACTCAATTTCATTGAGGGCCACATCAGGGGTGTGGTTGACCTTGGGGAGCCGGGAGGGCATGGCTGACTCAGTGGGTATGGCCAGCTAGACATCACTCATTAGGCATGGCTGGCTGGGTGGGCATGGCCAGCTTGATGCCACTCCCCAAACTGCTGGCATGTTTTCTTTTTGTATTAGGTAGACCGGGCCAAAGCCATGCGGGTAGATCGGGCCTAAGCCATGCTGGCCCAATGTTTCCTCTTCACAATGGGTAGACCAGGCTGAAGTCATGCTGGCCTGATGTTTTCTCTTCGCATTGGGTAGACCGGGTCAAAATGATGTGGGTAGGCCAGACTGAAGCCATGCTGGCCCGATGTTTCCTCTTCACATTGAGTAGATCAGACTGAAGCGATACAGATAGACCTGGATTGGACTGGATTGCCCGATCCAGTAGCGATTTTTCCCTGTGGTTCGGCGATCCGGTAGCGATCACTGTGTGGGTGTCATTACTTCCTGGTTTTAACCAGGAAGTAATGTTTTTTTAACTTCTGCGCATGTGCAGAAGGTTTTGCACATGCGCAGGTGTGCGCATGCATTATGACATGAGGGTGTGCATGTGCATTTCCGATCCAGTAAGGAAGTTAAGTAGATTTCACCCCTGGATAGATCGGGCCAAAGTGACGCGGGTAGACTGAGCTGAAGAGATGCGCCTTACATTTTCCAGAACAGCCCTGTGGGCCGGATCCAACTATATCACAGACCGCATCAGGCCCAGGGGCCTTGAGTTTGACACCCCTGATCTATATCAACTTCTCCCCCCCTGCCTTGCAATTACATTTAAGCAATTTCAAATGCCCTGAAAAAGGTTTGAGGCCTGAAAAGGTTTGAGCCCTGAAAAAAGGAAGAAAGATTAAAAGGTTGTAGATAACATTTTTCTCACTGCAACTGCAAACCTTCTTTTAAGAATAAACAACTGAAAACAGGAATAGGAGAATAAATTAAATGGGAACTTTGAGTCCTGCATATTATTGAATCTGATGGACACTCTTCTAAACAGTAACTTTGATAAAGAATCAGAAGAAAGAATGAATTAAACATTTCAAACCATCTTAGAAAAAAAGAAGAAATAGTGGTAGTAGTGCTGATGCATTCCACTGTAGTTTCAGTTCAACTGCAAACTAGCAACTGATCTATGACAGAACAATGATCTGGTCTTTTTAAAATATCACAACTATACATAAGTACAAGTTTTTGGCATGCTGTTGTACTTACAACTGTCTTGTTCTACCTCGTATTACTTCCAGATTTTCAAAGCTACTCAAATCAGTGACATTTTCAGGCCAAACCTGGATCAATAGAAACCCTAAAACAAACGAACAACATGTACAAAGTATTTCTGACAAAGAAGAATGTCTTTCCTCTTTATTTTTCACAAGAACATCAAAATGAATCATGACATTTCAGGAAGCTTCAGTACAGAGTTATTTTAAACCTTACTTTGTAAACAATTTACATGCAGGCAACCAAGTCAGTTAAACAGTGTGAAGGCAGGGCTGTGAACTTAGCTGACTAAGCCACTACAGAAAACCCAGTACTCCTTAGCAACTCACCTTGGAAATTTGATCATTTTTGTAGAATACTTTGACCCTTATTTCTTTTACTATGTAAGACCTTTTCAGAAATGCATAAAATGGATGATCATAGGAGCTTAATATTTTGGAAAGAATCTTAAATGGTAAGCATATTTTTTTAAAAGGACAAATGTTCCCTTCATTTCTATAATTTTCCTAAACAATCAAGAACATGTATATTTCTTGTCCATCAGTCTGTGAAGAACAAATTAATAGACTACCACACTAAAAAACCTTGACTATAGAAGTATACTGGCCAGACTCTGAAATAGATGATCTACTATAAACATATTTCAAATGTAAAAAAAATCTAAATACAGAAATGTTCAAGTATCTCAGCAGAGTATCTACTGAGTGTGATTTGCAGTTGAGTAGAATGATTAAATCTAGAAAGTTTAACCAAATTTCCTACCATGAACATACATGAATATTTGACTAATGTAATTGTACTATTCCTGAGAGCACCATTCTGAAGCTATAATTAATCTAGAATGCAGTGTTAACAGATAACAGTAACAGAGTTGGAAGGGACCTTGGAGGTCATCTAGTCTAACCCCCTGCTCACGCAGGAGACCTATACTAGGGATTCGAACCGCCGAACTGCCGACCTTTCTGATCGATAATCTCAGCGTCTTAGCCACTGAGCCATCTAGCCAGGCTAGGTGGAAGTAGTGGTGGGATGTTGTGGTACAGACATATGATCCATTGTTTGGTGATAGGCAATGGCTGCTAGTTGACTTCTGGTGCAATTCAATATATTGGTTATTCTCTATAATGCTATCATAGCATAGATTACTTGAGAGCTTTCTCATATGCTTTCTCCATATGTTTCTGTCTGACCAGTGTGATCAGCTATGGTAGGTCCTGCTAAGTAAGTTCTATTGATTAAGCAGTGTCTTCATAGGACTGAGGAAGTGTGCCTTCTCAGTGATGACTCTTCCCCTGTGGAATGATTTATTCTACCGCACCTGAAAATTAATGCTTCTCCCATCTTTTTGACTTTCCAAAAATGGTTAAAGACCTAACCTAAAACTAGGATGGTGGTTGTACCTCTCGGGTTTTTTTGGTTCTGTTTTTATGGTAAGCTTTGTTCTTTTTTTTTTTAATGCTGTGTCCTTTTAATTTTTTAAAATTAAATTTTAAACTACTTAAAATTTGCATCAGTTGAGAAGCCTTGAAATTAAATGAATAGAAATAACTGAATGTTTAAAAGACCATCTACAATATTTAAATTCATATAAATAAATAAATTTAAAACATCTTACTAACCTGTGATTTCTTTAACAGTTTTAAAAATATCCAATTTCTTTATATCCAAAGGAGGTGTTTTTGTGTATTCATCACTATAAAAGAATAATTGAATCCTTGACCAATGATGTAACAGATTTTTAGTACATTTTATGATAACATTTGACCAATCAGCAACTTACCCAAAAAAGGATGCATGCAGAAATGTGAGATCACCATTGATTGTGGTACAGTTCCTGAAATAATCAATATTGGATTCATTTACTGCAAGAACACCTTTCAGTTCACCTATTCCAATTCCACTGCACACTGAGAAAAAAGGAAACATAGAATGTTAGGAATGCTTTCAAGGTATTTCATGTCAGATTAAGGATTAGAATCATGCCTAAGTACAAAGCAGCAACAAGATACACAATTAATTCGATTTAAGCCAAGAAAAACAGGGATAAACAACATTTGTAAGATTTCCTTATAATGTTTTATTTAATTAATTGATCAAATATTTACAACAAATCACCACAGAGTGTGTATGTGTATGTATGTATGTATGTATGTATGTATGTATGTATGTATGTATGCAAATGTGTGTGTACACACACACACACACAGAGCATGTCACAGAAGTGAGTACACTCCCTCACATTTTGTAAATATTTAAGAACTGTATATTTTTTCATGTAACAACACTGAAGAAATGACACTTGGCTACAATGTAAAGTAGTGAGTATACAGCTTGTATAACAGTGTAAATGTGCTGTCCCCTCAAAATAACACAACACACAGCCCTTGATGTCTAAACTGCTGGCAACAAAAGTCAGTACAACCCTAAGTGATAATGTCCAAATGGGGCTCAAAGTGTCAATATTCTGTATGGCCACCATTATTTTCCAGCACTGCCTTAACCCTCTTGGGCATAAGAGTTCACCAGAGCTTCACAGGTTGCCATTGGAGTCCTCTTCCACTCCTCCATGATGACGTCAGGGAGCTGGTGGATGATAGAGACCTTGCACACCTCACTTTCCATTTCAGGATGACCTACAGATGCTCAATAGGGATTAGGTCTGGAGACACGCTTGGCTAGTCCATCACCTTTACCCTCAGCTTCTTTAGCAAGGCAGTGCTCATTTTAGAGGTGTGTCTGGGGACATTATCATGTTGGAATATTGCCCTGCGGTCCAGTCTCCGAAGGGAGGGGATCATGCTCTGCTTCAGTATGTTACAGTACATGTTGGCATTCATGGTTCCCTCAATGAACTGTAGCTCCCCAGTGCCAGCAGCACTCATGCAGCCTCAGACCATGACATTCTCACTATCATGCTTGAAGTTTGAAGTTTATTAGATTTCTATACCACCCTTCTCCCAAAGGACTCAGGGTAATTTACAGCCATATTAAAACACATAGATTTATAAAATTTAAAACCAATTAAAATCGAATATATAAAATTTGGCCCGCGAATTAAAACACACATACACCCATTATAAAATTCGTACTAGGCCAGTCCGGCTTGCTGGAACAAAAGGATCTTAAGGGCATGGCGAAAAGTACGCAGGTCGGGGCTAACACGAAGCTCTACGGGCAGCTCATTCCAGAGGGCTGGTGCCCCCACAGAGAAGGCTCTCCCCCTGGGTGTTGCCAGTCAGCATTGTTTGGCCAACGGCACCCTGAGGAGCCCCTCTCTGTGGGAGCATATTGGCCATTGATGTTGTTGTTGTTGGTTGTTGATGGAGGTTGTTGATGGCAGAAGGCTGTCTCGTATATACCTTGGTCCTAAGCCATGGAGCGCTTTAAAGGTGGTAACCAACACCTTGAATCGCATCCGGAAGACCGCTGGGAGCCAGTACAGCTCGCGCAGGAGGAGTGTTATGTGGGTGCGCTGAGTCGCACTCATAACCACCCGCGCGGCCGCATTCTGGACCAGTTGGAGCCTCCAAGTGCTCTTCAAGGGGAGCCCCATGTAGAGAGCATTGCAGTAGTCCAGACGGGATGTGACGAGACTATGAGTGACCGTGCACAGGGCATCCAGGTCCAAAAAGGGACGCAACTGGTGCATCAGGCGAACCCGATAGAAAGCTCCCCTGGCCACAGCCGTCATGTGATCTTCCAAAGACAGCCGTGCATCCAGGAGAACACCCAAGTTGCAAGCCCTCTCTGAGGGGGCCAGGATTTTGCCCCCAATGGTCAGTGATGGAACCAGCTGACTATACCGGGACACCGGAAGCCACAGCCACTCGGTCTTGGAGGGATTGAGTTTGAGCTTGTTTCTCCCCATTCTCCCCATCCGCACGGCCTCCAAGCACTGGGACATCACGTCAAGGGCATCATTGGGGTAGTCCGGGGTGGAGATGTACAGCTGAGTATCATCAGTATACTGATGGAACCTCACCCCGAAACCATGGATGATCTCGCCCAGCGGCTTCACATAAATGTTGAACAGAAGGGGCGAGAGGACTGACCCTTGCGGCACCCCACAAACAAGGCGCCTCGAGGTCAACCTCTGCCCCCGTCAACACAAACTGCATACAGTCGGAGAGGAAGGAGGAGAACCACCGCAACACGGTGCCCCCCACTCCCAATCCCTGCAATCGTCGCAGTATGATACCATGGTCGATGTTATCAAAGACCGCTGAGAGATCTAATAGGACCAGGACAGAGGAGCAACCCCTGTCCCGAACCCTCCAGAGATCATCAACCAATGCGACCAATGCCGTTTCTGTGCTGTGCCCTGGCCTGAAGCCCAACTGGAACGGATCTAGATAATCGGCTTCATCCAGGTACTGGGGAAGTTGTCGTGCCACCACACTCTCAACAACCTTCGCCACAAAGCGAAGATTGGAGACTGGGTGATAATTCGCTAATACAGCTGGGTCCAGGGAGGGCTTCTTGAGGAGGGGCCTCACCACCGCCTCTTTCAAAGAGGGGGGGAAAGTAACCCTCGCTTAAAGAAGCGTTAATAATCCCCTGGAGCCAGCCTCGTGTAATCTTCCGGGAGGCCAGCATCAACCAGGAGGGACACAGATCCAATAAACATGTGGCAGCGCTAAGCCTCCCCAGAATCCTGTCCACGTCCTCGGGAGTCACAAGGTCTTGCTTGACCGTAAGCAAGACACACTTGTCTTTGTACTCCTCACTTGGTTGCCGCCACACACACTTGACACCATCTGAACCAAATAAGTTTATCTTGGTCTCATCAAACCATAGGACATGGTTCCAGGAATCAATGTCCTAAGCCTGCTTGTCTGCAGCAAACTGTGAGGTTTCTTGTGCATCATCTTTAGAAGAGGCTTCCTTCTGAGATAACAGCCCTGCAGACCAATTTGATGTAGTGTGCGGCGTATGATTTGAACACTGACAGCCTAAGCCCCCACACCTTCAACCTCTGAAGCAATGCTGGCAGCACTCATACATCTATTTCCCAAAGCCAACCTCTGGATATGACACTGAGCATGGACACTCAACTTCTTTGGTTGACCATGGTGAGGCCTGTTCTGAGGGGAACCTGTCCTGTTAAACTGCTGTATGGTCTTGGCCACCGTGCTGCAGCTCAGTTTAATGGTCGTGGCAATCTTCTTATAACCTAGGCCCATGATGGTTAACCTATGGCATGTGTGCCACAGGTGGCACGGGCAGCCCTCTCTGCAGACACGTGAGCCATTGCCCAGCTCAGCTTCAACACATATGCGCACGTGCCTCCTGCCAATCAGTTGATTTTCAGGTCTCTGGCATGGGGGTGAGATGGGAGGGGGTCTCATGAGCATGCATTGGGCGGAGCGTGGGGGAAGTGGTGCACCTCCCTGTGCCAAAACAGGCCACGGGAGGTGTAGTGTGCCCCCGGTGGCCTGTTTTTGGTCCCAAGAGGCTTCAGGGAGGCCTGCCAGACCACAGGGGGGTCATGGATGGGGGTGGGGGAGCGCAGGGGGTTGTGCGCGCTTGCGTGGGAGATTGGGGGAGCATGGGAGATTGCACGCGTTTGTGTGGGGGGAGCACATGGGGTCATGCGCACATGTGGGGGGGGTGGGGGGAGCACGGGTTGGTCATGCATGCATGCGCAGTGGGTGATCTAGAATTATATAGAATACAGACTTCCAGTTGATGTCACAGAGCTATTGGACACAAAGAATGGGGCTCTGTGAACTCGTGTCAAATCCCATAAGGGGCTAAAGTTACCCTGTGGGAGTGACGAAGAGTGGAGTGGTGCCCTGCAGGTTGTGGAGAGCAGTGGCTCTCCTGCTTGACCCAGGGCTAATTCCCTCTCATCCAACAATGAAGACGACAGCCACAAAGAATGTGCTGGAGCAGTGTGGATGAACAGTTACTGGAACTGGGTGAGTTGACTCTTTTTTTTCTTTTTACCTAAAACCTACTCTAAAGAAAATAAATTCTGGAAAAGAGACTCTTTTAATAGTTTGGTTAAGCGGCGAACAATTACAGAGAGAAAAATCACAGACCCCAAAGAAAAGATTTTGAGAGCGCAAAACCTTTAAAAACATAGGATGTTTGGATCTCTAATGTTTATTGGTAATAAGGCATTTTAAAATGCTGGAATTACTTGTTAGAATTTGGATTATTTGTTTGAATAAATGCCAATGGAACTTCAAGGATAGATCCCCTGTTAGAATCTGTGTAACGTTGAACATTAAGCTGAAGACACCACCTATGGGTGAATGGAATAGACATTATATTCCTATAACCCTGGAAAAATACTGATAAAACAGGAGAAAATGGAAATAAATAACACCTCGAGGACTGCTGTGCTATCTACTGCTCTATACTTATTTACTTCATGACTACTGGAGCTCTATTGGTGAGAACACGGAAGTCATCTAAATAAATTGCAATTCAAATATCGGGAGTTATGACTGAATTTATAGAGTGAATTTAAGGAGACATTTGGAAATATTCCTGGATTATTTAAAAAGAATTAAATAAAGGATTTAATGAATAACATTAACAGGAAGCTAGAAAGTGTCCTACATGGGATAATGAATAATAATCAAAAAGCCCAGGAAATAGAGGAGATAATAGAGAGACCAGGGCGAAAGATAGAACAGACAAATAAACAAATAAAACAAGAAGAGAAGAAAAAGAAAGCAATAAAAATTTATGAAACAATTCAGGGAAAATACATACTGAAAGACCAAAAATGACACTGGATAAACAGAAAGATATTCTTGAAAAGAAAATAGAGACTTGGGCAGACCTCTGAAGGCTTGGCAGCAAAAGATAGTAGAGATGGAAGAAATACTTAGGTTAAGCGGAAAGATGTAGATAGAGATGAAGAGCCAAGGGAGGAATTTGGGAGGTAAGTCAA